AAACTGAAAGAATCTCCGGCAGACTCGATACGCGAAGAAGGAGAATGATTTTTGAGAATTAAAGCTTCCGTATATTTTTCTGGTCACGTACCACATACGTTACGTTGAGCATTAGGCAAAATTTTATGTATCTGCCGCGTGCCAAAAAAAAATCCACAAGAAAATGGCGATCGGTAATAATTTTTTTTTTTTCCAATGCACAGACTTACGTCGATTTTCATATTTTTTTTTTGTAACCCAATTATTTTCTAGTCTTGTCGCCGTCGATGCAAATTTTAAGGGTACGGCACACGCGTCATGGGAGTCGAGGTAGCAAAATATTTTTTTCCGCGAAAACAGTCCGAGCAAAAAATTTTCTCGAGCTAAGAGATTCCCCGAAAACTATGAGAATCACACCGAGATTCCGACAGCATTGTCTTAATGCTATTTGTCGTTTTACATTTTTTATGAAAAATCCAATATTCATATCAGCGCTGTCACTTAATATTGGACCGTAGACAGATTCGATTTTGAAAATACGACGTCTGCACGTCAAATCGCAATCCACGTGCTCGTAATGTTGACGCTATAGAAACCGAGAACGAAGCGTTCGTAAATATCTTCTTCGGTCTTCTTTTCACTTTTACCTTTCTTATTTTTTTTTTGGTCTTCTTACCTACAGAGAGAAACTTCCCGTATAACCTATAGCTATCGCTTAGCACGTGTGATTTAAGGACGCCGTGTGACGTAACGAATCGACTCCGAGGAGTGTCGAGCTGAGAAGCAGCGTTCGTTTGCTCCTCGATATTCCTATGTTAAAGAGTTTAACGTGAGGACCAAAAAAAAAAAACGGTACTGCACGGAAATTATAATTTTTTTTTTTAATTCTATTCAAATTACGAAACGCAAGTGTTAACTCGACAGATATAACGCGAAGATGCTGTAACCGCGCGTAATGAAAGAATAAATTATTGAACGAAGTAGAGGTGAGGTCAGAGTGAGTTAAAAAAAGCCTACATTAGCATACCCTGCCAATTAATCATTACTCGCGCACGTAACGTTGGTCGAAACAAATTCGTAAAACTGATTCTTATGCGATTTTAAAATATTTCAATTAAATTTCCGCCCCAACGAAAGTATCTGTAATGTCAATTTCAACTCTAACACTTATTATGCAACTTGGGTCACTCGTGGAGACGCATACGTCAGAATCGGTAAGTGAACGTTACGTTCACGGTGCGCGTCATTATTATTATTATAAAAGAGGGGGGGGAAAAAAACGTGCAATAGATAAATTTAAAAGGACACAAATTGCTATTCGAATTAAATTTTTAATTATCAGTCGATATTTCAATATCGATCGAAAATTCGTCAAATCTAAAGTCCGACAATACGTCAATGCTTTAATAGATACGCATAAAATGTTTATTGTAAAGAATAATTATTGAACCTAGAATGCCATAGAGAGCCGTGACGTCATAGACTTCAAGTACACCAAAAAATTTCTGTTTCCCCGAACTCACGAGAATCACGTGAATTTCAGGTAAAACTTGATTCATACGACTTTTTCCCCCCCCCCCCATCTCTCCGATATAACGCACAACTTTCCTTTTTAGCCCGTAAGCCAAGGAAAAAAAAAAACCCCACGCGCAATCTATTCACGAGAAAAATATATATTCGAGGCAAAATCTTCCTCGCAAAGAGGAACGTGCACAGTCGCATGTACATAAAATACATTGCAAGCTCGAGAATTACCTTGGTAACGTCTCTCACAGCGAGCACACGAGTAGCGACGAAATAATTCAATTGCAAAGAAATTACGTTGAAAATTTTAAAAATTTCAATTTCAGCCATAAACCCTAATATAACGTGTTTCCCAATGAGATCGTGTACGAAGGTTCCTGAAGCAAGGCAATGAAATATTCGTATGACGTAATCGCGATTAAAGAAAAAAAAAAAGAAATCGACGTAAAAAATATGAAAAAAAAAAAAAACCCTAACCAAAACAATCCGACAAATCCGATTCGACCAGTCAAGAATTTTCAGCGTACAAGAAACGGACTTTCCGGTTGAGGGAAACAAACATTCTGACGCAAACGTCGCGATTTCGGCAGACCGAGGAATTTGGGACGCGATTATATCGTGACTCCTGAGCTCCTCTTATTTTAACGATCCGAAGAGTTAGAAGGGTACCTTGCGAAAGAAATGCTCGCGAAACGCAGAGAAAGTGTGTTCACGGGATATATACCGAGTGGGCCAAGCCTACCAGGACGAGCGACAGAGCGCCGGGGGGCTCGCTGGATTACGCGGAGACGGAGCGGCGACTCCGTCCTCGTCGCCGTACACCGAGAAGAAGGGAAAAGGCGTCCCTTGTTAATTAACCTTCCCGAGAGTCAATGCGACGAGCGAGCATCGTCGAATTATCGTTCCCAGTACAAATGGCCCAATTGCTTATTGATAAACGCTTATTGATAATCCCGCCTATAAATAATACATCGGTTCGGAGGCACGAGACTTTCGACATATGAGCTATGATAATATTCAATTAGCATGTAACGACCGACACGCGAGTGCATTTGAGTCATCGAGCGTTCACGTTTCAAAGAAATAAGATTATTGCACAATGACTAAAGAGCGCTTGTAATTATTTAACAGTCTTATATGGGGAAAAACAAAACATTTCTTCCGCCACCAATCGCCCACTGCAAGAAGCATCTTGGGTCCAGGATCAATAATTAAGCAGAGATACAAATAAAAAGTTTATTCATCTCCATTTAACACTACCTTATAACGATTGATACTCACGTAGCATCGTACTATTCGGCAAAACTTATAATCACTGTTCGATTTCTCGGTACCCACTTAGATTACCGTTATCACTGCGCTTCCAAACACGTACGGTCGAATCACGTCATTAAATACATGTCGGTCGTAACGTGTGAACGCCGTAAGATGGTTTCTGAAGATAAGCGTACCTGGTGCTGATAAGGCACGTTTTTTTCAGTCATTAATAATTTCAAAGTATTGATAGCCAATTTTTGGAACTCGATATACCGATTATACGAATTTCGCGAAAAAAAATTGAGGTTACGCGAAATCCAAAAATTTTGAAATCCTTACAGGCCCGAATATGATAATTTTCGTGCCCGGAGATAAGAGGTGAGAAATTTGGAAAAAAAACAACTACGTGGCTCAAATATTCGAAATTCGCGTACAGTTCGGCTACGTATGACACATCGGACTCGCTTATCAGCTCGCGTTTGTAACCTGACGCATATAGCGCGAACGAAAAACTTATTAAAAAAAAAAAAAAAAAAAAACATCGGTAATATCGTTGGTTTTGAATCGTCCGACTGAGCGCGTAACTATAATATTATAGGCAGGCGTAAGAGAGACCACGTGTAACCGAGAATGGGATTAAGTAATTTTATTCCCTCGTAGTTAAAATGAATGCGCAAACTCAATTACGACGGCATGAGTCACGGGCTGGACGAGTATGTAAAGGCGAGCGAGAGAGAAGCCACGAGGACAAGAGAAAAGTCGTCCAGTAGAATTTGACGCCTCTCCTTAAGCCCGATACGCATCACCTTTATGCGCATACGTAACGAGCGACCGGCATAATAACTGCCGAATGACTTGTAACAGCGATACAGCCGTAACTTGTGTAACGCCGATTACGAAAAGGGAGACGCTCGCGTAATACCCGCGTAACGATAATGGACCAGAGGGAGAAAGAAAAAATCCGACTTATTGATAAAACGATATCAAGCGATTGATCGTCAAACTTTGGATTTTCATTTAAACTTTCTTTTTCCTTTGGCCCACGATTAGACGTTCCGCGAAAAACAGCTGACACTTTATATCGCATGCTGAATGTATACGCAATTCAAATCGCCCGCCTTGCGTATCGGCTATCGCGGGAGGACTGAGAGATATGAGTTAGCGAAATAACGATAACGTCTAAACAAAATTCGACACTTGTCAAAACAGAAGACTTGAGACTGTAGTATGGGCCAATTACAAGAGGGGCCAGTGCCAGACGGTTAGCCCACGTGGGATTGGCCCCTGTAGAAGCCGGATGGAATTAAAAGTCGAAGGTACTCAGTTTTCATATATTTATCATTTTGGCATAGTCCAGTAACGCGTGTCTGTATTACTTTGAGATCTGCCAAATGGGTTGGTAAGTGGAACGTGTATGACGCCTTGACTAATTGGTATGCCTGCTGCGATTGCAGCTGAGATTACGCAACGCATTGTCACCTTGACCGGCAACCGGCCAGGTCAACAGTACAGTGGGTATTACAATTTGACATTACAGGTTAATTTCACGAGTGCCCTTGTATGCTCGACCGTCTATGCCGCTGAGGGAATTACCGAAATACGAAGAATGATCCGGTTACGTCAATAGATTTTCGTGTAATTTTTCCGCCCTCCAAATTTTATAACGCATCGGGTCTTGACGCTAGACGGCATACGACCTCTCCCAAAATTCCATTGGACGGACGTAAAACGAATTCATGGCCAGTCGACGAAATGATTATCAAGAAGCATCAAGGATGCCGAAATGTCAGCTACTTTCGAGATGGTTATTTTTATATAGCGTTAAAAAATATGTCCTTAAAATTTAACACCACTCGACACTAATTCATCGTTAATTATTCTACGTGACGTACGTACATGCTTTAACGAGAATCAACAATATCAATATATCGTATCATCTTCCAAGATCCAATAACCTACCTGGAATTGCGTTTTTCACGGATTAGAGGTATTTCGAGGAACCACGTGTTATCAGCACAATAGAGCAAATAGCTGAAAGCCGAGGCATATCCTTTGCGCAATCTCATAGCCTTCCTTTCGAATCGCCGATTAACCTGTGTGACTCGCGTTTACGAATTTTCAAAGACTGCCGTAGTGAATTGACTTAACTTTGTAATTTGAAGAAAAAAAAAAAAAAAATTTGTTTTCCCTATATAAAATTGAACGGTAACAATACTTTGAAAACAAAGAAAAAAACTTACCCGCGTAGGTGCTCTTGAAGCTCTCGTGAAGTTTGAAAGTGAACGGTATGTGAACCTTCATCATCTTCATTTGGGGAATTCGAGGGGAATGCGTCATGACACCGCCATTTCCGCCGAACATCAGATCATCGCCATGCAACCGAAGTACCATCATGTTCCTGCACCAACGAAAAGTACTTTTACAGCAATTACTGAGCTCGTATCGATAACATTAATGGATTCCGTTGTAAAGTGTCAAGTGACATTTGGCTTTGACGTAGCCAGTTGCAACTTGATTTTACGCAACATGTCAGCATCGATACAATTTTTTGAAACTTCAATTGCGTATACATCTAAAAACGAATTTTAAGTCGAATGTAAAAAGAGAAAAAGTATTTGAAAAAAAAAAAATATATATATATATATATATATATATATATATATATATAACCTGAGCACGGAGTAAATTAAAGGATATATGGCGCACGTGCGATTTTTATAAACACCGATATTCGTATACAGGGTGTCCCACTTTAACTGTTACGCGGATATATCTCGAAAACAAGTTTTAAAGAAAAATGAGAAAAAGATTAATGAAATTATCGTGTGTCCTAGGTACAGTTTCAGGTTATTGTTCGATTTCTTTTTTGATAATTAAACTAATTAAGGCAAGATCGGTCGGTGACCCAGCCGATTCCGGTAAAATAAACACGTAAAGTAGTTACTTCAATTATCGTTACGCATCTCTCTCGGTATTAAGTGTTCAAAGCACCCGCCGTATTCTCTGCACACGTTAATCTATAATTAGCGATTTAGTTTGTTTTTGATGATTTCTCAATTTTAAAACTCATTATTGAATAAAAATAATATTGAATAATTATTGAATAAAAATAATCAATTTGAAATATACTCTTCTGAGAAACAGCATCCAACTACCAGACTGAATTTGATGGATAGAACTAGGAAAGGCTGTCGTGCGGTGACGCAACAAATACTTAGGAAAGACTACGGAGCCCCGGAGGAAAAATTCAATCGGACCGTCTGTTAGCATCCTCGAAGTTCCATAACTTTTGTTTGAAAAATTTTTCTCAAAAACTTGTCTTCGAAATATTGCGATGTAAAAGTTTAAGTAGGACACCCTGTATATATATATAAATATATATCCGAAATATATATATTATATATATATATATATATATATTTTCGGTTATATAACTGCTTCTTTGTCAAAGCAGTTAAACAAGAAAAAACACTAAGCATGTCAGCCATACAGATTTTCAATCACAGCAATGTGGAATACGAGAGCGTAAATTACTATCGCCAAGATGTTCGATATTTTGATTAAACTCCAAACAATTTAATTTACTTCACTTATAAATGAAGAAACTTGAAATGGCATTATTCCAGAAACTACCTGTCACATTTTTTTTAAGCCATAATCATCACAATTGTCTTCGCACGTTTTTACTTTTATCCCAACGAAAGATAAATATTCCGATGCCATCATCCATATTCAAGAGAAAAATCTACTGAGATACTCTACTGTTTAAAAAAAATCAAGTGTGGTCTTACGTATTAGTCATCCTAGCAAAAAACATGTTGGGATATATTCATTGACTTAAGAGTTCCGTTTTGTACAATAATTCAGCAAAACAGGCTCATATCAGACTCATTTTTTGGTCGGATAAAAAACACGACAGGCGCGGGATCATAATTTATAATTTTGAATAATGTTTCGATCGTGCCAAGAGGAAGTGCTAATAACAATAAATTACTGTCATGTATGTTTCAATACCGCACGTGTTAAGTGATACAAGAAACAAAATACGTCAAACGTCAGTTTAAGTCAAATTTGAAAAATATCTATATAAAATTTTGTTTTTACAAATCCATCTCCAGCAGCATTTGTGCTCATAATTCGAGTGAGAAAGTTTTACAATTTCTGAAGGTGTTAAAATTTTTATCAAAATTTTAGTCAACACTATATGCAGTGATTAATAACTACACGCGTGTAATAAGAAACAGTCCATCATACTCAACGAAGAAGAATGCTAACAATGAAATGACGTAAACAGTGCGCAGCGCATAGCTATTTGTGCAAATAATGTTATACATATCAGTGAGGTCTGTTTATCGTCATCAACCGTTCTTTGCACGTGACTGAAAAATATCTTTTCTAAAATTCGTCTCAATAGCATATGAAATGTCTTTCTCTGCCTCTGCCTTTTCTTTGACTGAAAAATGTCTTTGTTAAAATTCGTCTCAATAGCATATGAAATTTCTTTCACTGCCTCTGTCTTTTCTTTGACTGAAAAATATCTTTGCTAAAATTCGTCTAAATAGCATATGAAACTTCTTTCTCTGCTAATGGCTGCGCTGATAAGTTCGTGAAAATCGCAAACACTGGAACTAGAACGTAATGCCTTAGGAAGGTTAGAGTAGTTATTTTTAGATTATTTTAAAAAGGGACCAATGAGTGTGAGCCGGTACGTTGATGAGATGCGCAAAAAGAACTTGACAAAAAGCTATGGAATACATTTGCATGTTATCAGACTTTCGATACGGCTGATTCAGAGATATTTATCGATTTCATTGTTCAGCTTTATCTAAAATTCAAAGGAGTATCTTTGTCGTGAATTCGTTGAATTTATTTAACTCTACAAATATAGAACGATTAAAAAAAAAGCGAACGTAGTTTCTTGAAAGGTGGAAAACAAGATAATAAACCGCATATCAATAACAGAGAAGGACACGAGTCTCTGAACAGTTTATAGTTTAGTTTGTCAAATAAACAATTTTAAGAATTCCAATATTATTGGTGAATATTGACTAGACTTTCGGCTACGGCAGATTAGCCAATATTGCAGTGATAAGTAAATTCTGAAACGGTTAATTGTATCTTGAAAATGTCAAAAATATAGTTAAGCGTCTCATACATACCTCATGATAAATAAGACAACTCCGCAGAAACATATCAACACTGCAAGAACAGAGAAAATGTTCGACAACTCAGCCACGGATACTAGCATCGCTGTCATCTTTCCTCACTGCGTGAAATCTGCACTAACCCCACTTTAAGGTGGAAAACACAAAGTTTTTAATCGGTGATAAAGGGCGATACACAAATACGACACAGCGCCTCGGACAAATCCTCGGTTTCCCCAAAGAAGCATTAATATAACGTAAACACTCCGTATGGATCAATGTCCTTAAAGATTATATTAAAGAATATCCTTGATTGTATACACAACACACACCGCACAGAATCTGCTTTAGTATCACTTTAGGATTCCCTTAATTCGATTTCCTTGCAAATATAAAACTAACAGATTCCGTCTTGTCAGACAAATTTTCAGGGACGTATCTGCGTGTAAGGGTGCACTTCACAGTCGCGTGGTAACCGTGTTTATGCAACAGGCAACTCAATGTATACCAGTCCTCGATAAAGTTTTTCTTCCTCACAGCTTAAGTATGGAACGATATGGAATCGGCGATGAAACTGGTAGCATTCAGAAAAATCCTGATGAAAGTTTCGTAAATTTTTTGCAAACGTATGTTTCGGTAGTCCTACCACTTTTCTTCTTTGACACTTTTTAAACTTCTCGAAAGTAGGTGTCCCTCGTGGATTCGTAACGTAGATGCGTCAATCGATCCACATTGTGAAAAATAGAGATAAAGAGAGAATCGAATAATGAGAGCAAAGCCCAAGTACAGTCCTGACCTTTTTTCTACTGCCTACGTATCGTTGTCGATTCGTCTTTCACTGTTCAGTATATAAACCGCACCACTGTGTACCCGCCGTGACTTTCCATCGCGTGCTACGTGCGCCTTGAGACTGTCCCATGCGTGAACCACACGATCGACTTATACGAGGAAAGAGAAGGATGGATTGATAGATTGAAGATAGGAGAAGTAGAGGTAGAGAGGTAGAAGGAGATACAACTCCTACCTATGCATCTCTGTGCCTTCGGGTTACCTCTCCTCTGCGCGCTAATAATGCGTAGAGGATGGTGGGGAAAGCGACAGAGACAGAGTTAAGACTACAAAGAGATTAAGAGAGAGAAAGAGAGAGAGAGAGAGAGAGCAGTAGAATAGATGGCGTGAGACCGACAAGCAGCGTTGGGACAGCGAGACAGAATATTAGGTACACCTAATTTAATGTCTGTGAGTAGAACGTGTTAGACCGCACCATATTACCACAATTAGCATCAATTTAGTCTCCGTGATTCATCATGAAACGAAATTGGGACGTCGTGAAGGTCCATTCTCTTCTGCGTTCCGAATTAATTTCATTGGCGAGAATATCGAGAAGGTTCTTTTAACGTACAGGGTTTCGTATAACTGTTTTCATTCAAGGTTGGCAGCCATGTTGCACTGTACCCGGAAACTTCACTGGTATAAATGATCTAACTTTATTTATTCGTAAATCACTGTATTTATTTAACGTGCAATTTATTTGGTCATTGGCATTACCATGTGTTTCTGCTCCCGAACCTTTCGTGCATCCAGGGAATCGATGTTTCTGAGAAGTTCGATTCGCCACGTAATAACACAACGAAATATTGTAACACGTTACATAGTACGATAAGGGGTTTATGTTCTTCTAGATTTTGTAATCGTAACTTTCTTTTCTTTATGCAGTATGCATCATTTCAAATTTCAGGAGTTAACTTGACACTTTCCCGGTGGACAGAATAATGCTGACAGACACGATTGGCTTGAACAGCTGATGAAACGACGCGACACTAGTGACATCTAGGTGAACGACTCGCTGGAAACAAATAATTCACAAACACACCGCACGGTTTTCGAACGAACAACACATATTACTTATCAGTATAATTTAAAGGTATTCATTGATGATTAATCAGGAGATTGTTAAACTCGTCACTTTCAGCGTCATTGCATTTCTTTACATATCTTGGAAATTGCAGATATACGAAAAGAGGATAATGTCCAACAAAATAATCAGCGTGAACTTTGAGGTTTACGGACGAGTCCAAGGTAAATTATCTATCTAAATTATCACTTGATTACTACTCCGATAAGAAACTGAATCATTATTTTAATTTTTACAGGAGTTTTCTTTAGAAAGGTGAGTAAAACTGGTACGCTCAATCGTCCACGTTCTAACTGTAAATGGGTTAACTGTACATCGTAAATCTGTAAGCGTAAAATTGTACCGACACATACATGGTGTCTGAATAGTTTCATACAGAAAGGAATATGGAGTTTATTTTTGTGATCAGAGAACTGTATACGAGTGTCTGCATGCAACAAAAAATTGCGTACAGTTCTTGTAGACAATGATTTAACTCTATCGTAGACTGGAACACTAATTTTTGACGACTAAGTTTCGCTGTACAGTTGGTCGTATGCTCGAAGCGTTGCTTGTAGAATTATTCATCGACGACATATAATTCGTGATGTACAGTCATGCGTCCACGTAAAGTTCTTGGGTGTCTTGGTTGGCCCATATACCGGATATGTTCCAAAATTCGCATACAGTTCTACGAGTATGGCTATGTCTCACATGCCTGCGGATAAACAGAGACATAATGATATCCGTCATACCCGCAATGAATTTTGAAACGTGTCCATAGCTGCCGTGTGTAGGATTCAAATTCATTCAAGCATAATATCTTGTAATGGCTCGATAGCTGTTCTATTAAATAATTTTGGAGAACTACAGTTATACATGCAATCCATGATATCATTGAAGTCTTGTTTATACGATAAATGTTTTTCATGTTTCTTTAGCTTCCTTATACGACCGTTAAGTTTCGCATTATTCACTTGAAATGCGATTTGCAGATTTATCTATTATTAGGGCCTCGAACCCCATTTCCCATGGAACTTGTACCCAGTTTAGTTTAATCCAATGAAGCAACCAAGTAAATCAGAAAGTCGCTTGCAACGTGTATGAAATGAAGCATAGAGTTAGAGCTTTAATGAGTGATCGCCAGATGGTGCTGGCGTGTTCTTATCGATTGATGTCATGATAGTAGATTTCTACAAGACTTATGGACAGAGAACGTAATTTCTGTATAATAAAAAATAATGTCGTACCTTAGAAACCTGCTGAAATTTGATCAGAGTATATCTAAAAAGTATAATTGCATAATAGACATAAAATATTTCTTCATCATACATATTTTATGTTTTATCTTATACAGTATACGAAAAAGCGATGTGAAGAGTTGGGCCTGAAGGGATGGTGCATGAACACTGAAATTGGAACCGTCGTCGGCCACATTGAAGGAGAAAAATCGAAAATCGAAGAAATGTACGTTTACCGATTGTAGATATCTTTGAGACATTTTGAATATCTGTTAACTGATACAATAGCCGTGTAGAGTAACGTTTAAAAGATCGTCTGATTATATACATTTATTTCAACAGATATATTTATTTGTAATCGCAGAAAAGAATCGTCTTTAATATAAAATCTAAGCTTCACACGTCATCCTATATACATTTAACAATATAATAATACTAATTTTCAAAACACCATACCTTTCAACAATATATCTAAAGCTGTTTCTTTTTTTTCATTTTAGGAAACATTGGCTCCAATATAAAGGTAGTCCACAATCATTGATTGATAAAGTCGTATTTCGCGACGAGCAAGAACTGTCGCAGCCAACATTTTCGGATTTCAAAATCCGCCGATAAATAAGTTAAATTGTACAATTAGTATTTATTTTTGTATCTTTATCACAATAAAGACAGTTTACAGTCATCCTCAAATTAATCTAATAAATTGTTATATTAAGAAAACAAAAAAGTACGTAAGTCAATGTAATGGTTAACCATAAAAAAGTGCAAGTCCATTTGTCACAGGTTCGTATTCATTAAATCAAGTGTGGATGTTGGCAGTTAACGTGTACATGTCACTACCACCACTACCAGTTCCCAGCAAGTTTGATCACTTCGCCTCACTGTTGGCTGAGCGTTCGCTCAGTGCTGTTCACTATTATTCACTGCTGTTCAACGCTAAAGTGCATTCCGTTAAATGTTCCAAGGACAAACGTAAGAATCTTCCTGAATGATTTATACCGATCGAAACTAGAGAGCTTTAAATAAAGGATCAAAATATTACTGTGAACGAAGCTGGTATACAGTGACATACTGCATTAAATAACAGTGCGAGACGGTCATAAATTTCTTCAGTGTCTCATTGCGAAATAAACAAATCAAAATGACAATTGGTGAAAGCGAACGACAGTGTGGATATGTAGTTAATCTTTGACAATACAAAATTGAGGAATAAAAAAATAAATATATTAAAAAATAAGGATATGCGTGTTAAACGTTGTAACAGTACTGAATAAACTTCTGTTTACATTTCAATTGACACCTGTCAATTTAAACACAGAATCTCGCTGTAAGAATGCCATCGGGCATCAAATACTTCAAAGGCTTTTTCAAGCATACTTGGCATCTGCAACAGGTGAGCCACATGGTATTTATATAATGATTAGATTTCCAAGGTCTACAAGCACAAGCAATATGTTTAATTTTTCATTGGATATGAAAACTTTTACTGATACTCAAAATACAATAATTAGTAAATCCTTAATTTTTATTACTGAAAGTGATATACATATGCAAAAATTGGAAAGTCGATTGCATGATAAATCAAGACAAAAACTTTTTTTAACGTTTAGTGCAAATCTATTGGAATTCTTCGCTTTTTACGTAACAGTGCTCATGAAGGTATATATATACGTTAATGATAAACGCGTTTTGAAATGCATATCCATGACGGCTGCTCGTCATGGAATAACAGTGATAATAAAATAATAATTTTGTCTTGAATTAATAACTGTACGATCTACTATTAACGCAAGAATTGTCGGTATTGTAGATAATTTTTATTTTTATCTAGCAGGGAACAGAACCAATGCTACGTATAGATACGTTTCATGTGAGTTGACACGTTGTTGAATTTTTGTAAAATGGAAGAAAAAAATATAAAATTTACTTTCGACGTTGGCTATTCATTTTTGAACGTACTAAAAATTAATACTTCAACTTTCTATCTTTCCTTTCGTTAAATATCCAACTGATACGTGACCATGTGATACATCCGGCAGTTCAATATTATAAATTATACATGATCAATGTATGCAGTGGGTCTTTCGTATAGAGAGAGAGAGCCCATATGCAAATAAAATAAATATGATAATAAAACAAGATGATAATATTGAAAGTTCGCACAGGGTAGTTTGATCATTTTTATTTTTCATAGCAATCGATAAAATAAATGCATATCGTTCAATGTAATACAGAGAATTGTCAACTTCTCTGTGAATCGATTTAAAGTGATTTTAATTGAAATCGAGTATCTCTTTAACATATTGTATATTGTATTCTTGAAGAAAGTTTCTTAAGGCTTTGTCGCCCATTTAACATCGTCAACTCGGTCTAGAGTCTCGAAACTTGTCAGACTATGACATTTAACCAATGATGACAGGACGCATTCCTAGCAGTGTACTTATCATCACAAATAAGTTTCACCCAATTACGTAAGGTAAAATGCCACCTAAACGACGTGATGCCAGCTGTTGAAAGTGGCCTGGCAACATGATAAAAAAAAAAAGAGAAATTGTTTGAACGTCTAACGATAATTACATCTGTGCAAAACTTTCGCCAAAATTTTTTTCTCTAGAGAGGGTAACTTCTAGCTACGTTAATTTTTTAAATTTTCTGATTAGATAAATCGAAGTAAAATTTTGACTAGTTTTGAAAAAAATTTTAATTATAAAGATATTCATTTATTCGAATCGCTATGGCGTGCCATTTATGTGTATAGAGGGTGCAACATGAAATGACGGTAGTGATAGGTACTTGTGAAAAATTGTTAAAAATGGGTGTATTTTATAAAGAGACAATTTGCAAAAGTAAGGTTAATTTTGATTTTCAAAAAAGGAACTTCACGAGTCTAGCGACTTGATGGTAATGCAGAAATTAAAGCGATAGCCAGGAGTCAAGCTTTTATGAACGAGATCAAAGGTCAGATTCGATAATGTTTGATAATGCGCCCTCTCGTGCTTGACTAGTCAGTCTTCTATTAAACACTGGATAGTTCACTTCTCGTTGCGTATCATGCGTTAGACGTATCTCGACGTCAAGATTCTCCCGTGAGAGACTTTCTCTCCTTTTCCCGTTTCTTCAAGCAACCCCTCTCTATCTTTTTCTTTAAAAATTCTATTATACAAGTTCGTACGCCTATATAGGTATACTCGCGAACGTATTTATAAATACGTAAATTTACATTTGAAGTACAAAATAAAATAAATATATGTACACGTGTATAGTAAAGCGAGTTTTGTGCTTTGAAAAAAAAAAGGATAAAAAGAATAAGATCTGCGAGGTTAATGAAGATAGAGATTAATTAATTAAATCGGAATCACAATGCATCGTGATACTAATAATCAACATGGGTGCAAGCTTAATAAAGTAAGTTGCTATATCAAAGAATAAAAATTTGGCAAATGAGTGATAACTTCATTGAATTATTTTTCAATTACAATAATTACGCTTATAAAAGGCAGAATGATTTTCGATAGAAATAATATTTAGCGATAGCGTATTTTAATTATTGACATTGAATAATTCTCAAGCTGGTATCATGTATAAGGAAATATTCATTAGAAAATTTTCAATGGTCAAGGTTATATTCACATAAGATTACAATAGTAAAAAACAGTCAACATTTATGTTATCGGAATTGTCTCATTTATGCCAACTAGATAATAAATAAGGAAATATGAATTACGAAAAAAATGTAAGCAGATCTAAAAAGGGTTATCTAGTTTCTGACGTGGGTAATTTCTTTTGATGCATCTTGTGTTCAAGAGAAAATGTGAAAATATTATTTCCCAGTCGATCGAACTATGTTCAAAGGAATTTTTTTTATTACTTTTCAAAAATTCTTTAATTTTTTTTTCACAATTATCTTACAGTGTTAATTAATTAATATGGTCAATAACAGATGGTGTCCAATACAATAGTTGCACCGTCCTGCAATTACTTATGGGATCATCTGTGTCTTGATCAAGTCGCTGGCATGATGGGCTCAATATACGAGGGTGGTCCTGAACCGGAACAAGATTATTTTCCAAAGAAAAATCGAATTCCATCGTTACACGTAATCCTCATCCTTCTCCTTAGATCAATCTTTGATTACAATTTATGCATTATGTTTAATCATACGACAATTTCCATATAATGAAAGAAATACAATTTTTATCTCTCTCTCCTGAGAACGATAAGAACCAACTGACAGTGAAAATGCACTAGATTTCGAAGAAACTTTATGTTTCTTTTGAACACTAACAATCGTTCCTAATGCTGTATCTAACGTGTCTTCTAAGTTATTCAAAACAATCGTGACGACACTCAAGTCGAGACACCACATAGCATATCGGCTGACAATGGATTTTTGTAGCTCGAAACCAGACACGATAGTTGCTCGATTAAAGTAACACGTGCGACCAGAAACTAATACAGTATGAATCGAATAAGAATAGAAACAATATCACAATCTCTGGAAAAAATTACCTTATATCCATTAACCGCACATTAATTAAATGAGAACTAGGCAATTGGCATAGTTAAAAGAAGCATTTAGATATTCGTTGAAATATAAAAATAGTCGTGGATCTTACATTTGTATAGTGTATTTAGGTAAAACGTATGTATAAAAATTTTTAAAAAGTTTACTGCATATCGCTTGCTTTAACAAACTCGATTAATGTAGAAATGATAAAATTTATAAGTGATTCTGTTCAGGAAGTTACGTTATAAATTTTTTAATTAACGTAGAATTCACTTTAGGTTTTTCTACGATTAATGATTAAACTAATATATCAATCCGTATATTAAGTATTTATACTATGTGTTCCATTTGCAGATGGATAACCCAACGTTCGAGAATGTCAACAAAGCCGAAGGCCGTTGTACGGCCGGGACTGAACTGTCGGAGGTGAAAGTCGGCGTGTCTACAGCGACGTCGACGGCAGCTACATCCACGCCTGTATTGTCACGAAGTATACCTTGTGGGAATGGCGGCTGCAAGGCCACCAGGAGTCACGGAGAAGCACGACCAGAAAGTCCCTGGCATTTACTAAAAACGATCTTCCTCGTCTCTGTAATTGTCGCTTTGGTTATATGGGTGATTGTCTATACGTTACTGGCCCAGTACCGGATCTTGTAACAGAAGTGCCCTGCATAATACTTTAAGGAGAATGGGAGAACAAGACATTCTAGAAGAAAAAAAATCAAAAACGCTAATAGAAGTAAGTGAAAACATTCGTATGGCTCTTTGATCGAAAATGGCTATGCGTATATAAACAATTGTTTAACGTTGAACATCTGTGTAAATTGTATGTATTTCAGACACATTTTCTACTTCGTTCACAGCTACCTACGACGATACTGAAATGATATCTACGTCAACGATCATTCCACCGAGCTAATTTTGCTCGCACATTGTATTCTCTACGGAAAAGAAAGAGGGATTTGCGAAAACAATAGCGTATTAATTTTTAATTAATTTTAACCTGAGGTATATTGTATATTTTTTTTTTCTGTGAACTGTTATGCGTACTAAATTGTTGATTAGTGAAAGAAACTATACGGTACATCTTTTATATTTGATTGTACGTCTAGCATAGGTTTGACTTTTCTTTATTTATAATTAAAATTGTAATTGAAAGTATAGAATGCACGATCGATTTATTTTAGGATATTTTTCTTACTGTAACGAACTCGAGGTATAATTATATATTTTGTACAATACACTTATTCTATTTATAATTTAATAGTGGTAACAGTGATATCACTGCGTGATACATGTCTATACAGCTTTATTAAAATCAGAAAAAAAAGTACTTGTAACAGTTGCACAAAGCAATGCAAATTGTATACGTATTATCCATTACTAAAAAGTGACGCTGAAGTTGGTTAAGAAAGACTGACAATCGTTCGATCGAAATTTTTTTATCAACACCCTCGTTCTCGACGAACAGTCAAAGTCATAAGTTTTCACACGTGTCAAGAGATTTTCAGAGTTTTAGAAACTTGTACTTATAAGACATATTTTTTGTACGATATCTTCAAATTATGGATATGTGGTTTGTTATTGAATAAAGGTAATATACAAAAATTTCTTATAACCAGAAGAAGACGAAACGTATACAGTATTCATGATTAGTCTGTATTTCCAACTGTTACAACAAGGTTATATTGGCAGAATATTATATACATTATCCAATAAAGCTAAAACGACAAAGTAATACAAACGAATGAATAATTGTTTGTGTCATATCTGAATGACGTTTTGTTTTGAACACGTGTCTTCTACCCCTTCCTGAAAGTTAGATATAAAATTAATGTAAGACCACTTGACTATTCTTCTGAATCTAAGTAAATTATTAAATTTTTATTTACAGGTGAAAACTGGAAAATGTTTAATATCAGATTGCATCGAGAAGAGACAAAATTAATTTCAATTGAGATTGAGTAGGATTCCTGTTAACCCTAAAGATCATGCCAGGTAGCAGTTATCACTTGACATCCTATTTCACAGAATTTCATCAAATATTGAATGAACGTCCAGCGTCTTGAAAAATAGACTAACTTGGAAACATTTTGACAATTTTTCATTTATTTCTCGCTCTCTTCGTTCTTCCCTCACTTTCGTTCACTGGAAGACCCAGAAGTTGGTAGTCTGATAAACTTGAATATCTTTGGTCAACAAGGGCCTAGTTATTGATAACAACGTCTCCCAGACATCAGAAGCAAATTGCTGTCTATTGAGGTAAGAAACTATTTTTATTTAAGTGCCTATTTTAATAAAATGCCTATGTACATATCTTATGCAATAGATTAAAGTTTTATAACCATGAGGAATCGAATACAAAGTCATTAGAGGCAAGGTCGACGATACTCGAATTACTTAATGAAAGTAGCTGGAAAAGTCAGCTGATCAATTTTCGAAGACCAAAGCACAGAAATTTGAAGACAGACAATTTCTATAGGTTTCAATAAGGAGAATGAATGGATGGGACTCTGGAGAAGGATCTATGTCAAATTCCGTTAGGGATTTAGAAATGGATATCTTACAACATTTACAATGTTGGCAGCCCCCCTTTGTGTGTATGATGAAAAATAGTTCCCTAAACGTTAGAAATCCAATAGCAGACATTTTTTTTATTTTTTCAACAAATTCTAACTTGGCCATCTGCGTTGCACTTTCGTTTCACCTTTGCACGTAGCGACGATTGATTTTGACTTAAAAATTCGGTTAAAAAGTTCTTAATAAAAATATTATTTACAGGGACCAGCCTGGAAAACAGCGCCGGGACAAAAGTTATCGATGTGGCGAGAACATTAGGAAAGTCAGCCGTTTCCGTTAACAAGCAACGAGAAACTACAGAAAATCCTGAACCTTCTACGTCATCAGATTCAAGAGTGTTACTCAAATTACAAGACGTTTCCGATTCCGATATTATTAACAACAAAGACATTCTAATGCAGAAATTTTCCAGCCTGGAGAAATTGGCCAACGACGAAGATGACAATTTGGTAATTAATTTTTTTTTTTCATATCACAAAGCGCTATTTTTGCCGTAATAAATTTTCAATTTTTTTTTAGTCATCCGCGCCGGAAGAAACCCAAAACGAAAGACCCAGACGAATACTCGTGGGCTGGGATTCGTTTCGAACTAAAACCATGATACTTCTTTTGATTCTTTTCCTACTGTGGGCAGCCATTTATTTTCCTCTTATCAGCACGTGATTGTCAATTTGTTTTCTGATTACGATTGAAAAGTACTTTCGCAGTGCTTTGACAAGATCGTGAATAAGCATTGACATAAATCATTTTGAGATCCTACAATTGACAAGATTACTAACTAAAATTATTAACGACTCTAAGAGCATTGTTTTTCAATGCTTATCGATTATCGCTATAAGTTACATTTAATTATACATTATTTACAACGTCATTCTTTACTATAGTTCGCAAAGCTCTCGAGTCCAACATATGAGACATGAGTTTCGTTATTCAGTCAACAATATAAATAGTAATGAATAATAAATAATAATATCAATAAACAAAAAAAAATGATTCAAAATATCATTGATCGACGTCGGAAGGCGTTGGTTTATTTTATTAATTTTTAACAAAATTTCTATGATATATTCATGTCCAAATAAACAAGCTATTGAAACGTTGCATATGAATATTCATAAGTAAATAAAACTCCGCCATAAATTAAAAGTGCAATACGTTTGTTTATGTTAAAATAAATAGTGAAGTATCAAACAACATAATGAAAGTCAATTAACACATCTAATATATAATAATATATATGTATATACATATATCAACGAAATTTTTATGAAAAATATATATTATTTTTATAACGCAATATGAATTTTCCATGTATTATCAATTGTTTCGAATATTCTGATTTGATTGTATTCATGGACTGCGATAAGTTTGACCATTGCTTCAACTTTTGTGACCAATGAAATATAACAGGACAAAGTACTGTACAGTGGTAACCAATTGAAATTGATTTCCAGGGGAAAGCGTAGTTGCCTCTGGGCAAGAAGTCTGTTGTCGAGACTTTAGTATAACTTAAGACGTTTACGGAGTATCACTCCGAGTACTCTCCGGATACTTTCAATTATTATATTCGCCGCTGACTTCTTCATTTACAGGAAGACGATGCAGCTAAAAACACTGCTTGTATCTCTGCTAGTGTTATCCCTTATTGTAGGTAAGTAAAGACCATGTGGGAATCCGATTGTTGTTACGATAAATAATAATAACAATGATATAAATATTTGATAAATTATCACAGTCGAAAAGACGATTTTAATTTAGGAAATATAATTTTATAGAATAAAAATAAGTGCAAAAATAAAAGATGGCCGAATTGAACCTAATGTTAATCGTAGCATCTGGTTTTTTGAACAAGCCTATTAAATATTTTGTTTTTTGCATTATTTCGTATTCTCAAAATTCTACTGGAATTAATTGTTTCTATATAGGGTGTTCCTTATGAGCATGGATCTTTTTTAACTTGAAAAAAGGTGCCGTTGGGAAACATTGTTGGCTATATGACTCACGTCTTTTCACCAATTATCATGTTTCTTAAAATTCTTTGAATTACTGTATATACGTATTGCTCTTAAAGCTTCCAGAACGATCTTTGAATTTAACGGCTAACACATGCTTTACAGGTGAATAAAAAGAAACGGTACTTTTTTATACAGCATGCATTTCAAAAATATGAATATTTCAGAGAATCGTGATCCACTACGTGGTTCAGAAATGATTTTCAATAGAAATGACTCATGAAGTGAACCAAGTTAATAAAATTAATTTGATAAATTTATACTTTGAAATTTTTGAATTGTTATTACAGACTTTCGAGATTTAATCGATTATTCATACTAAATACGTGCTAGCTTGGAATAAAACCTTGAAAGACACACTCATGAACAGTCCATCTACGGCCCTGAATCCTTAAGCATCTTTTATACCGTGTCAAGGATATTTTGTATTTGTATTTGTTCATCATCGAAAACGGAGTAGACAAATTTATAAATTATCTGAAATAACGGTGCAATATATAACTTTCTAAAAAAAATCAAGATCAGTTTGATTCGAATTTTTTTTTTAATACGCTAGTCAAATCCTTTGCTAAAACGTCAAGATTGTCGTACAGCACACAAAAATCTTGGAGCTACTAGAATCGTGACATAAAAACACCTACAGGCTAATACGTCCTGTCTGAATCGCTGAATAAATGATGTCATCGTTTCTTATAAATGTCTCGTAACAGAACGATTTTTAAGTACTTCATTGCAATACAAAAGAAAGCAGTCTAAAAAAATTAAAATATTAAATATTAAAATGTCTAAAAAACATTACGATACATATTTAGATACTATTACAAAATTTGAATGACTAACACATGCATATATAATTTATGTGGTGAAAGTAGTAATAAAAAAAAATTGTTCTGCCCATTTATAAATTTGAAATTATTTGTTTTGGTTTACAATATAAAAAACGTGTTTACGTGTTGAACTAATCTTGGCTACGATGACGATATATCAATTCCAAGAACATTGGCCTCGTTGCGCTCCAATAACGTTCGGATCACTTAATTCATAAATCTTCCTTGGGCCGTTACTAACTCCTCGTTATTGCTCAGTTATAAGGAGAAACACGGGCAGATATAATATTATTAATTTTTCAAGGTATTTCCAGAATACAAGGGAAATGCGTCTGAGACGACATACATTTTCCTGTGTTAATTCCAAAACCGTCTCAGACACTTTTTCCCTATCCAGTAAAGTGAACTTATGGTAATTCTGATTCACTTATAGTTCATTAGAAGCTTACGATTTTATAATACTTTAATACAGTCACGTTAAGGAAAACAATCTCAGTGGCCTGTACCCCGTCTTCGCGAAAGTTCAAGGCGCTTGAAATCTCCACATTGCGTCATGTATTATCAATGTGAAATTTAGCAGCAAAGGCAAACAGATAAATAATTATGTTAAAAGCGGTTGCACTTTTTTATATCTCTGAGTGAAAAATATTATTATATTTTTAAATATATTTTTTACATCAGCTGTGTTCATTGTGGTTAAATGCGAATCTAAAATTCAAAAATTCGATAATTAGAATATAATCAAATGGAGAAAAATCAACGAAAAGTAAAATTACTTTATCCATTTTTTGTTTTTACTAACGCGCGATAGTTTCTGGGTTAATAATATCACATTCGAATTTACAATAAATTGATAACAGGTGATGTCAATGCCGGATGGAAGTTCTGGAAAAAAAAGAAGGACAAGGATGAAACAACGGAAGCACCTACAGGAATTTCGACTTCGGCGCCTGGCAAGACCACAACAGCAGCGGCAGGAGGCACGACGTCAACGACACCGAAATCGACGGCAGCTACGACAGCAAAATCGACAAACAAGGCTGTGGCAGGAGCGGCGGATCCTGGTTTAGCTATTGGAGTTGGTAGTACCGGAAGTAATATAAGAAACAATGCTCAACCTCAGAGGCCCAATCCTGGCACCGACGTTGGCCTGGATATTCCAGGCCCCAGACCCAATCGACCAGGTTTGGGTAACGACAATGGCCAAGGGTACAGAAATTGGGCTGCTGATTTGACTGGTGCTGGAGAGAGAAACCCACCACCCAAATTGCCAAGTCAGGGTCCAGCATTGACTCCTGGTGGACAGCATCCAGCGCAAGGTGAAGCATTGAGACAGATAGAAGAATTTTTGAATGTTTATTAAATTAGGTTTTTAATAGCATACTTATTTTTTATTTGTCATCTAATTGCACCGTTTCTGAACCCCTACTCCAGGAAGTCGAACTCAACCACAGCCAGCATCTCCAGGTAAGAGACTTTATTCTTTCAGTACATGCATATGTTTCCAGCATAATCATTTAAAATGTTTTTTTAATTGGCCATATTTATCTAAGTATATTGATTACTGTAAGCAATGTTGATAATAATTGATTTACTTAGGCAGTAGACCAGGGACACCTACAAGCGTTACACCTGTACAGCCGAATAATGGAGGAAGAACACCACCAAGCTTAGGACCACGACCTGGCTCTCAGAGCCCTAGTCCTACTCAACAAGGAGGTCCCATAGCACAGACTCCAAAACCAGCAACTTCGTCTACTCCAGGAAAACCATTAGTGTCAACGTTAAACATCGGCAGTTTAAATCCTGACAGCAGACCCAAATCCCCAACTTCTCATACTGGTCAATCTCAACCGGGATCACCTACTTCTACTACGAGAGGTCCCGGGCAAAATAGACCAGGGTCTCCTACCTCTTCTGCAGGAAGTGCCTCACCTACCGGTGGTAAATCTTGGGCGGATATTGCAGCCACTGGAACTGGAAGTAACTCTCCTACACCTGCGCCAAGACCAAATTTAACTCCGGGTGGCTCGGTAACTTCAAATGGACAAACTGGACAAACCGGACAGACAGGACCTGCTGGATCAAGGAGTCCAATGGGTTCCCCAGGACAAACCAGTCCAGGTAGCACATGTATTGTAACTCATGAGGACTTATCCTGAAGCGTGCGTGCGTATGTGTGCGTGCGTGCAAATTTCTGAGGAGAAAATTGTGGATGAACCGATTAGATTGAAACAAGAAAAAAATTTGGTTGATGATATTGATGATATGATAATTTTTACATACTTCAAGTACTTCCTGTGGCAAAATAGGCCGTAGGCAAAATTAACTTCTCTGTAATGATAAGTTTATAGCATACGACACATGCATTTGTATCTTAGGGAAAAACTGGCACTAATGATCTTATACAAATTAACGTTAATTTTTAACGTCCCTTTCGGCTGCAGGCTGCTGGAACTTATGGCCTCCCGAATTTCATGCAGCTAAAAATAGTGATCACTATTTATTGTAAATATCTTCCTCTGGGTACGGGATGTTTCATTAAAACTTCGTTTCCCGATTTTCAAGAATATGTTTGAATATGTTATAATTTTCAATTTTTGTATTTGACAGGTCAATCTCGCCCTAGTCAAGTTCCGGTGCAACCTTATGGTCAACCGGGACATCAAGGATCGCAACAGACAGGTGGAGGAGGCACATCAACTGGAACCACGACAAGGAAAGTTTACTCAAGTAATCCAACGTATAGCAAAGGAAATACTATCACGGATGAAGACCTAGAGAAACTATCTGAAGCTCTTTTCATCAAGGACGTGAACAATGCCAATAGATACATCACAGTAAATTTGCAAAAGAAAACAACAGGAAGTAGTCCAATTGATGAAGCACCACAACCGTACGTATCTTTTACTATATATGGAAGCTCTGTTTGATAAAAAGAAACTTATTACAAATAACTTGGTAATTAAGTCAATGTTTTTTTTATAGGCTTCTGAATGTTAGACCAGAAGCTTTACAAATTCCAACAATTCAACATGTACTAGCAATTTATGATAATTATAAATTGGACACACGCACAAATGAATATATCAGTCCAGCTCAAAGACAAGAAGAAAGTCTCCTAGTGGATACATTTTTGAGTACTAATGTAATGTCAGCTGCCATGCGCTTCTTGGCTGACAAGGGTTACATTCGTAAGGATTATTATGAGTACAAGGATACTCTTCGCAGACTTTGGTTCAACCTCTTTTCGAGAGGTGATGGAAAAATAGGAAGTACTGGCTTTGAGCACGTATTCCTGACAGAACTGAAACTTGGAACTGAAGTCATAGGTCTCCATAATTGGATCTACTTCAATGCAGAAGAAGTTAGCAAAAGAGCTGATTATTTGGGTTATATTAAAAAAGTTGATTTAGGAGACGTAAGTTTACTGTTATATTTAATGTGTTGAAAGATGCTGTTAAATTACAATAAATAGATAATAATAATGTAAATTATATCTTTTTCTACAGAAAGCTTCAATTATCAAGCTGCATACCAAATTCAATGGAATCGATAAGCCAGTCACTACAATGTTTATTGGCACTTCACCTGAACTGGAAATGGCTCTATATACTGTATGCTTCTTCGCAAGACCAGACAAACCATGTCCAGTTTCTTTGGGTGGCACAAAATTCAACATCATGACATACAAGTTCCGATACAGGGGAAAGGATCTTATTGGATCAGCTTATCCTGACATATAAAACATTTCATTGACTTTGTGATATTCATTTTAGAAACTACATAATGAATTTTTAAATTAAACCAATTCAAAAAGGTATAAAGTTGTTAATACTCTTGTATATAGTCAAAACTTCTGACTACTGAATGGAATAAAATAGAAGTGGAGTTCATAATAATTAGTAGATTGAAAAATTAGATCTGCCAAGAGTTGAGTGTTTCAATAGGGTACATAAAATGAAAAATTATACATTCAGCACTTTTTGAGATATGAATATCTATCTTATATTTCAAAATGAAACTATACACTAATTTTGTATTGTAAAAAATTAGGCTGTAGAGTTTATGTATGGATGATAACAAAGCATGTTTTTAAAAGCAATAATGAGGACAATTCCCTTTTCACAAGACAGTCCATTCTATACAAACTCTTACTATTACTTCCGTTTCTATTAATCATAATAAATAAATTTAATAACAACCAACCTGTTAATGTTGTCCCACTTGTTTATTCTCCATTCAAACATAAAATATTATTTTCATCCTGATTCCTTCACTAACCACCCATAAAATTACTAATTAGAATAAGATTTTGAAACACAAATATCATAAGCACTTCGCGTAAGTAGAGCCTTGGTGCGGTCGGACAGCCAAAACAGACAGTACCACGAACTTTGCATGATCTGTATTAGAATGAGACACGAGCGATTTTTTCAAAATTTTCCATCATTGTATCTCTATTTATCTGTATGCATATTCGAGAGCTACCGCCATGCCTCCCAGTGCAGGCAGTAAATTTTGAATATTTCTAAAATCCTTAATCGCGGTACTAATCTGGTTTACCAACCCTTCGCGCAGAAACAATGAAAGTGGAAACGTTATTATCGGGGACAATTATTATTTTCTTGTCCGTCGTGAAATTATATATTCAAACAATTCTTTCGATTCCTTTATATCGTATAAAAAATTCAACGGCACCCCTTTTTAAAGCAGTACGAAGTATTTCACTGATTTCAAAAATTTAGCGACAGTTGGTGCCTCAGGAGTGCACCGCGACATTGCTACTTTATCGGACCGCGTTCTATTGCATTAGCTGAGATCATAGAATCGTCATCCTTTCCGTAACTGCTATTTGGTAAGTGCATTTAATTTAAATAAAGTCAGGACTAGTGCTTTTTTGTACTTCATTCGTATTGCTGATAAATACTTATCTTGTTTATACACGTTACAGAATTTTCTTTCTATCCTATAATTTGAACATTTAGTTATTAGAAATTGTTGGTTTCTACGCTTTTCAATAACAAAATTCTCAATTTTGTTGAGAATCTCTTTGCTGATTATTTCTTCGAGACTGATTTGGTAGAAAGCTGCAGTACCGACATCCTAAGATGCTGCGATCTGTACCACCCAGTGCTACAATAACCACGTTAGATAAGAGCAGTAAAGAGATACTAATAGAAAGAATAAGTTTACTCGTAATCGGTATTTGACACTAAAGTTATTGGCTTTTCGAGCACTATCTACAATTTTCTAACGTATATCCAGCACGTCACAATACCATCTGCTGAAAGTATTTTTTGTCTTATTTACTTACATCAAATTGTGTATCTATAAATTAAAATAACTTAGACAACTCCATATAGACAAAGAAATGATATCCGTGATGAGACTGAGGTCAGTATTCATAGTCAGTACATCGTTTTAAGCATGATCTTGAATCATCTTCTACTACGTATTAAGATGATGCGTATACAATCTTAGACCCTGCTTCGTTTCAAGCACTGATTGTAAAGCACAGCGATGTATATTTTAAGTAAACAGATAAGCGCCACCGAGTTTTATCCGCATAACGCAACGAGTAATATCAACCACAGTATAAATGACAAGAGAGCTGGGGTCGTCGGAAATTGTATAACACGCTCATGTGTAGTTAGTTAGGTTCAACGCGTCCAATCATGTACAGAAACTTGAGTACAGTTCTACAAAAACGCGAGTTACGCACGGGACAGAAATTTCATTGTACAATTATCTTTGGACGAGCAATACTTAGTACACAGTATTGCATTGTGACAATTGAACGTGGATATCACAGTGAAAATGGTGTATATGGATATCGTCCAAAAATACAAAAGCATTTCGAAGGTAATTGTTTAGAATATTTACAATACACTTGTGAATTTTTGTTTTTAATTTATTAAGTTAGTGTTTAATTAATGTACTAATAAAATGATACGTATTTAATTATTGGATGACTTTATAATTGCGAAGTTGATTTTTATTTTTAAACGTATATATATTACATTGAAGTTTTATAATTCCAGTGGGAGCGGAATGCTTGGCGAATCGAGCAAAATACAGCAACTTTTATAGACTCGTCACGGCATACAGAGAACACGCTCATAAACAGGCTAATATAAATCCCATTTCTCTCAAGAAGCCTGCGATGTTGCCGGAATTGTTACCAAAAAAATTTGGTCTCAATTTATCGGATAAAGTTTCCTTTCGGAATATTTTAACAACGAATAAATCTGAAGGCACTGTTAAGGATGCTCTGGATATTCTCAATAAAGTATACAGTTCGACAATGGGAGCCGAATTTAGTTATCTCGATGTAAGCTATATACTTGATACTGAAAAGATAAGACTGAGAGTATTGAACTCTGAGGAACTGCTGGATATTTTGATTGATCATGCTAATTAGTAGCTTAAACAGTAGGTGTGTATGTTTGAAAAAATTATGTCCAACGTTTTTGAAAATTTCTGCAATTAGACAGAAGAAGAAAGAGAATGGTTTGCCGAGACTTTAGAAAGATGTCACGACGAACCAATCGACAGTGATACACAAAAAGCCATACTGAAAGAGATGCTGAAGAGTCAGGTGTTTGATAATTTTTTAGCAATAAAATTCGTAAGCTTCAAAAGATATGGCTGCGAGGGCGCTGAAAGCATGATGGCATTCTTCCATGAGATCTTCAAATTATCAGTACACGGTAAAAGATCTTTAAATACCCTTTACAAAACCATTGAGATTACAAAATTTGTTTTTAACTTATTAAATTTTTCATTTTTATCCTTTTACAGATACTCTCAAGAACATAGTCATGTGTATGCCACATCGTGGACGCTTGAATTTTCTCACGGGAATGCTCAAGTTTCCGCCTGAAAAGTTGTTTCGAAAACTTCGTGGTTTTTCAGAGTTTCCTGATGACGTGCAGGCTACGGGAGACGTTACTAGCCACTTTACCTCATCCGTAAATCTTAACATAGACAATGAAAAGTTACACGTCACTATGCTTTACAATCCTTCGCACTTGGAAGCTGTGAATCCCGTTTCCATGGGAAAAACAAGGGCGACAATGCATGCCCTTGAAGATGGTGCATACAGCGATAGAGAAGATGCACAGTGGAGTGACAAAGTTTTGAATCTTCAAGTAAATTTGAATATTAATATTACTTCATTTCCAATAACTGTCTTATCATTGATCACGATTAGTTTACGAATACAACTTATATTAAATGGAAACTATCATTTTTGAAAATTACTTGGAGAAAAATTAAGCCAGATTTTTTAGGTTCATGGCGATGCTGCATATACCGGTCAAGGTGTTAATCAGGAATGTCTCGCAATGAGTTATACCCCCCACTTCGAGATCGGTGGATCGATTCATATTATTGTTAACAACCAAGTGGGTTTTACGACTCCAGCTTCCAGAGGACGATCATCTAGATATTGCACTGATCTAGCAAAGTTTATTGCTGCCCCTGTTATACACGTTAACGGCGATGATCCGGAGGTAAATATTAACTTAATATAAATTATAGATTTAATATAAATTACCATCAATTATTCATTTTTACTTATAATTAAGATTGATTTATTATCATTGGGGTATATATTTTTTTTAGATGGTCATTCGAGCAACGAGAATTGCGTTTAAATATCAGAGAAAATTTCGAAAAGACGTCTTCATCGATTTCAACTGCTTTAGACGAAGAGGCCATAATGAATTAGATGATCCAACATTCACTAATCCGGCAATCTACAGGATAATTCAAAACCGTCAGTAAGTGATTGTAAAAAGTATAAAGTTAAAACACTTTTAAGGCAATGAAATATCGGTATGGTATTCTTTTTATTTTGCAGGTCGATACCGGATCGATATCTAGAGAACTTAATAGAATCGAACGTCGTTACTCCTGAGGAAGGAAAATCCATCATTCAGAAACATACAGATTATCTGTCGCAAGCATTGATGCAAGTTGATAATTATATTCCTCAACCGACTTATTTTATGGGAAAATGGTCAAAGATGAAGCAAGCTTCATCAGCTGTGACAACTTGGGAAACGGGTGTTGATGTAAATCTTTTAAAATTCATAGCCAACAAAAGCGTACAGTTGCAAAGTGATTTAGTAAGTGACTGTAGACGAACTTCTTATTAATTTCAATGTAAAGAAACATTAGAAAAATATTTTTTCCTTGCACTCAGGACATACATCCTCGTTTATTGAATACGCACATTAAAGCGCGGCTGAAGAGAGTCGAAAATGACAAACAACTTGACTGGGCTACCGCAGAAGCCATAGCTTTTGGATCCTTACTGTACCAAGGATACCATGTCAGGATTAGTGGTCAGGATGTTGGACGTGGAACATTTTCTCACAGGCACGCTATGCTTGTCAATCAACAGACGGGAAGTAAGAGACCATTTTTGAGATAATTATAAATCGTAAATAATACGCACGAATGAGAAATTTGTTGATAAAATTGTTTATCAATTAATTGATACTGCATGAAAATTGAAATAGTACTTCAGGTACACAAATAATAAAACAAACGTTCTTTACTTGAAATATTAATTTTAGTTTTGTATAAAGGATTAGATTCTGTATCATTAATCAAAATATGTTTAAGGTATCTTCATACCGTTGAACTCCATGGTCGAAGGGCAGATAGGAAAAATCGAACTTGCTAACAGTATTTTATCAGAGGAAGCCGTTTTGGGTTACGAGTATGGGCTGAGCATCGAATCTCCAACTACTTTACCCATATGGGAAGCTCAATTCGGTGATTTTTTCAATGGTGCACAAATAATCATTGATACATTCATTACAAGTGGAGAAACTAAATGGATGACCAGCAGTGGTTTAACTATGCTTCTACCTCATGGTTACGATGGTGCTGGTCCGGATCATACTTCTTGTAGAGTCGAAAGATTTTTACAGTTGACTGATAGTAAAGAAAACAAGCCTGATGGAGATAACGTTAATATTCAGGTGGCGAATCCCACGACACCAGCACAATACTTCCATTTATTGAGAAGACAGGTAAATCCAAGGAATGTCCATCTACTCTTGGAATATCTGTCGGTCGTGTTATATTTTTAATTTGTTCTTTGTAGATGGTACGAGATTTTAGAAAACCACTCGTGATTGTTGCACCTAAAACTTTATTACGTCATGCTGCTGCAACGTCTTCGTTCAAAGATATGGGATTAGGAACAAGTTTTAAAAATGTTATAGGTAAGGGTATCTATAATAATGCTTTTATATAAATTAAGCATAACAAATTACGAAACTCCTATACATCTTTAAACTATATCATTGCAGAAGATAGTGAGGCTGATGTTAACGAAGTGACCAAAGTTATTTTGGTTAGTGGCAAGCATTATTATGCTCTAAACAATCATAGGGAAGTTGTAGGTGCTAAAAATGTAGCGATTATTAGGGTCGAGAGTCTCTGTCCTTTTCCAATTTTGGAGTTGCTCCAAGAAGTGCAGAAGTATAAACACGCTCGAAGTAAGTTACACACAGTTATTTATGCTCATTGTTTATGACCATAAAAAGTATTTTAATTTCCAGTAGCCAAATTTCCCTGTATTCATTATCGTTTATTGTAGCTTATATATGGAGTCAGGAGGAACCACAAAATATGGGACCATGGTCTTTCGTGAAGCCACGCTTCGAAAATTTATGTGGACGATCAGTAAGTTTTGTTATGTTCAATCTCCAGCATCAATTGGTATCCAGGAAATATTTTCCGAATGCTGTTATCAATCACGTATAATATCAGTAACATATATTTATATTGTAACAACTTCATTATACTGTTAAAAGTTTCTATTCATAGAATTAATGTTAGGAGTGGAAAGCAATGAGTCACTTTACCTCTCATATGAAAATTTAGTCATTCATTTCCATTCTATGGTTACTGTCTCAATCTTGAAGTACAATATTTTAAAACAGTCTTCTAAATTCTTGTTGTTTTTTGTGATGTTAAATATTTGTTTCATTAATGTCAGTAACAAAGACCAATATTGAAAAACGATAATATTATTAGCACGCTATATATCATATAATAATATTGTTTGCTAACGTTATTCAGTTTGTGCTAGTTTTTTGTTTTATATACAGATTGTTTTCTAAATTTTCAGTTAAAATATTGTGGGCGTGAAGCTTTGTCAACGCCAGCAGGGGCCATCGGTTATATACATCAGCGAGAGGCAGAAGAAGTCATTGTTAAACCGTTTACAATAGAGTGAACACCACTGAAGAATAAATTCGTCAAAGCTGATATCCTAGAACGTGATTGGATACGTAAGCATACATTTTTTTACTGATTTTTCATTTCAATGTAATCTCTATCACTATATTATTACTTTGCAAATAATAAATACTTCATATAAGTGTTTGAATAATTTATTCATTATATATTGAAACGTACGGTATAACTATAATAAAAAAAAATTTCCTAGAGCCATGGATGCGAATTAACCGAAAATACATAACAAAAGATGTCTATTAACATCTAATTGAACTGTAAAAAACATATAAGTAATTGCAAGGAATATACTTCTAACATTTTAATTAATCGCGATACAGTAACTATTTCATAGAGCCTGAACGTCTTATACGGAATAATTATGTTTAATTGATAATTCTATTTTATTGAGCAGCTAATAATTTATTTTAAATAAATCATGTATACCTTCAAATAACAGAATTTTAATAATATTTCAACTTTCAGTTTAATCTGAAAACTTTCGGAATTAATAAACTGACTAGATTATGGAGAGTTATTTCATTTTTCAGCATCTAATCGTTCGTGTTCTTTTTTCACTAGCGTTTTCAGTTCCTCCTGTAAAATATTATAAGAAAATATATCATCAAATTGTTCAAGGCTAATGAATTTTTATTATTAACTCAAACTTACTTCCCAACCAAGCTTATCAGCGAGTAGTTGACATCCAGTATCACAATCTCCCAACCATGCAACATCACGAGCCAAGTGACCATATATTGGATCAAACACTAAACCTTGTTTCAATCCCAGAAGCTGCATTACTCTGTCCTCCACTCCAACCTTTTCTTTATTGATAAGTAATCGCGGGCAATTAGAAGGTACCCTGAAACATAAACGAATTCAGACAATAACGTTTTACAGTTTCGGAAGTGTAATATTTTCTTATATACATATATCCTTGCAATGAATGTTTATAACGATAAATCTTCTATATGTAAATATTACCTGTCTATTAGAGACGCAAATGGATGTACCACTAAACTTGAGCCCATGATAATTAATAGATCAGCCTTTTTGAAGTCCTGATCAATGAGAGTATGAAATCGATCAGGTAACATTTCACCGAAAAAGACAATATCTGGTTTGACAATCCCCTTTTTACATTCTTCACATTTTGGAATTAGACCTCCAAGTATTTTTTCTGGTATCAAATTGAAATATCACATAATGAAAAACTAATGTTATTTCTAGAAAGTACTTTTCATATATGCTAATATGATACACAGAATGGCATATTCGTAAATATATAGAATATCACAGAGATTAATATTTTAATCTCAGGAAATACCTTTCATCCATTCAAGAGAATAGGGTGCTCGACACTTTAAACAATGTCCAGAATGGAAGCTGCCATGTGCTTCAACTAGCAATTCACTGGGAAGACCTGCTACTCTTTCCAAAGTGTCTATATTCTGTGTATAATGACGCAATAATAATCCTTTCTCCCATAGTAGTCGAATAAAATAATGAGAAGGGGTAGGTTTAAAACCTCCAGGCATGAGTTCTTTTGCCAGAGTAAAAAATGGCTCTGGATTTTTTTCAAAGTAATCTATTTCAAAAATTGCTTGCGGATGTGGCAGATTGTATTTATCTAAATTGTGATATAATCCACTTGAAGGTGAGCGGAAGTCTGGAATTCCTGCAGCTAACATCATAAAAGATTAATGATTTGAATTTCCATTTTCCAACGTAGATCAGAAGTAAATTATTGTAAAAATATTTGTCTATAGATTATAATAATATTGTTCTTGGGTCATTTACAAAACAATGTTTAACCAAAGAATAATAAATTGATTCCAGATATCTACTTACACGTAGAAATTCCAGCTCCAGCCATAACAATAACATTCTTGCACCTAGTACTTTTTATATATTCAGCAATGCCATCCAAAGAAAGCTCTGTAAGAACTTTTTGCGATGTCTGTTCACTTTCATCTGTGGAATCATAAAGCCGTAATTTTTGGGCCAAATACTTGCAAACTTTTTCTACTGCAGAATCGTCTTCCTCTTGCCCAGAAGAGGAATCTGCAGGTACATTGTCTGGATCGTTCTCTGTAAAATCATCCATATAAATGCAAAATAGGCTTATCATTTTTATCAATATTTAATAAACAAGTTTGAGGCAAGGTTAATATTTTTCAATAGTTTATGTACATGCAGCTTTGAAAATTTTACCATGAATTACTAATACTGTGCAAAAGGAATAAATAAACCAAATTTTTTATATATACAGCCATAAATTTAGTTTAATAGAATCAAAAAACATAACCTATATAAAGCGAGTATATGGTAAGTAACATTGGAAGCACAGTAAATAATTACCAGTTTGCTTTTCCACAGCTTCCTCACGCTTATCCACAGCTTCCTCATGCTTATTTACAGCTTTCTCACGCTTATCCATGACATACGATACACAAGTAAATAATTGGCAACGTACTGCTGTCACTTGTACTCGACTTCTAACGCATCTTATGAAACTCATTCATCAAACAAGACTACTTTACACACGATATAACGTCCACTTGCATTTCAGATAATATGATAAAGAGATAATATTGTTAAACGCATCACTAGTGAGGATACTACATTGAAAATAAGTGTTGAACTTTAACAATTACTGTTTTCGCCTTACCTACACATTTCTACACTTTACAAAAAGTGCAAAATCTCACGAGTGGTTCAAAATATCATTAAGCTTCCACTTTTTGAAACGTACAAAGTAAGTTCATATTTTAAGTTTCGTTCTTCGTATCATTAGATTATATTTTTCAAAATAATTTGGCATATGCATAAATATCTGCAAACGGATTATGGTAATCATTATTACTGATTACTCTATGCTCTTGAAAAGGTAGCTGCTATCTACTTCTCATTATATTTAATATCTAAGCATAATCATAGGATGCTTATAAGATATCGGCATAACGGTAAAAGAGTATCTCAAAGGCGCGAATTGTATTCAATATCTAGATGCAATCCGGCTATCATTTGCAAACATTGCAAACGAAACAATAACGTTTGCAGACACCCGCATTTTACGTTTTCAAATAGCATATGCGTGATATAAATTGTACTTGGAATGACGAATGGGTAAGCAACAATATCGTGGTTTATTCAGCTCTTTCTCATAACAATTCAGGTCATATGATGCATGTAACATATTGGAATAACAGTAAAAGAGTGTTTCAAAGCCATGAACTGTATTAAATATCCAGACTGATCCGCCGACCCAATCCGGCTATCATTTGTAACAGTAACGTTTTCGTTTACTTTGAACGACGAATGCGTAAGCAACAACAATATGGTTAATTCAGTTCTTTCTCATAACGAACCTGCTCATAAATTTAAATTCTGTGACGATCAATTTGTATTTTAGAGAATTTTATATCTTTGCTATTAAATATGAATATTCGCGTATATAATTTTTCGAGCTACAATCACGAATAATTATATTTATTTAAATTTATCAATAAGGCGCTCATAAGTCGTCAAATCTATACAAGCAGTCTTTGAAATTTTTAAAAAAGTCTGCATATCGCCTCGAATATCATTGATTCGATAAAATAACATGGGATAAGACAGTTTCTATCGTTGAGGGCTGTGCTCGACCATAATGTAAAAATTTTTTTCAGAAAGCTATGGTTTTATATGACATTTCATGAGTCGCAAAAAAATATACAGTATATTTTTTAAGGTTAGTCATAAAAGAAATAAGTAAATGACTGTGCACCATCTAAATCATTTTTTATTTTTCAAATAAATATACAGAACATCGAATTTTTAATTATAACGAAACGAAGTTGCCTACGTGTAGATATTTACCACTGTTCATGAACGCAAAAATTCTAACAGTAACCACGATGAAATGTTATTCTAACGTTTGCGAAATATAAAATTAGGTTATCGCATTTATCATAACTATTGACCCGTATCTCCTTTGTGACATTATTCAACAAAATACGCAGCACTAACTCAATTTTAACATTTATATATTATCCGCAGTTACGCACGTATATGACAATCAAATTATAAGTATACAAACGAATTTGTGTAATTTTTTTACCGTGTTTTCCAGATACTGAAGTAAACACAACATCCTCAACGAAAAATCGCAGGAATGTCGTATGGTATATTCTATAGGAAATATTAGGAAATAATTTTCGCGTTAAGAACTATCCGAAGAATCAACACCAAATATGTTCCTTAAATAATCATATTTTACTTATCTTAGAAAATAATTGTCGACAGTTCTTTAGGGAAAAAGCAACATGGATTTTGCGAAACACGGAACATATAATAAAACACATGTTCGCCGAGCCACTAAGAGCCAACAGTACGAAACAAAGCTAAAAACTTTATTTTTTTTTTGAAGACAGACTTTAAATCGATCTGAGCTCGATTTTTTGTAGAGCGAAGCAGACCGATTCGTCGACATTTGTATGATCTAACTGAAAATGAAAATTTGCCTGATTTCGAGAAATTCCTCGCTTTTCCCGTCATTAGGTACTCCATACATTCATATATATCATATTTGCACACATTAGAACTAACTAATGAGTAACAAACTAAATGGCTGGTTTAGTTATCCGTAGCTAATAGAACTTGCTTGTTTTCTAAGCCTCGCAGCCCTAGGCTACTCTCTTCGTAATCTGTGTGTATTAGTCCATATGAAAGTTTTATATTTATTAAGTTTAATTATACTCCAAGTGTTAACGGATTAAAATATTGCCTTTGCGAAATATTGCGAATGTTCGGCAATGGCGCAGGTAGAAGAGATGTCTTGAAATACAGGGTGGGAGATATGCGCACGCCCTATAGCATTTACTACACTATACAGTACATAATCATACCAATGCCTCGTTCGCTGCGTGTCACACAAGGAAAAGCGTAAGGGAGTCAAGTATTCGTTCAGCAGTGCTCAGTCAGGATTTGAAGAAAGACCCGATTCTTCAGTACGATCTTCTTTTCTTGACCATCTTTGCGATTTTGGAGCAAAATGGAATTGGCTCGACCGGACCGGCCATCTCGCTGCACGTGGAAACCAAATGCCACAAACAGCCCACATACTAATCGATCGCAGTGAGTAGTGAATTATTGTAATAAGAAATTATTATTTGTGTGTTTAGTTGTTCATTTTGAATTATCCTGTAGCGGCATCCTTTTACTGTGCTCCTAATACTTATGCGTTTGTTAATTGTGTTGCATCGTTTAAACAATGATTTCCAGACTAATATTTCTTAGTAACGTGACATAGCATAATATTCTGCACTATGCTCGAAAATCAGGTTTATTGTATTACATATAAATTTAGAATGCGCATTTAAATTAATATCTCGAAATTCTATCTGTGGGATAAGCGTAATTTTGTACTGTGTTTATTAAATCAAGGCAGTAGGAAATCTCAGTCGCTTCAGTTTGGAAAAACTTGACAGATGTCAAAAGTCCTGCCATTAATGTTATTTACTCATAGTAACCTGTTTTGCAATTAAGGCAATATTTAGTATGAAATATCAGAATTATAATATGCATTTTTCAATGTATACTTGTTATACCGACAATTTATGAGAAATTATTGTATAGTGCTTCCAGCAATTTACAACCTTTACGGCACCTAAGTTAGGTTAGGTTAGTTTATCCTTGAATGTGAGTTACGTACAGCTAAAGGACGCGAAATTCTTTATCGGCAACTGCTGATTATATAGTAAAACAGATAATACGAAGAAACTTTAGTCCTTTACCCGTTGATCGGATATTTTTACAGTATGCAATATACTTCAATGATGCAGCTGAGAAACGTAATTAAACGTTATTCTTTCGTAAGAAAACACAGCGTTTCTCACACTCGATAACTTCCCTAATAGCCGGAAACAGCATATGCCAGCATATTGCTTGCACGATAACAGAATGTATTATATCACGCTCTTGTCTTGTACGTTAGTAGATTAGTATTTCAAATAAATGGATTTGTGGATTTTATCATTTAATTGTCTTTCTCTTAACAAAATTGCTCTCTAGAAATGCGTCAAGCTTTAAAATATTTTCGATTTGCTATTATAGCTTTTAAAAATTAAAAAACATCTGTCAAATCACCCCCTGGGAGACGCCATATTCGAAGTCTCAGAAATCTTTAAAAAGTATAATTTAAGCTTCTCCATCGATAGTATCTATTAACGACCGTGCTTTTCCTAGCTTACCCATGAAGTTATATTTATAGAAACTTATGTGCGGGACCCCGTACAAGGGTTATAGTATTTTTAGATGTTTATCTTCAAATTAAAAAGCATAAGCCCAAAATTTAAACGGAGATAAGTCAGCCATCTTATCGTATGAAAACGTTCGACCAATCATGAGAGGAATTCATTGAAAACAAGAGCATCATAATACGTTTTGAAATCTTCCATGTTTTTGACGTTATCGCCTCGTTGCACAAGTGTAAATCAGTATAAATATATAGAATAATCGAGGACCAGCTATAAAAGAAATTTTCCCAAATGAATTAAAAATAAAAAAGTATTATGGTTTTATATGAATCCTCTGCTTTTTATGTCACGGTCATATGTAGATCTCTTACGTTATCTTTAATCCCGGAACTGTTAATAATTACATGATCACTTAAGACATATGACAGCCAAAATGAACCAGGCCGTAACATACTGTTCAACACGAAATAATATTGACAGCAATAATAAATTTGCAATGATAAATTTGGATCACTCGAAATTGTTACAGCAGATTTATTTGATGTAAACGCTCGCTTGTATGGTAACTCTTAGATATATAAAACTCGACTTTTTTTAAATTTGATTTTGAAGGGTTCGTCATTGCGTCTAAAATTTGGCCCATTAAAATTTGCATGTCTTTATTACATCTGTACCTTTTATTTTTACAAAGGCGATTGTGTACGAGGCTCCTGTGTGTTTTATGCAGTCGTATTTAAAAATATGATTTCGTATGAATATAACAGTAAAACGAAATTAACATCCGAGCAGAGGTCTTCGGTGTAAATTAAAATACCAAAGTCGGTTTAATGTCTGATATATACAAAAAAATAAATCATCGATATTAATTACGCGTATCGAAGCATTTTGTACACTTTATTACTATTAGATGATTATAGTTGCGCTATAGTGCTTAGGAAAGTTATCTGCTAATATGTAATTTCGAACTTTGATAAGATAATTAAAAATTTCTCTGATTGCAGATTTAATAATCGGAAGGAAGTCTTACCTGATATTTTATGTGCCATTGGACAAACACCAATGGTACAGATTAACAATATTCCGAAGTCCCACGGAATTAAATGTCAACTGTGTGAGTATTAAAGTAAAAATTAAATGCAAATTTGTATAAGAAGATTTTTATTTAAAAACTGTGTAATAACGCAGTTCATGAAATGTTTCAGTGGCAAAATGCGAATTTATGAATCCGGGTGGTTCTGTAAAGGATCGCATTGCATACAGAATGATTCAAGATGCTGAGGATGCTGGTATCCTTAAACCAGGATATACGATTATTGAACCAACAAGTGGTAACACTGGCATTGGACTTGCAATGGCTGCAGCTGTTAAAGGCTACAAATGTATTATTGTTATGCCAGAGAAAATGTCTAATGAAAAGGTATATACACTTCATGCCCTGGGAGCCGAAATTGTCCGTACTCCAACAGAAGCTGCATGGGATAGTCCAGAGGGTCATATCACTGTATCTCAAAAATTACAACGTCAGATCCCTAACAGTATTATTTTGGATCAGGTACTGGTCATAATATAATCTTTATTGTGCACTACTTGAATTTACAAAATTTTCGTTTTCTTGAAGGTAATTGCTTGTAAACATATTTTTATAGTACACTAATTCTGGAAATCCATTGGCTCATTACGATCAAACAGCTGTTGAAATTTGGGAGCAGTGCAATGGAAAACTTGATTATTTAGTAGGCGGTGCTGGTACCGGTGGCACTATTAGTGGGATTGGTCGTAAATTTAGAGAAATAGCTCCTGAGGTAAAGATTGTGGCAGTCGATCCAGAGGGCAGTACGTTGGCTGAACCACCGGAATTGAATAAAAGCCAAGTGACTTTCTATGAAGTGGAAGGCATAGGGTATTTATGATAGTTATTATTGCTTTAAATAAATTCAAATAAATATGAAAGTATATTCTACAATGGTGGCATGTTTCTAGCCATTACAAAATATAGTTTGCAATCAGACTTCTGTTTTGGTAAAGGAATTCTCTAGAGTAAGTGTTAATATATATGCAGTCACAGTTTTGCTTGGTTCAAAATCTGACTGTTGATGATTATATTTCTTTTCAACGACTTGTGTAAAAATCAATGTAATTTATTTAGAGTTCGTTTGAGAACTTATATTGATTTGTCATATTTTGTTTAGATAAATGATTCAAATAGGTTTTCTTGAACCAATTCAAATTTATCATAAAATTAAGTTTGAGCATTTACTGTAAATTTTATAAATAATTCCTCTAGGTATGACTTTGTTCCTACTGTCTTGGACCGTGGTGTAATCGACTTTTGGGTGAAAACAAATGACTGTGAGTCGTTAACCGCTGCTCGAACGCTGATCCGCGAAGAAGGTTTATTATGCGGCGGAAGTAGTGGAGCAGCTTTAGCTGCGGCACTTAAAATCGCTGAGGATTTGCCCGCTGATAAACGCGTTGTGGTCCTTTTGCCAGATGGAATTCGAAATTATATGACAAAATTCGTATCTGATCATTGGATGGAAGCCAGAGAATTCTTGGTGAGTTATTGGCTACTGTCCAATATTATGATTATCTTAGATCAACGCATGTGTATTAGATGGAAACGTTTGATGATTTATAACTTTTTTACTCAAATACAGTCCTATACAAATCTCTGGATCATTTTGTCAAATTTAAATGTTACATAGTAAGCCTGTATAATTCTGATTTCATTTATAGAAACCACCTCCTCCAGTGGAAGCTAACAAATGGTGGTGGAACATTCCCGTGTCGAATCTGCGGCTGAAAAAGCCAACTACTCTTCCGAAAGGTGCATCTTGCCAGGAGGCGGTACAGATTTTGCAAAAGGGCCGTTTCCACCAAATTCCTGTAACAGACGACGACGGTAATGTCAAGGGCCTCATCACTCTGAATGCTTTGATAACCGGCTTAATTTCGGGAGCAGCAAGTCAGACGGATCCAGCGGAGAAACTGTTGGTTAAGAAATTTAGAAAAGTTGCTCTTGCAACACCACTAGGACGACTGTTACGAATTCTTGAAGAAGATTCGTATGCGGTCATGTTGGATGAAAAGCATGATGGCAGATTAGCGGGAATCGTCTCGCAAATTGATCTCCTCGAATTTATAAGTCATAATCAAAATATGCCACAAGCTAATGGTAGTGCTAACTGATAACGTGGTGAATCAGTACGATTCTTCGTTGTTCACTTTTAGAATGTATGATTATGTAAGGCTTAATGAGAAAATTATTTGAAATTTTACTTTTGAAATTGTGGAAAACTCTAATATATTAACTAAAGTATCAAACGTTAATGATACCTACTGCAATCGTTCCTCATATCTTCGACTGATATTATAAAATGATATATTATTTACAAATAATTGAGTGCTTATATTATTGAATTTGATTGCATGATTTGAATATTTACAATAAGTCACAAGTTATTTTGGGGGGTGTCGAAAGCGTCTTGCGCGTACTGCAAACATAACTCTTTTTTTAATCATGTTCGCAGTATTCACTGAACTATCGGATCTGAATATAGCAAAGTCATTTCTATACATACTATAAAGTGATTAAATATTTGTAGAATGTGAATTTCATTGTAGACATTTTTTATTGATTGTATTTATTGCATGGTTTGCAGGAATTATGGAATTTATAAAATATTGTGTAATAACTGGAATAAATATGACTTTCTAAAAGTTATTACTTGGACTTAATAGCATTGATATAGTAGTTACAACTTGTTTAAATTATATATTTACATTTTTTTTATCTTTGGAACAGTGAGAATAAAGTATAATTCTAGGAATTTGGAAAGAAATGAAATTTGCACTGTTTTTGGATATAATCAATTCTGTTAATTATTTTTTTTTAACGTACACTGCATGACAGATATTCCATTCAATAAATGAATTTTAATATTACAATGCTTTAGTTAATATACTTTTTCTATGATAAGAACAGCTACATTCTTTGCACTTTAATATGAAATATACAACTTGGTAGGGCTGATATTTCTGCAGTAACAGTACTGACTGCTCCAAGATTAGCAAGGCTACCTCTAAGAAGACCACATGAGAATGCAAGTAATCGTGGACTTTCACGCAGATATTGTTTACTCCCCTTTGAACCAATATTGGCTAATAAACGGAATTCGTTATCCTGAAGCATATATATACCATGATGATTTGTCCTCAAGTTATCAATTTGCTTGTGGTAAAGTGTTGACCAAAAATCGGTGCAAATAAATTTTATTATATCCAGCTCATCTTTAAACCTCGACCATTCCCTCGATAAGCGTTCTATAATGCGATATCCAACGCTATATCCCATCCATTCCAAGCGAGAAAGTTCTTCTTCCTTAGAGTGAATACATTTCAATTATTAACTAATGTATTTTATATCAAAAAATGTATCAAAATATCTTAAGATGGTTAGCTTGAGACAATTATATTCCATCATACAGAAGAGTATAATTGGATCACTATATACATAAAATTGATACACTACACTAAATCATATGAAATACTTACTTTATCATTATCTGCTTTACTTAGAACGTATGTAACCATTTCTGCATGTAAATATTCAAAGAGAGACTGCACGCCCTCACCAGTTGGATCGGCTTTAGAATCTAATCCTTGTTGCTTCATAATGATCGAATTATACAAAACTACAAAATTGTATATAATTTTTCACTCTGTCCTATGCATCACGTAAATATGTAGTCTGTACATACATAAACTTCATATAAAATGACAGTTTTAGTTCTGGGTTATGTTATGTTGTGGAAAATGTCAAAATCGCATTTTAGTTCGAGCATCCGCCGCTTAAGGAGGCAGCACCTCCCGAGCAGAGTATATGGCGCCACTTTTTTGATAACCTGTGAACTTTCCATGACAGTATTATTGTGTATGCAGTTTAAAATTTCAAAACAATTTAATAAGCTAAAAATAAAATGGTTCACAAAATAGGTCGATACAATTCAAACTGCAATGAAGCTATTTAAAAAAAAACATTTTTAGAATCGCCACCAAAAGTGGTTCTTACTTGCTCTCAACGAAAATTCATCACTTTTTCATCTCCCATACCATCTCTTCCAAATCTCTTCACTTTTTCCATAAGTACCTCCATTTTCATCTAGTGCATCTTATACCAAAAGCATATCTAATGCACACACATCCATGATAAAAAAAATAAATGTTTGGATAATGAAAAGTTTTTTTTTCATTTGATTGCACAGATGCGGAACGGTGGTATAGTGTCGTAGAGTGCATGCACAGAATATAATTATTTATTATTTTCCCTGCTCATTACAATCTTACATCGATTAAACGAGAGTTTCGATTAAATCATTATCCATGAATCATAAGCGATATATTCTCTGTCTCTACATATATTTATGTGTATTCGCGTATGCTCTTTTACTTTGGATTTTATCTATAATATACATAAGGTGTTAACTAATCCATAGTACTTCTCATTTATTAGACGTCCTGATCTCTATTGGCTGCACCGTGACAAAAATTATTATCAAACAATTCAATGGCTACAGGTGCTTTCATCTTTAATGGAAAATCCTATTTAATGAAAGTCTCAATGACCACAATCTTTATACAGTACATTTTGTATAATAAAAAACGAAGCACCATTAGTTTAACGACTCGTCGATAAATATAATCTTAATATAAAGGTTTAAAATATTTAAGTGCATTAATTAGTCAACGACTTTGTATTTATGTGTGATGTATCTCACGTCAAACGGTCTGACATCTATTAAAGTTATTTAATTATCCTATTATTTGTCAATCTGTTGAAAAGAATAATAATCCTTTAAGCATTCCTTCTGCATATTACGGTTTGCTGTACATTTCAAAATTCAAAATGCCTCTTGTACTTGCCTCTTCTCTCTTCAAACTAAAAATCAGGGGTAACTAACTTAATTTCAAAATAAAGCGTATAGGTCATAGCGAATAACGCCAATTAATGGAATAAAATTCGTATTCTTAAGGAGATGTAAGATTAAGAATTAGAAAAGGGTCATGTGGATGGTCAATTTGACATGTTATGCCGCACACACATATATGTATATATATTATGCATTAGAGGATATCACTCGGAGGACGCGATGACGAAAATATAATATATCAGAGACTGAAATTCATTCGTCTTACTTCCATCTATAGTTCTGTGACACATCGACAGTATTGTCTTTGAGAATTGTTTGGCTTGAAACAAACATACAAATGCAAAACATCCTATTTCATTTATTTATATCTATAATATACCATAATCAAATACAATAGAGAGTATTCGCTAAGTGTTAATCAAAGATAAATAATATATATATATATATATATATAGCATCTCTTTTTATTTCAACTAAGAATTGAAAATTGTCCTCTAACAGTATAGGCATTAATATCCTCACGTTTGTTGTTAATTGAACAATTTTCGGATATTGATCTTTTGTTTTGTCGCTTAAGAGAATAATACTGTTCGATTAGGCTTATCTCGTGAACGTTTAACGAATGCTCTCTATCTATCGCACGTGCCCATGAGAACAGTGCCATAGATCTAATAATTGTAGACGTGTATGTTTAAAAAATACTGGCTAATCGTTAATCGTACATTCTTCTGTTAGGTTAGTTTTTTCCTTTTAGTATAAAAGAAAAAAATTCACAGGCGTCTAAAACAATTGTTTCTGCGTAATTTAAATTAGTGACGTTTCGCCCGATACATTATATTAGCCATCTCGTATTCCTCGATGAATACACGATACAATATTTGATATTTATAATTAATTCAGTCCGCGTGCTTATAATACGTTAAAGTACAGGCAGACGGACGTCTTTTATACACAAAATTGATTAGTCGTTTCTTTTTTTTTCTTTTTTCTTTTTCTTTAGAAGTGCCAAGAGTAATACATTGGGACACGAGTAATATCTTCGTTATATATCTAAAGTATCGAACGAATTTTGATTTTTAGGAAATGTCACTTAATGCATGGTCAATTAAAATATTTTTCATGAAATTCCAGTCTGTTCATTCTTTGAGATAGAAGTCTCTCATTTTCATATATATTATTAAACGATATTACTCGTATCGTCAACCGATTTTACTGTTTAGAATTAACATCATTAACCCACCAGACTTATCGTTATATAATCCTTATGCAAATCATCTATGTAAAAATAATTGAGTGTTAATCAGCTGGACCATACCAGCTGAAATTGAGTTTGGATCCATGGACTGGCTAAGTTCAGTTGATTCGGTCGAGCTGATTAAGTCCCTTTTAATGCAAAATTATCCAACTTGGAATTAATTATCGTGTAATTACCTATAAAAGTAGAATGAGTTTAATCAATGTTCTGTTATCTTTTGTATTACAAAGATGGTTGCATTCAGTTCTACAATTGGATAACAAACATTTAATTAAATCAATAATATCACGTTGATATGCCAATGGGTCAAGTACGCTACTAATCATATGATAATTATCATTGTATCTTATTTAAGATGATCAAGATATACGTTGAATTATATGTGCTCGGACAATGACAGTGAGATTTGTTATTTTGACTGTTAGACTGCCATTAAATTTCATTTATTTCCTCGGCAGATAGTCGAGCCTCTTCCTTCAGTGTAAAATAGTAAATGAAATGAAATTTGAAAAATATTACCAAAATCTGAATAAGCATAAACTATTAATGAAACAGTATCGCCGTGCAGTATAACAAACGCGCATTAATATTCACTGTAGAAAACGTGAAATGGCATCATGAAATGATTTACTAAATAATTTTCAGTTTGAAATTCCATTAACGTAATCTCTGACATTCTCCAACTAATTCTGAAGGTTGGACTCGACCCGAATAAGTCCCAATTTTCAAATCGTGGTTCATAAGCAGGAGATCAATTTAGTAAACGAGACGATGTTCATAACTAGGATAGCTTCGCGGTTGGGAGCCAAGAAGTTGGGCAAGGTTTACGTAATTGCGGCCGCCATAATTCTCGTAGCCCTGTAAAAGGTAAAACAGAGAGAATACAATGATTTATTTATGTATGTTTTGTTTAACTTTAACGAAGGATTATACCAACCTGGGAACGCTTTTGTGTCATCATGTATCTCTTCTCAGGAGGATAATAATTACGTTGAGGATAAATCGATCCGTACTGCGTATATTGTTGTCCAAATTGATTTCCATATTGATCGTAATAATCGCTGGGACGAGTCCGTGGAATTCCAATATCCAGTGGCGCCAAGGAGTCCGTGCCGACCGTGAAGTGATGAGGAGGATATACAGGTTCTTCCAACCAAGAGCCAGCTTCGAATAGTATTTATGCGGGTTAGACTTTCTGCATATGTTTACAGGAAAATTTAACTATATTGATCGTTTCAAAATACCAGTTCTGGGATCTTCATCATCCACATCGATCATGTTGCTGTCGTCGTCGTTGGTGTATTCATCATCAGCTTCGTATCCTGGCCAGTTACTGTAGAAGGAAAACACTGTCTGTCAATATTTCAATAAATTTTAAGTAATAATGACAATTCAGTTAACTTCTAATGATCCGTTTTAAATATATATACTATCTTGTACGATTACTATGTATATCGCTAATGTATTACTGACCAAGTTTTAATCTGTGTACAGTGTTATTTTCTATTATTAAATTATGCTTACCGTTTGCGTCGCTCGTTTTCCCAAAATGAAAGAATAGTCAAGACTTCTTGAGGATCCAAAACCAGATCGCGTTTGTATCTGGCATCCTGATACATTGGTAGACTGTAAAGAAATAAATAAAAATCTTCTAACTAAATGCTCCAATTTAAAAATGAACATTTGTAATGAAAATCTAACAAGATGTATTCCATTTCATGTGACCAGTATTCTGTCAAATTCAATGACACTATTTATAGGTACATAGTTGATCTTTAAAAAATCAATGTTGGTTCAATTCAGGAACAGCCATGCGCTTCGCTATTGAACTAAGGTTCGATGACCTCTTGATATAAATGTTAATTAAATAATTTAATTCAAAATATCATTATAAATCATCAAATAAGCCCGCACGTGACGTAACGTTAGCAAATTATTGTCCAGAAATAACTAGAGATGTTTAAGTTTGGGGTGGGTTAGGTAGCCAATTCGTTCGATAACAGCCGGGGTCTCTGACGTCATAGCATGACCCAATTCAGAACGTCCTGGTCGGCTCCATTCAGCTTTTACCTAGGATATATCGAATCCATTCCATTACAACTTGAGATACAGTTGACTCATTCAGTTAATTCCAGCCATAAGTATAAAGCAGTAAATAACGTCTCCCATTCCCCCAATCTTTTACACCCTGTCTGAAGGATGATTAATCAATATAAAAAAAATAAATTTAATCAATGAAAATTCACTGTTATCCCAAAACACTATATCGTGAAGTATCTACTTCAGAAAACTAATTCGTGTCTGATAAAACATAAGAGGACATCCTTAACCACATCAATGTCACCTATTGGTCAATCGATGAAGTTGATATAAATAGAAAAAGAACTCTTGTATTGAACGCTCTTTAAATAAATAAAAAAAGGCAGTCTTTCTTTACGCAATAGTTGGGAGTCACAAAAGTAAATATAAAATTGTCTGTATTGAATTGACTGTAACTGTCAATTCATAAGGGATGAGAAGTCAGTAGTTAATGCGCAATGATTACTAGTGTCGGTGACCCTAAAATGGCTCGGCAATGATGAGACTCCCTTGAGGCTGATCGATCGTGTTGCTTGGCAACTGTCTGGGAATGGGAGAGGCCTAACCAGCAGGCTTGGCAAAACACGAGCGTTCTACAGGTGGCGGAAATTCGACGAAATGTTCGTTGATTACAGGTCACGATTTTCTCGCTGATTACTTGGAGAAAGACTAATGAGGATCTCGTGATTAGAAGGCCTTCGTTTCTTTCAGTCCCTTGCGTTGAAATGGACCAAATGATTAATTAGAACGGAGGACCTTAAACATCCATGTAATTTTCATTGACGCTCTTGGTTTGTCAACGAGCTCAAATTAGTAAGGAAATTTGTTTCTTTTTTCTGCATATCTTCCTTTAGGTTTAGTATAGCAACATGACAGTACGGATTGCCTATCAGTACACAATCTGTACGGGTACAAGACGTGATCTGTGATATTACTAACCTGCGCTTAGCTTGAACTACAGGCTGCGGAATGTAACTTATTGGTGAAGACGACGAGGAAGAAGCTGGCGAAGAAGATGGCACTGGGGACGGAGTTGTCGTGTATATCGATGTCATGGAATTGTCTGACCTCTTACGTCGGCCATCCATACCAAGATCATAGTAACGTTGATAGCTTGGAACATCCCAGTTCTTGGGTCCATCGGTGATCTGATTAGCAAGGATTTTACTGTATCTGCAAAAAAATGTATCATATTGAAAATTGATATTGTATCTGATGTCATTGTTCGAATTTCATTGTTGAGTCAGTGCTTACTCGTAATTCTTGTCATAAGGCGATAAAACTTTACGATCAAAAGCAGTACTGCTTATCGGGTTTGGTCGTTCAAAATTGTCGCTCTGTGCAAAAGCTGCTTTGATGTCTTCTAATCCGGAAGTACCTAGAGTCCCTGGACAATGACAAAAGTATCTCAAACATCTCTTCAAAATCAATATCGGGTCTGTATCAATTTGTATTTTTTATTGAAGTTGTGTGCAACTTACGTTTTTCAGTGTTTGATGGGTACAAGTGATTGTTGGCTGTGTTTTCGGCCTGTCGATTTTGTTGATTGCCGAACATCAATATTTCCTGAGCACGTTTTGCTAAAATTATTACATGAGGTATAGAGTATCAATTTTCTTTGTTGGAGGATGGTATAGATTTTAATTCTTTCGTGGCTGCTTTTTTCTGGGACGTATAAAAAATTTTATTCTACCCTTGATACAGGTGTAGCTTTTTATGGCAAACTAAGTCAAATGAAGTGGAATGAGATCAAAGTAGGAAGATAATTTTGTGGGTTTGGAAATTTCATTACTTTTTGGCCTCATAAGTTGATCAGCTTTCTTCAAATCTTCCATTAGAGTTGTGGATAACGCTTCGCCCATTACGGCTAGCGTTACCAATGTCACTAAGCACAGCCAGTGGGATAACATCTGCAACAACGATGATGAAAAATAAGAACATATTTGATAGAAATGAGTAAAAGCAAAATTAAGACCATGTCTCATAAACATTAAAAATCTAATAAATTTGAACGCTTAATTTATGTAACTTTCAATTATAATAACGTTCCTTGCTTCAGTGTGGGCTCTAAAAAAGTAATGATTATTCAGAAAATAATGTTTAATCAAATTTAACGTGAATCCCTTGGCATAATTTGCAGACCTTTAATGAATTCATTCAATACCTGACAGATTGGATCAGCGTGCAGTGAACCATGAAATTAATTACACGCCGTAGAAACTCAAGCAATAAATTAATCATTTATTTTTGTCAATCCTTATACTAAAATTCAAAAATTGAGAAAAATCTTACGTTACACATTTTGTAAATATTCTCAGTCGCAAAATACATATATCTTCGATATACGTAAATAATTAAATCGCTCGGTTTTTCAAAATCGTTAATTAATAAATCAATGTCAATAATTACGAATAATCTGTCTTGAAAGATATGAACTCGAAAGATTACTTCCATTCAATGAATGGGAGTCACGCGGGCAAATTTATGAATGCAACCGCTGCAGTAGTAACGATATATATAAAACCAGGAATAGCGCTGGTAAAAAAATGGAATTAAAAAAGGCAACAGGAGCTCTATTACCTTCGCGCAGGAAAAAGGTCTAAGCCCAAGTTCCTAAGATGCTGTTAGGTTTCTCTCTTCTTAATTTGGAGATCGATCACAAGGGACACCTTTCGGATTCGACGGTCCAGGGAGAAGTGGCTGGCAGGGCTCTGTAACGTCAGCCAGAAAGGAGCTACGCAGGGGTGGAAGCACCGTCTACGGAGAAGGGCTCTTGGTCGATCAACCAACCCCACTCTGTAAAATTTCTACCCCTATCATTCCCCGCCATTGATATAGAATACGTATATATATGTAGATAGAACACAGCATTCTGAATACGTACGATTCGGCGACAGAAGCTTCATTCCCTGCATTGAAGTAGGCCGATAAACTGATAATTCCAAATCTCGGCGAGAATCTCTTTGATCTTTATATTTTTCTCTCCTATAATGATCATCTACCATTCCTTGTTCAAAAATCGCTTTGATACAGTAGAATCCGACTGGATAAAAATAGAGTCGAGTCTGCCTTGAAGAGATTCGTAAAATATTTAATCTAATAAAATGAGAATCGAATTCAGTAAAATAGATACTGATGAAAGATATGAAAGAAGTAAAACGAGACAACCTTTTCACTCGTCTATTTCTATATACAGATCGAGGGACAGAAGAGGTTAAGAATCATAGTGCGTAATAGGTATGAAATTGACAAGATGCAACTACTAAGGCTACTAACCAATAATACGTATTATTGCAGGACATTTTTAGAAGCTTCATCCGGAACAAACGTGATTCATCTTTCCTTTCTTGGATTATGTCTTGAACGTAACGCTGGTGCCTTGTGTCTTGACCTTTATCCAGCCCACACACTTTACGATATGCCCACGCATTTCTGCACCCACGTAACCGCTGCCAGCCCAGCCTAACCTAAAACACTTGAAACCCCCTACCCTTGATTACCCGCTCAGGACGACAGTGGCGTAGTGCCAATCGTCCCTAGATGCGCTAATACAGGTATACTGGTGTAAAAGAAAAGTTTTAAGACTTTAAGTCGTTTCGCAAGCTTATATATATGTATATTTCATGTGGACCAAATTTTGGCAAAGAATGTTACTCTTGTACATAATATATTTTCTGGCATCAAATTGCATCGTTTACATAAATTCATAAAATTGTTATAACGCGCGCCACTGCTTCAGCGCCAAGTCAAAAACCATAAAAGGCGGAAGTTTGTTGTTTCTGGTAAAAAGGAAGAATTAATCGGCTTAATTTCCGGGTGAGTCGAACATCTTTTTTACCCGTAATAAATTCTCTCTTACTATACCTGCTTTTCAAAGCCTTCGTGATACGACGATGGGTAGTGGATAATTCTGTACGATATAAAGTAATGTATAGTTGATAAAAACGCGAGACAAATACTTTGAGCTGTATGATTCATCGTCACTAATTCCTATTCGCGATGTTATAAAAATGAATGAATTAAGTGTCGTAAATTAATCAGCCCATACCTGTTCATACTGTGTTCATAATTTTGAGAGTTGATACGTTAAATATGATTTGTTCTAAACACTAAAATTGTTTGTAGCCTAAATCTTTTATATTCCCGAGAATGCATGTGATTCGAAAAGTCAAAAAGGAGCTCCCAGACTGTCGTCTCTAAAAAAATGTTTACGTGTTAAAATTTGTCCAGCTTGAAGAAAAAATAAAGTTCATCTAATGAAAATACATAATTCTTCACATCGCTGATATCACCCGTCATAAAGTATCCAGGTATCTAATATCATATTTCTCATTACCTTCACGTTCAAAGGAGTGAAAATCCTTTACCGATTAGTGCTTCCTTTTTTCCAGTTTGCCAACTGGTTAATATCAATGGCAATTGGTACCAAGCGAAAGTGCTTAAGAGATTCAAGCTTAGAGTTTTTCAATGACATCTATCGATAGCGTAGTGAAATTTTTGAGTGTTATGAATAATTTACTTTCTATATATAGTTTTACTGAACATTGCAGAAACCATTTGGAACTGTAGTGTGTATGTACTGCGAGGGTTGGGTCCCATTGACGTCAGTGCTTGATTCTTGAAACAGCGAATCGTTGTAGTCGCGTGGCCTGGAGATGCGCACTGTGGTAGGGATGAAACTTAGGGTAAAATCTCCCCAGGGCTGTAAGAAGCAGTATCCAAAATCTTCAAGGTAGCAAAATTATTACTGCAGATTTTTTTTATAAGCTATGAAAATATTTATTTATACAAAATTACTCAATATCTCATTTTTTACATAGTCACAAGCCTATTCAGAAATATTGTACTAAGGAAGTTTGTTTTATACGGTGGAACCAACTTCAGTTAAAGCAATACTTTTTGATAACTATATAATGATGAATCATATAAATTTCAAATCACAATCGATTAACTTGCAACAATCTTTTTATACTCGGTTCACTTCATCCTAATCAATGATTAATTTAATTTATAATAATGCCACTCGAAATCTGACTCCCATTTCGTAATACTTGTTACGCCACTGTTACGGAGATAGGTTCGCAATGGTGGGAATAAGTACTGGGGTAGGGATATTTGAGGGTTTTCGAATCAGAGTGGGAATCGCGTGGGCGAAAAGCTCAGATCGATCCGGCAGCTGCGTAGTAAAGGACGCCTGTTGATACGAAACGGGAGTTTCATTCATGAAACTCTGAAAATCAAGACGCCCTAATAATGCACGTCGCAGCTTCATATGCAGAAAAAATAGAAAACTTATTAAATGCGATCTATACAAATATTAAATAATAAATACAATATAAATACAATTGAAAATAATACAATAAATTGACAATTTTTCTCAAATAAAACCCTAGTACTTTATCTAGTAATTTTCATTCACACTTATTATTTTTTGAACCAATTAGACGTCTACTCTGTCCAGAAACAAGAATGAATTTCGTGCTTATTTTTTCGACGGATGTGATTCTTGGCTTTTTATTGTCACTTGACACACTGACTACTGGTTGTACCTTTTTTTCTACATCACCCTGACTTTCCACTGAAATATTTTCTAGGGGTTGCAGTTCCATACGAACTTTGATATCCTTGCCATCGTATCTCCATGGACCATCTTCTTCCACTTCGACACATTGCCATTTCAAGATTTTAGTTTCTTCTGGCAGATGATTTATCGGATGTTCTCCATCTGATACCTTTGAATCTCTTAAGTATTTATCATTATCATTCTCTATTTTTAGATTTGCCTTCCGGATCTTTATTTCAGGTTTCTTAATTTCAAATTCCAAACAGCTATCGTCGTCATCCGTAATTGGTATTGCTCTCTTGTAATTCCGTTTTAATATTTTCTTCGTGGCAGACATTCTCATTTTATTACTCCTATCCGATATATGTTTAATTATGAAAATTTCATTGTTTTTCATATTATCTTCTTGTGGCTTTGTTGGTTCATAAACAATTTTTCTATTTACAGCGGGGTCAATATTTTCATTCACTGATTTTCTTTTGCTCCCAAATCTTTTTACACGCTTCTTCTGTCTATGTGGTACGGCTGAAAGATAAAGATTCATGATATCATTTTTGCATATGTAACGGTCATCATATTTGATCAAGTACTTACAATAATTCTCATTTTGACTAGAAGTATTCAAACATTCGCTGGTATCGGCTGAAATATCGTTAAAGGAATTTTTATGTGTCCAGGATCCATTTCCGGTCACAGAAGAATCATCCGATGATGTAGAACTATAAAACTTTTTAAATTTATTCCATAACCTATTGGCTGTGCTTAACCAATGTTTTGGATAAATCCAGTTAGTTATTTCGGTTTGGATAATAGTTTTGTTTTTCGAAGGTATTTCCTTCCTCTTGTTCCTGATCGCTGGTCGTTTTTCGTACGTTTTCCAATCTCCGCGTTTCATAAACTCTGTGTGACAGAAAATCGATAGTCGTATAACTTGTACATAATTATATAAGTAAAATCAAACGAAACATTGAAATTACCTGATAAAGGAGGAAACTCATCATCGCTACTGGAATAGTGTAATGCACTGGGTAATTGCAGGGGTACTTTATCAACTGGCAAGATTTCATCCCCCTTACACCTTTCACCCTCTTCCTTCGAATGGATCGGAACATCAATTCTGGGTGTGTACTTTTGGGAGTGGTGATTCGACGTACCCGCCAGGGGTTGATCAAACTTTTCCAGAAAAAGGTTCTCCACGTGCACAGCATCGCGGATGAGCTCAGGACTCGTATACTTTTTAACCTTCGTCGAAATTCCATGGACCTTCGAAGTTTCCTCTGTGGAGGAATACCTTGAATTTCTAATAATTGTTGGTTTTTTCAAAATGGTTTTGGGTGAGTCTTTTAATTTTATGGAATCGTCGGTGCTTTCGGATGTTTTTTTGTCATGGGATGTATCTGCATTTTTCGAGTGTGAGTCGAGTGATTCCTCCCAGTCGGTCACCCAGTTGTCCTCGGTATCGGTGTCACTATCGTGAAATCTTACAGATTTGTATCGCACATTATTATTCACTCTACAACGTTTCCTTTTACGATTCAATATTAATATTTGTGAATTCGATTTATTATCGGAGGAATTCGAATCGATTCGCGATAATGGTAGACTGTAATCTTTCACTATATTACCTGTAATTGGAGTACTGCACGAATTATTAGGACGGTTATCCATTTGCTATGTATGAATATTCGATTTCAGGAACACAACGTTTATCAACTCCGACTGAACTAACCAATTTTCGTCCCACTCTATTTGACCACAACGACGAATTATTGACTATAGAGAAATAAGATAGACAAATATGTACATCTACTCGTACCGATATATCCGACCTTGGCGTTTTTGCTTAACATATTTGTACAAGAGTTACGTTTGACAGTTGTCATTAACGATCATTTCGACAAATTGTAAAGTGTGCGAAGTATGCCCATGACAAATTAAAGATCGAAGTTAATTCTCAGCTGTCACGAAATAATGTGTAAATTAATTTTGCCTTCGCTACGTGTTAAATTATCAATCACATTGTTCCGTCGATAATAATTACACGTAATTCCTTCCTTACCAACAAAACGTAACAGCAATATTTATTCATCGTCGATAATACTCAACAAGTAAGTCTTCTTCTTTTTCTGCACTGTTTTAGTACGATCAGTAGCCGATAGGTCGCAGGACTAAAGCAATATGCTCGACTCGTGCGAACTCATACAGAGATTTTCGACCTTTTCATTAATAAGTTAAGCTGAATTGCTAAAAGTGTTTTTATCGACACACTCAACTTTGACAAATCAGCATCGGATATGATTCAGCTTCTACATGGATAACGACATAGTGAGTCACGTTTGCGTGTCCAGGATAAAATACAATTTGCATACTATAATGTGTCATAGAAAGAAGGGGTTTCGAATGAGCCGGTCCCTCTGTCCCTATCGTAATTGATAACACCACTCTAAATGACTCATCCTATTGATTTTCATCCTCTGCAGAATTCACCCGCCGGAAGTCGAGTTCACGTTACAAATGAATTTTGTATGTCGCGAACTCGTCGCAAATACATTCGCTCTACGTTGAAACATTTTCTTCAAGGATTCCATCGAAGGTGAATAAAGTCGACAGCAGCGTGCAATCCATAGGCGTATACTACATACGTAGTAAATACTTCAATTTTTAAGACTATTTTGACGTAAGTCAATTATCTACGTCACACTCCATTCAGTCACAACAATATTTATAAAGAATCGGACACTATAACCAGAAGTGACGTTCAATAGTGTCAAACCTATTTTCTAGGAGTTTGCTTTAGTCACATCATATGCATATATCTATGGTCATACATGTGTCAAGTAAATACCTGATAATTCGCATATCATCGTTGATCATCGTCTTATGAGCTATTCATCTATTTGAATCCACATTATATTAATTAACATACAAAATTTCGTTTCATAGCTCTGAAATATATGTATATGTACGTAATTTCTTCTTGTTTATTGTGCAAATTCTTATGTAGGAAATAATGATAGAATATACACAAATGTTTAATTTTGTATCTCTGGTGCTTCATATAAATATACAGATAATGAACTACCTAATATCGTTATCAGGACAATTACTAGTAATCGCGTGTTAACTCGAAGAAACCTAGATGCTCAATTTCGAGTGATTTTGCTGCTCGATCGATTCGTGGCGCATGTGCATCACAGTGCGAGCACCTTCTTACCTCCGCAGCCAGTCTGCTTCGTCAGTCCGTGCGCGACGTTCACAACGTGAGGTTCTACGTCGTTCGCGCAGTACATTTTTCCTCTACCAGATATAAATAAGACTGTTTCTTTTCCGTCAAGACCTTGTCTGCTATTGATCTACCATAAAGGTAAAAATATACATCGTTCAGACATTCGCATCGAAAGCATCTATCAAATAGAAATATAAATTAGATAATCAGAAAATTTGTGTCTTTGTTTATAGTTTTGTCGATATTGATAAACGGTACCTGTTAGACGTAAAATCCTTAATGACAATAACACACATGTTTTTCGAAAATTTATTAACGATCGTTCTTGATGGCGTTACTTCTAATACGTAATTTCTCTCGTATTGACGCAGCGGCCGACGTATCTACAAGCTTTTTCATAAAAACAATATTCTTTTCATTGTAAAGATGCCGGCAGACGCGGAACTCAGCAATCTCTTAAACAGAAGACAGAGGATTAACGAAGAGCTTGACGAAGGGAAAGAAGTTAAGAAGGAATACAAATTCGTGAACGTCTACACGGAATTTCACGAACTGTCAAGACGAGAGATCAAGCAGTACGAACAAACGTTCAACAGGTTAGTGTTTATGAAAACTTCAAAATTCAGGGCAAGAAAAGTGAAACGATTGTCTAGATTAAATAGAATTCAACGAATGCGTCATAACACAGGTACTTAAAACGAAAGTCTGTTAGTTTAGAGTTCGTTACATGTCTCACCGTCAGAGTCGCTGCTGTTCGATAACATATCTTTCCCTCCAATTGAAAAATATTCAACGTTAACGTCTGACATGAAAACTCGTTCGATCGTGCCGAATGATAAAAGGGCACAGCAATCAATTATTTATAGACTAGAAACTTGCTTATGTGTTGTGCGATAACTAGAAGTAATGACGTGCACAGCCGATACCGTTTTCACGGTTGTAACACAAAGTAAACTGAACGCGTATTACGTATAAAATATTCAGCCAATGAAATCCATACCAGTTGTGTTGATATCAATGAAATCAAATATATGATACAACAAAGTAAGGATATCGCAATGATTCTAGTTTTGGGGTATGTAGCAATTGGTATTCCTTCTCTCTAGAATTTCTTCACCAACAATGAGTCTTATCCTTGGTCTAACCTTGTTGACGGAACGCGATACGTGAACGGAATCTACAGTCGCAACGGTTAGGTGTACCTACCAGTAGGATGAATGCTAATTTATGCAGTCTTACACACGCAATATATAGTTGAAGAGATGCACACGTGTCTCAATGTGATTTTGATTTTTTTTCTTCGTTTCACTGCTGCATATAGAGACTTTGCTTTTATACGGGAAGTAAGCCGTTGCTGAAATTTTCAGTTAGAAGAAAGAAACTGTGTGCGGTCCTTGGGTAGGGTGAAGTTTCTTGTAGTTGAATGTATCGCCGTTTGTTACTTAGGAAATAAAAGGCGTGTCGATAGCTAGGCCAATTATTTACTTCTGGAAAAACTTTGAGGTTATGTAAGCAACTTCGACGTAAAATGAGTTCGTTAATCTTTGATTACGTGTTGTGTGGGACAACAATTTATCGGGAAGTTCGCGTGACATAGTATACGGCGTTTCAGTCGAGTTGAACGTTACTAGGAAATTTTAGGTATCGATACTTGTTTCTAACATGCAGTTTCCATTTTTAGGTATGTAAAAAGTATTGCGTATCGTGTGGACATTTTTGGGCGAGTTTCAATATTTAGCTATTTCTGTGAGCAACTTCATAGTTTTTGCCTTTTCTGTGGTGTTTATGGTATACCTTTTGCGAAATACTGCGTTCATAGCTGCTCGTAAACGTCACGATAGACTTATTTAGTGGCTCGTGACGTTTGGTTATGTTTTCGTGGAAATTTTCCTATTCACGTAAAATTGTCTCGATGGTAAAATTCTTTTATGGTAGCTGAGACACTTGCGTCCCTGAAAGATAATAACACGTGTTTCCCAAACACGTCAGGTGCTTAGACAACAACTGCAAGCACCTGGCGTGGAAATTTGAAAAGAAAAGTCGTTACAGTAGTACGGGACAAATGGAATAAAGAACTTTGCAGAACAAAATGAAGTTTGCGAAAATTGCGAAAAATTGTTAAAAACTTGAAAATACAATTTCTCGTCCTTCGGAATGTTTGCCATTAAATGTAGATTTATATAAATTATACACTAAAATTGTAATCTTTGTTCGCGTCGACTGTTCTATAAAATAATTTGTCAAGGTTTATCTAAGGCGAAGTTAATATTTTTGAAAAATTTGAAAACCAAGAAAAAGTAGACTGCGACCCTGGTCGTACCTGGAGATCGACCAACCTCGGGCTGCATTGTTAAACCTGCTGGTCAAAATAGCCGCAGCACAAAAAAAAAGGATGAAAAGAAAAAAATATAAAGGGGCCGAGGGTTTAAAAAAAAACGTAGAACGTAGCTCGCGAGACACGCTCGAGACCACCTTCTTTTTCTTTCGCTTCTTCTTCTCCTTATTCGTCATCTTGCACTTTAAACTTCTAAAGCCGTGTCTATATTGTGCGACTCTAAGTTGTCGCTATTTAATATCTTCCTTGTGCTCGATAACTGGCTCCAGCACGTCCATTAATTGAATAATAAATTTAATGCTAAGAAATTCCTCAGGAGGTTCAAGCGGAAAAGTCATCGCATCCTCAAATGTCATTTGGCAACATTGGAAATCCGTCCATGTATCCTGTTCAGAAATGAAAAAACGTGACGCCTGCTGTCATCGATTTCTGCAGAGCCTGTTTAAACGTGGATATGACGAAATATGGAAAACCGGATGAAAATGTGAAACGGTGAAAAATGTGGGTCGTTAAGTATGCAGAATCATTGACTCTCAACCCGCATGACGTAACGTGTCAAACGAACAGTTGCCAAACGTAGTCCAAGATGACGCTGACTGCATCATAGCACTGTACCCTAGATACATTAGAAATTTCCTTCAACTTCCATCTGTATCAATAACATTGCTCAACGAAACACAATATGATATTATGTACAAAGAATCAAGCATAATTTAAAGCCCCGATCACAGCGACAAAACGTCCCAGCGATAGGATGCGGTTTTATCTATACTTGTATGAAACTTCCTGTCTACTTCTGTGGCCGCGATGTTAACTACTTTCCCACAAGCGAAATCCAATATCGTCTCTTTGTACTGCTTACAGGAAGGATCAAGAGTCGTAAAGGAGCCTCCGGCGATCATAGAAAGAATTTTAAAGAAACAGCATAGGGCGACATCTCAATATTCATAAAGTCAACAATATAATAGTACAAACGGTTCCATCCTGTAGCTTAGTCAAAATTTGTAAAACACTCTCAGGTCGTAATCCTCTTCTATATATTCAATCCCAAGTAAATGTTACGTCTCCCAGTTGGGACGCACAGTCAAAGAAACTCACACCGTGTCTAATTTCGTGTTTATCGTTATCACAAAGCCAAGTCTCTATCGTAGTATCTCGGTTTGCCAAGGCCTTATCTTTGTTTTACAATACCACGTGCTTACGTTACAAACTGGAATCGATACCTCAAAGAAGAGTCACCATAAACCATACCTAACGGCCTACAATTCCTCTTGGGCTATAGAGTATACGTAGTGTATACATATGTGGTATCAGGATATGTTGTCGAAAAAGACATTCAATGGCGTTGCTGAACGTTTTATATACAAGGTACGATTGGGACTCCAGGTGAACCACCTGGATCAGGTTTACAGTCCTGCCCGTTGCTTAGTAACCTCCTCCTCTAGCCCTGAAGAAGAGTACAAGCCATCAGTATAAAAGTACATAAGGCAACCCTTAAAGGATTGCTGACTAGAATGCGGCAGTTATATATATATATATATATATATATATATATATATATATATACAACACACATAAAGGGTGGAATGCATGCAGAGAACTGACAATCATACCGGACTGAAGAGTCACAGAGAATGATGATGCTGATAGGACACAAGGCGGACCCCTAAAGCTTGGCATGAGACTCCTCGATGCTCGTGGGAGTTGTTCTATTTCTGGAAGGATTACACTTCTCTCCATAGCCATCCTTAGGAGCCATCCCACCCGCAGTCAAATGTTTACCAGCTAGGTGCAACTTGCCTTTTTGTCATATTGCTTTGGGTATATTCACGAGTTTTTCAAATGAAATTCCTTCTGGGAGTCTCCTTCTCACTGGAACGATATTTATTTCTGGTGTCTAGTTCAACTTCTTGTACAATAGTATATGCGACGTATAATTTACTCAGCGGCGTTAATAGAGAATGCAACTTACATTGACTGCTGTCCCACATTGCTGAATAGTATGTTTATACTTCATATAGGGATTTATTTGTGGTGCATCTCTGTAGGCCGATTTGCATGGATGCATCGATGCGTGGATTGTATTGAGTATAGTGATACATTGACTGTACTTTGTGTATATATTTGTGAGATTAATAGCACGGCTCAATGATAAGAAAGAAAGGAGGGCTGGATGGTTTGCCTTGACCGAATGTAAAATCTTTCAATAAAATTCTCATACCGTGTAAACATCTTCCAACTTGTCTATGATGGATCTGGTGCAACTGATACGTCGTGTCGAAACTGTGACCTCTGGGTTGAGGTCAAAAAAGAAGCGTCCTGGACTCGATGGGGCTCGAGCTATTTTTCGTATGTGAGCGTTTAGGTGGGATCTTGTTTTGTCTGACTTGGGACTTTGAATATTCGTCTTGCGAAAAAGCTCCTTTGCCCTCGACCTCGACCTTTGGCTGGAGTTATCGATATATCCCGTCGCGGCACTTTGCCGACCTCGACCTCAGCGACATTCTCCTTTCCTCGCTGTAGCCAGCTGATCGATAAGTCTCCAGGAGATATATGCGTGGGCTGTAGTTTATACATTATTATTTTATCGAATTAAAAGAAAAACTTTGTACCTCCTTTGTTACACCATTTCGTTAGTCAATTCAATTCCAACTGCAATGTTCAGGTGATTAATCGTTCACGATATGTCCATTGTACTTGATGCTAGTTTGTAACAAGATTATTTGTCACTGTACGGTGATTGTTGAAATTGACAGGTATACGTAGACGTGGGTTATGTCCAAGAAAAAGTGTGCGAATTTCTCAAGGATAGTGCAAGTGCACTGTATCGCACTGCATTGCGCTGCGGTGCACTGCATGCGGTATTAGCTTTCCCCTGCAGGCTGCAGATTATCGATTACGCACGGTTTTAATAGCAGCTACAATGCAGTTGGATTTTCCATGACTTTCACTGCTTCAGATATTACTGCTTCATTATCGCCGTCTATACCGTCAACTGTCATTCTATAAATATTTGTCATTCTTTTGAATGATAGTTTGTACCGTTTACCGACCTTGGGTATAACTTTCAATTAATAGCCGATCTACTTTACCGACGAAAGTATCAAGCTCGCCCTTGGTGGTGGATAACAGGAGTCTTGCTTACTGTTTGACAGAACATCCGCTGGGAGGTTTTTGGTTAATTGTTACCCGTGTACAATGAACATTCGGAAAATCAATTTCTTTGTGCTCTTAGTACTGTATAGTGTCGGTTAACCGGTCGCCAAACACAGCCAATCGCGTACCAGGACCTTATAAGGTTGCCACATCGGCGAAACCACTACCGTTCCTTTGTCCGCCTTTTTTGGATCGCTGCTCAACCGATTCTCCGATCCGTTGTTCCTTCTGGACTTTGTTGACGTATTTGCCCGATATCTCATTACTGCATTTTCTGTATATGAAAGTTGGGTGAAACTTGTATACGACGGAGATCTTTGTTGGGTGACGATATATTATATATATTGCTTCGTCTGAGATTATTGGATGTATGATAAGCTCATTGGAAGAGTGATAAAATAACATTAAAATTACTTTTGGACAGATTTGACGCGGGACACGACGGCTTCCTTGATTTGGCTGAACTTAAAAGGATGATGGAAGTGCTGGGCGCGCCTCAAACTCATCTTGGACTCAAGGCTATGATCCAGGAAGTGGATGAGGATGGTGACGGTCGTATTTCCTTCCGTGAGGTTTGTATATTTGCCAGGATGCAAAAAAAGAAAAGTATTGTGAAGCGTTTAAATTCGCGGGATTGCTCGCTAGGTTTGTTTCTATTGATTTCTCTTTCAATTTAATTGATTTATGTATACTGTTTTGTATATATATTTATACGTACGGAAACGTTCAAAACCAGTGGGCACCAGCTGGCCATGAATGAACTCAACGAACGGTACCAAATTGTGTCTTATTACTTTACTTCCTGTTTCCACATAATTTCGTTAGACACCTTCCGTTAGGGCAGATTGAAGATACATGATTATAGACTATGAACTTCACGTACGTTTGTTTCACTAAGGTATTGTACGTGTAACTTGTGTCTTTTTGTTTATACAGTTTTTATTAATCTATCGCAAAGCTCGTGCTGGAGAACTTGAACAAGATTCCGGTTTGGGTCAGCTTGCACGACTGACGGAAGTGGACGTTGACGAAGTCGGTGTGACTGGGGCCAAGAACTTCTTCGAAGCTAAGGTAAACGTTAGTTAATATGTAATTCTTCGTTTAATGTGAATCAAGTTTAAATAGTTAATAAGGTTTTACTTAATTTCGTGCTATCGCTGTAGTTGATTTTGAAAATACTTTTTTTCTTCAAGATTGAAGAACTTCGCAAAGTGAGCAAGTTTGAAGATGAAATCCGCATGGAACAGGAGGAGCGGAAACGGGAAGAAGAGGAACGCGCAACAAGACGCGCTCAATTTCGACAGAAAGCTGCTCTGTTTGGTAAAAATTAAACCGTCCCGTCAGTGTGTTCTGTACGCATTGATGGAAAACTTTAGTGGCGAACGAAGTGCACGTATACATGTTCGAACAAATGAACGACTGAATTTCCAAATGGTCGTTTTAATAATTGGCAAATGTGATTTCATTCCTGGATGTGATATGATAGATTTTCTATAATCGTTACATGTATACGTTTATTATACACAGTTGTATCGTATCGTCATGAAAACTTGTAGAGTTTGCTAAACTGAAATTATCGTAAGGGTCACCCAATAACAAGCTATCGAAAGAACTTAGTTTTCAAGAGAGCGAAAAAAAATAACAAATTTTATCCATTTTTGGAGAGTACAAAGTTTATAGAGTACAATGCGAAGTATTAATTGCTATTGACGCTCAGTGGTTATTAAGCTTCCATTGCTGCCGGAAAAAATGCAAATTATAAAAAATATTTTTAAAAATCGTTGACAAATTATCAAGAATGCCGACGCGCAATTGATTTGTTTAAAAACGACTGAAAAGCATAAGTGAAGTTGCAATTATAGTTTGTCACAATTAGCACGTAACTGTGTAGTATAATTTTTAGAGGATGACAGTTAAGACAACAAAATTATCGTGGAAAGTCTCATTCGTTGTTTGTACATAATATAATTGCTTTGTCGAAAAAGTATTAAACGTTAAGCTAATATTTTTAATAGGTTGCAAACAGTTTAAAGCAATTTTAAGAACTATGAGAGTCGTCCGTTAGTGTATATTTCTGGAAAAGATGTGTTACTTGTAGCTAACGTGAAGTTTTCGAGAAATTATAACCAGACAATGGTCATCGATTAATTTTTATAGCAGAATTCCCAAATCATTAGATTATACTAGGTTTACAGAGCGCTTAGTTTACAACGAAAACTTATTTAATGTGTAATTATAAACTGCTTCTTTTTTTTTTTATACGTGCCGTGCGACTTCTTCTGTTAGACATAAATCCAAACCCAATTAAATAGAATCGCACCTACAGAAGCTGTTATAATACAAATATTTGTTTTACTGTGTAATTATTGGTATGCATTTATGCTATCGTGTCTACAATGTTACGTTAATTTTTATCATCACTGATAACAGAGTAAAAAATAATTACCAGAAGTTTCAGTCTTTGTAAATGTGTACTCATTACTCTACCCGTGACTTCTTTCCTTCTTCTTCATTATCCAATGACTTTTAATTAATATCATCATTAACTTTCACCTGTTGAAAGTTTATAGAAATAATATTTGAGAGTATATCTTTAGATGAGTTTAACTGGTTTGGAAGAAATCATAGTAACACGTGTTTTAATAGCCTAGTGAAAGTCGAAAGATACATTTTCAATAATTACACGTTTCTCATGGAGATTTGGCACAAATTTTCGTATTGAATAAGATATTCTTAAACCATAGTAAAAATGTTCAATTTAATAAATATCTAGGAGAGCTTGGTTTTTTTATTAGAGCAAGACTTTCAAGATCTTTAAAAAAGAATTTTGAAAAATGTGTATAACCAAAGGCTCAGTTGATATATGAGTTAAGAGAGTAAGAAAACACCACATATTTTTTCAATGATTTCACTCCTACTTTAATAATCCTTTTAGGAATAGGGATAAATATAGATCTTGAGTAAGAAATAAGTTCCCGTTTTACGTGTATACTTTTTTATATGTAGATCATATACGTACCATGTTATAATAGTAATTTATAAGTAATATATGATCTCCTATAAATGCAGAACGTCTATTGGCAAATTCAAAAAGAAGTTTCATTAATGGTAATTCGAATGCGGAAGCGTTCGTCTCATAAAAATATTCGAACCACTGTACACCGACAGCCCATAAATTACTTAATTAACAGTAATAACAGTGAAGGATATTGTTTTCCTTGCATACTCGTAGCGTACTTTGTAGCATACTCGTATTATAAATTTTACTTAGCTTTACATCGTTAAATTATAACGATGCGCTCGTTCCATTAGACATAATTAACTAGAACCTCCGAAACAATTGGTCTTTGTTTTGTACCATTTCCTTTGTTTATTATTGATGTCTCTAAAGATTCTATTAATTTTCTTTTGTGCAAACCGTCGCTCGCATTGACAGTTCTTATTAACATGAAATCTAAATTTGTTGTTCGGTTGATAATTATTGACTGAGATATCTTTTGTACTCCATAGATAAATATTATATTTTATTTGATTCACGTAGGATCATGGTACGAGAAGAATACTTTTATACGATCGAAAAGGCAGTGGTATCTTTAGAAAGTTACAAAAGTAAGTCGCAATGAAAATTCATCACGATAAAGATTATCTAATCAAAATGATCATAAAACAATAAAGATCAGAAGATAAGAAATGATTAACATATCGCAACACACTTTACTCCAAGATTAAAAGGTTTGCAAAAATGGATTGTTCTTTGATAATCTAAATATTTGGGTAGTAACTTGAGCAACAATCAAGTCTTTTAAAATTTGAACATGATATTTTGACAGATTGATAAGAAAATTACAAAATTTATGACGTATGGTTGTTTCCTGTTATAAATTCGTATTAGAAAATACGCATATGATTGTGTATGATTCACGTAGTACCATGACATGGAGATTCGTTAAGCGCAATCTAGAAGGCAGTAGCCGAAAGTGACAAAACAGAAAACGCTGAATCTTGAGTCCCATAAACAGTCTTATAAAAAGGGTCCAGTGAAAACTAGTGTTTCTCGAAATATTTAACGACTCCGAGCATCAAGTAATTATCAAGGGCAGGCGAGAATCACTGAAGACTATCAGAAGTCTCCGTGAATCTTGCAGAATTTAAGAAAAGTCGAACGTGCAGGTTGGAAATGGCCGGCGCGATGTTGTTCGAACGTGCTCAGGCAGTTTCGATGACAAACCGTAGCGAAGGGATATCTTTATTAAACGAAATTGTGTCCGATCCAAGTATTGGAATCACAGAAGATGACGAAGATAATATTCGAGTGAAAGAACAGGGAATTTTACATTTGGGAGAATTGTACAAGAAAGAGGGCAAGGCCAAAGAACTGGCAGACCTTATTAAGGCTACGCGACCGTTTCTTAGCCTGATTAGTAAGGCCAAAGCAGCAAAGCTTGTCCGGTCTCTTGTTGACTTCTTCCTAGATCTTGAAGCTGGTATCGGTATAGAGGTATGTACCTTTGGCAAGGCTGATAGGCTTCTGCATCTTGATTGACATCACCAATTTCTAATCCATAGGACAGAGACAAATCATAACTTTCCTTTGGTATTTTTATATTTTCAGGTTCAATTGTGTAAAGAATGCATAGAATGGGCCAAGGAAGAGCGCAGGACATTTCTGCGCCAATCATTGGAAGCACGGTTAATAGCCCTGTACTTCGATACAGGAATGTTTGGCGAAGCTTTACAGCTTGGATCAGCATTGCTCAAAGAATTGAAAAAACTTGATGACAAGCAGCTACTCGTTGAAGTTCAGCTACTTGAAAGTAAAACTTATCACGCACTGAGTAATCTGGCAAAAGCCAGAGCTGCGCTCACCAGTGCGAGAACCACTGCCAATGCCATATATTGTCCACCCAAAATGCAGGCTGCACTAGACTTGCAATCTGGCATTTTACATGCAGCTGATGAACGGGATTTCAAGACTGCTTACTCATACTTTTATGAAGCATTTGAAGGGTACTTATTTTTTTTATTATGTTTATTAGATCAATGGATGTGATGAGTGATATTAAAGACGAACAATGTTTAATTACAGATATGACAGTGTTGAATGTCCAAAGGCTCTTACGACACTGAAGTATATGTTACTATCAAAAATTATGTTGCGTAACCCTGAAGATGTACAATCAATAATGTCTGGAAAACTCGCTGTGAAATACGCGGGTCGGGATTTGGATGCTATGCGAGCTGTAGCGGACGCTAGCCATCGGCGCTCACTAGCTGAATTTCAGGCAGCTGTTAAGAAATACCGCGTAGAATTGGAGGAAGACGTTATAGTCAGAGCGCACCTTGGTTCTCTATATGATGCTATGTTGGAGCAGAATCTTTGTAGGCTTGTCGAGCCATACTCTCGTGTCCAGGTGAGTAGAAAAACTTTTTTGTAGCTTTGCAAGTCGAATGAAAATGATAACTCAGTATAATAACAAATGGATTCTCTTCTTTATCAGGTCAGCCACATAGCGTCCTGTATATCTTTGCCCTTGGCTCAAGTTGAAAAGAAGCTGTCGCAAATGATCCTGGATAAAAAACTCCATGGCGTTTTGGATCAGGGTGAAGGCGTTTTGATAGTCTTCGAAGACACACCTCGCGATAAGACCTATGAGATTGCCCTGGACACGATACACAGCATGGGAAAAGTAGTAGACACGCTCTACCAGAAAGCCAAGAAGCTCACCTAGCCCTATTGAATGCGAATTTGTATAAGCGAAGTCTATTATAATTAATAACAATTATTAATAATTAGATGCCCTCATTAAATAATTACCCATCTATTGATAATGAGATCGAATCGTTTCTGAAATTTTCAAAATCTTATTCGCTACAATAATCCTGTACAAATCTTGTCAATTCGTACTAAGTTCAAGAATTTCCTGTTAATATACTCGCAACACCTCATTTACCATTTAACATTCGCGGTTTTTTTTTTCTCTAAAAGAACTTATTCTCTTATAAGTATGCATCGGTATATGCATATTCATATTCTTTTGCAGTGGTATTCTTGTTGATAAAGAAATTGTGAACTTGAATTGTACTGATTTCATTGATGTCTCTAAACAATTTTTAAAGTTTCGTTTAGGACGACTGCTACAAAACGGTATGTTGTAATTTCCTAATTTAAGTTGATTTTATAAATTCATTTATAATTAGGACGTTCACCTGCGTGACAAATGTGCATCTAGTGATTTTTCTGAAGCAAAGAATTATTTCTAGAGAAATTTTGAAGAATTAATAAGGCGTACCAACCACAGAGTAAATGCAGAGATGGTAAACGTCATAAACATAAATGGTGAATAGAGATTTCTCTAAAAGCGCGAAAGCTGACGAATCAAGGCGTCGCCACTTCAAGAATTGACTACTCTTGAGATTCACGGCACCGATCATAGTTGTCAACAGTTCATCTCTGAGCTTCAGTTGTGAGAAATTGAATTATCTTTTTCTGCCTACATTAAAATGATTAGGAATTCGTGTTAAGCGATAACAATAACGAAATGAACGATACGTTGATAGTGTGAATAACTGATATTTATCTACTGTGATTCATCTCGTTTTCATCAAACTTAATTTATTATTATTCGAAGGTAAACGTTTATAAGGTATAAGTAAAATAACGAAGAGCTGTAAATCACTAATATTTTTTTTATTTAAAAAAAATGTGAGCTTTCGTCTGCCACGTATGAAAGAGATTCTGATTTTAATATCTTAACCTCAGTTGCTCTGTGGGAGACATTGTGACATGTGGAGCATTTAAGATTACTAAAAATATCCTGCAGCATGAGACTTCGTTTTTTAAAAATAAATAACCACCTGATAGCCATTCTTTATAAAGAAGAATAAATAGTTATTAGACTGTCATTGTCTTTCTATGTTGGAGTCGCTATTCTTCACTTGATACTATGAATATGTATAAAAACATATTAAACAGTAAAGTACATCTAGACTGCTAATTCATTGAAGAGTGATTATATTTATATAGGTAATAACTAATATAAAAAATGTTATGATACATAATGCTTTATCTGTATTGATAAGGATCTGGCAAAAATGTCGGCACCATTGCCACCACCCCCACCAACAAATTTTGGCACTTCAGCAGCGGGTGCAGGTGAACAAGGTCGTGGTCTTTTATTACAGTCAATCAGAGCTGGAAAAACATTGAAAAAAACTGTCACAGTAGATAAAAGTGCACCAGCAATTAGTGGTGAGTTGTTAGCTACGTATATTATAAGCAGATATTTAGTAGTAGAAGTAAAAGGAATTTCTCTGTAAATTTATTAACTTGCAATGACTTAATTATGATATTGATAATTCATAGGTAGAGTAAAGGGTGAGGCTGCAAGTAATGTGTCTAATAACACTAGCACGTCAGCTGGACTGTCCAGTAGTAACAGTATGAGTAATGGTGGACCACCTGGATTAGCTGGATTATTCTCTGGTGGCATGCCAAAGCTTAAACCCACTGGACTACGTGCAAATATGAGTGAGAGAGATAACACAGACTCTTCAGGAAATGCGACATCTAGCAATACCCTGCCTAGTGTGCGAAGAGGGCCACCTCCAATTCCACCACCAGCAACGCAGAAACCACAGATTTTCAATCCGGTCTGTTTTCACTGTTTTTAAATCATAATTACAGAGGATCTACGACTATCGATTACAGAAACTAAAAATATTAGCATATGCTTATAATTTAAATAAGATCCTTTTTAGACAGATCTTCTTTTCATACAGGTACAGAATACTAGCAATACAGACTCAGGACCGGCTTCCATAATGAAAGTAGCTGTGCCTAAACCGCCTCCACCACCTTCGCTAGCACCACAGAAACCATCACCGCCGCCAAAGAAATTAAATCTAAATACAAACGTCTCCAGGGCTCAGAGCATGCGTTTGCCTCGATCACCGCCAGTCCTGGTGGCACCGACTCCTGCCTCATTGCATCAATCGCAGGACTGCTTGAACGAACAGCAACGTCCTATTGGAAGAGTATTACGACCACCGGTGGTACGACCGCCATCACCTCCAACAAGTAGAGCACCCGGAACAGTAATTGCCACCAGGACTGCTCCACCACCACCCTCGCGGACAGCTGTGTCAGCACCAAAAATACCTCCACCACCCCCACCACTTCCTCAGAGAACTGCATCCGCTCAGCAAAGAATAACTGCTCCCACACATCCTCTACCACCAACTCCGTCCACCAGGACTTCCTCCATGCGCAATGGCCAATCAACGGCCAATCTCACTGATCTGGATGTACGATTTGCCGATAAGTTCCACTCCGCTGTACATTTTCCATCGCCGGAACCTTTTCGTGGCTTTCCCAAGACTTACTACAGCAAAAACGGTGAGAATCAAGGGCAAACAACTTCCCTTCTTGGATTCACTATTAACAGACAGACAAGCGCGTTTGACATCTGACAAGAAAATTTTCTGTTGCGTTAATTTAATTGCAATTGCGTTACTAACTATGAAATGCCTTAAACGACTTCTCGAAGCTACGACTGAAAGCAACTACTTGGGATTCGCTTGGGAATTAAATAATTTTCTATAATTTTAATTAGCTCATTAGACAACCTCTGTGCCTTAGCAAGTGATACCTACTCGTACATTCGATGTGTTCAGAAAATAGTTTCTCACTTGATACCGTATGTATATAAACTCCGAACCGAAGGAAATTCGTTAGCGATGAAATTATTTTAATATCATAACCGTTATACAATATTGTCGTTCAGTTCTGTAGATCGTTTCGCGCGATATCTATCAGATTTTATTGTAGCCTCATATTTAATATACTTAAAGGTGTTTAAAAATCATCTACATTTATCTTTGTTCCTGCATGGTGTTCTATCAGTGGTACTATTTTGCACGTAATAAAATTTCCTGCAGGTCCAGCGAGTGCTCTAAAGCGGTTATCCCGAGTGTGCACCATTAACACTAATTTAACAAAGAATTGCTTTTGCTTGAATAAAGAATTCTTTTTTAACTTATCGTCGCTTCCCTCGGCTCATGCTGTTCAGGGGCACGCGCAGAGACCGCACAAAGCTAACGCTGGTTTTGTTTCTCTACTTTTAATAATTCTGTTGCATGCGCATGATCGTTATTAAATAATTTTTTCCCTCGACATTCATTCTTCTGATGCTTGTACTCTATTCTATGGGTCCTTTATGCAGAGTGTGCCACAATTTCTGGATCACTAAATTTTTTTTTCATACTGGAAATTGCGGTATACGTTCAGACATGTGTACGTATGAATCCTATAGGTTTTTGAATATTACAGCCGCTAAACAACAAGCGCCTGCACCGCCCCAGTGACCTTACGAAGTTTCCACCTGTTCAACATTTTGTCCCTTCAACTTGGTCGCAATTGGATTCAATTTTGGGCGGAACACGAAGCAGGCACACAACACTTCGGAATGTCAAGATTACGAATTTGTTATGTTTAAAAGAAATTGTACATACTGTTCGGTATTCCTTGAATGTTTTTCTTTTTAATCTAACGTATCACAATCCTATAGGGATTCGATTCTGGCAGCGATAAAATATGTAAGTTATTTGACAATAGACAGTGATACCAATTAATTTGATATTAATTGGTGATGATCTTCTTGAGGCAATATCTCATATCTCAACCGTGTACGGTTGGCTCAATAACTATTAATTATATTATAGGATTCCATTAAAATGTACATTTATAGGAAAATTTTGTAATTCTAAATATTCTACACTTTATCGTCGCACAGTTGATACCGTTTTCAGAATCGCGGATAAGATATCCTAATGATAAGTATCAGTATCAGGTATTAATTGTATTTACAGTATGCATTCTTATTATATCGATATTGTAATTTAATTAGTCATTATATTTTCTCCAGCCATTTAACCGAACGCAAAATCGACAGTCGAAGTATACCGTTTTTTCAGACTCTACGTATCATTCATCAATCATTATTCGAATTTGGGAACGAAAAGAGAAAAAGAGCGTAAGTATTCAGTTGGCATCTTATTTAAGAGGAACCAAAGGTTTTACACTGGAACTTCATAAAATAAAACGAATTTCGTGTCATTAATTATATAATGTCTTTGACACTGTATTAGTCAAGTAAATAATAAAGTGGTATATCTTTGATATAAAATAAGAACCGGAAATTCTTTTATTTCACAAATCTCAAAACTATCATCGACTCCAGCAGTATCTAACGGACGATAAAGTGGCAGACCCGCAATAAGCGACAGAATAAATGAGACAGTCACTTGATATATGCTTATGTTTATTTTCTTTACGAACGTATCTTTTTTTTTTTCTTTCAGACGATGTACATAATAAGTTATGAGTAAACGAGCGTTAACTCTTATCCAGAACGGCCGCATCTGTTTTTATTTAAGCTTTACAACTTTCTTTTAGGTACTGTTTTATGCACGTGTTTCGTAGCGTTATGGATAACATTAACACTTGCCGGCTTTACTCAAATATATAATATACTTTCTATTTACCTTTTTGTTTATTAATTAATATTCTTTAATTAGATTACCAAATACAAAAACATAGGTGCTATAATAATGTTATAATACAAGCGTGCCGCGCGTCGGACTGAATGAGAAGGCGCCTAGTTTATTGCTGGCGCCCATTCAGTGCGACGCAATCGACACCTTATGGAAATACTTACGAATAAAGTTTCTTAAAGTTTAATTATACGTAGAAATATAATTATTTAGAATATAATGTACCTTCTATAAGTTTATTACAACGAACAATAAAATGTTAAACGAAACCGTTTCCTCACTCGTCACTCTTTCTCTCTTTAATTTCTTGCATTTTATCTCTCTTTCTTTCTCTCTCTCTCTCTCTCTCTCTCTCTCTCTCTCTCTCACGCTCTTTCTGCCTTTCACTCTCACTCGTCCACACTAATTTTTTTTTTACTCTTAAACGTCAGCACAACCGCAGCTACTACACTTCAAAATTCCTCCTTGGAAATAAATATGTACACGTAAAAAGTTTGTACAGAATAGTTATTTTTTTTCTCTTTTACTCGCTGTGTCCTGCCCGTCATTATTATTAATTATAATCCATTAGCACGTCACTTTAACGCATAACGATATAGCGGCATCGTGAAGCTCAATGATTCGTGCAATTTGGACGTTGTTGTCAACATCGTAAGAAGCGCTCGGTGTCGAAATTGTTGGGTAAATTCGAAAAATCCAAGATAAGGATTTCAATCGGGATTTCTGGGGTACCGAGATGCAAAGGAAATGAAAATAGTTAATATTACAAATCGCCCAAATCCAGTTACAAAGAAATTATAAGAATCATCGGAGTTGATTTTTTTTAACAATTTGATAACTAGGCTCGTTCCGTTTGGTTTTTCTTTTCCTTTCGTTATTCATCTCGTATCACACCGCTCGTCAGCAATCGTGTGCTATTCCCTTCATTCATCTTCGTTAATATCGTTTGCCATTTCTTTTTGCTCTTTAACAATGTTCGTACTTGTTCCCAATAATTCCACCTTTCTTGAGTCAATCGTTAATCGAAGAAAGCGCGACAGGCACCTCGGTGGATTTAAGCTTTTGCTTACGTTCTAGCATTGCACGCTCGGAGGGACGGTTAACTACGGAGACAAAATCACTAGCGCTTTCTCCTTCCCCAATTGCAATAGAAAGGTGAGGCTGATGTTAAAAGAAAGGTGACGTTAACGATTCTGGCCTTTGATTTGTAGCGAGTTGAGATTCTTGTCTTTCACTTGACACTTCACTGTTTCTTTCCTTACTTTCGGAACTATCAAGACGCTGCCGCGCGGACAGAATGAGAACTAACCGAGATCGTTTGATTTGAATAATTCTAAGGACAATTTTATAGAACGCAGGATACAAGCTGACTGCAGAGTTTTCTAGCGAGAAGAGTTTTATTTAAAAAATTTGCTAACTAGTGGGGAGCAAATTTTTAGTAAGTTTCAGAAGAATTAGAATTAGAATGACACTCTTTCTTCTTCATTCATCATCAGTCAGCTTGTATCGTTTAACCGTATGGATTATCTTAGAATTTTTCAAAATACCTTACTGCTCTACGTTACTTTAACTTTTAAGTTTTCTCTCTCCCATTTCTTTTCACATCTCAACTTCAAATCGTACTCGCCCATATGATAACGAACAATGCCATCACGCATTATAGGATGTGTGAAGAAGAGCAAATAAAAATGAATAAAGACATCACAAAGAAAATGAGCGAACATAAATTAAGAAGTTTACGTCCTATGAAATTTATTTGACTGATAAGAGCGCAGTAGGAAACATTGTTGTAAGAAATAAATTAATGTCAAATTTGGCAGGACAAGGACTGATTGATAACGTTATTGAGATGGTCGTATCGCTTTGTTTTGAAAGTGAGAATATATTCGATTTTTGAAAGCAGACAAATTTGTTAACAGTGTCCCTTTTCTTTTTATACCGTATACGGTATAGGCTAATAAAATATTTTGCGCATGTTCAGTAGGAATTAAAACAATTCGGATCGATTTAAAAGGCCCTGAAGAAAAAGTCAAAAAATAACGCCCAGAGAAAAATTGCCTTTGTTTGGTCCGTGTAAGACGCAAGATAATTTTGAATTTTTTTTCTGACGAGAAACTTACGCGTTCATTTTTCAAATTCTCGTCAACATTAATTTCACACTAGGGCTTTTAATTCTTTTTATCAATTTCAGATTTCGTCCTATGGTTTTTATTTATTACGTCAATACGATTCGCTTTTCTTTTGACGGCTCATGGAGACGCATATAAAAAAAAAACCTCGACACTCTCAGACACCAAAAATGAGTGCGTAAAGCAAACTATATTGGGATAACACGAATCTTGAATAAATACTTAATATCGTTTAAAAAATGTTAAGTATTCTTCGTAATGTCACCACTATATAGTTTGTATGAAAATAAGATATTTTACTTGAAACTTTTATGTACACATATTACAAACGACATTTCATAATGTATACGTTACGCGTTCTTCTTACACACTTCTATTGTTTTTCTTTTATTATACACGTTAATAGAGGAAATTCGATATTTCGCGATCCGTAAGTTTCAACTTTTTTCTTCTTTTCTTTTCTTTTCTTTATCCACTCTTGCTTCATGCATTCGCTCTCTCTCTCTCTTTCTCGCTCTCTCCCACTCTCTTACACTCACTCTCTATCTTCAACATGCTTTCTACAATTAATCACACCGCAAAGCCATTAAAACTCGATCAAAACGCAACTATCGTTAACCTCTATTCATGATTCGTGCTTACGTTTACTACAGAAGCTCTCCGTCCTTAGTATCCCATTTTTTCCTTTCCTATCGTATTTCGGCTGCTGGTCCTTTTAAAAAACACCAGAGCGAGCGCCTTGCACCTTTCGTCACTATCGTGATTAATATTATTTACAAAAATGATTTTCATCGGAACAATCGTTAGTGTCCTATTGTACTTTGAATCCCGACACGGGAGTGGGACACTTGGTTCTGTAGGATTTCGTTTAAACGGTCTAGAGATTCACTACAATTGTAACGGCCTCGCAAGAAGACACTTTTCCTTTAAATAGCCAAATAAGAAGATTACTCTAAACAAGAAAGTAAAGAAAGCGTTCAATGGAGACGTAGAATATCACACTTGAACCAAGTATCCACAGTGTCGTGAGAAATTTTACTTGATAGACCGACATTACTAACGATCCTCCACTTCCGTTCTTGTCACGGAATTCGCTCGTGTCAAATTTAACGAGTCGAGCGATGGACGCGCGCATATAAAAGCAAAGAAGCGTTTTGTAAGATTTTACGCAATTCAGTTTCTTTGTATTCCTTTTTCTTTTAACCATTAATTACCTCTCTCGCTCACGAATACACACTTTCGTTTAATTCAATCCATTTAAAATGTCTTCACGATGCAGACCGCTGCGAGCGTCCGACACTGGTATCAAATTCCACAAGTCAGAGGTAAAAAGTATTAAAGGGCGCCGCCGGAAAATGGTAGATTAAAAAGAAGTGAAAGAAGAGAAAAAGAACAATAAAGACTTCCAAAAGCTAAATTCATCACCGATAAACGTGTACACTTCACTCACACTAGAAAATCAGGATCACTATAGTCATCGGCACTGTCGCTGCTATCGGATATTCTTCTTCGCTTCTTCTTTTTATGCTTCTTCGTCTTGTCAGTTTTGTGCGAGCGATGCTTCTTGTGCTCCTTTATCTCCGGGTGGGCATGTATCGTCAGTTTAGGAACGCGCGGCGTCACCGGAATCGAGTGCACCGAATTATTCGCGTGCTCGCTTGGGTTTGGAATCTGTTGCTGGTACATAGGTTGATTAGGATCAAGTGGCGCCACTGCGGCGCTATCGGGTAATTTGTCAACTACGGAATTGACCATTTTTGCCTGCGTGGAATTGTTATCCGTAGTAGCGACGTGTGCCTGCTGCTTCGATTGGTCACCTTCACCACCGTCGTCGTCAGGTTCCTCCGGATCGAATTTGAGCATCAGCTGCTTGAAGTCCAGATACTCCTTGACCAGCTTCTTCCTGCCCTCCGCGTCCAGCTCCATGTTACTGCCGCCTTCCTTGAGTTTCTGCAAAGTGGCCTTAGGTCGGAATAATAAATTGTTCTTACGATTTACCGCCTTCTCGTAGACCTTGGCTGCCTCCGACGGCGAGTACTGTCCAATCTTCGCGTCCGAAAAACCATAAAGGTCTTTCAGGTGTTGGCGCAGAGTCAGGAGCAACAGGAACCCTTGACTGGCCGTTATGTATTCCCGTAATAACGTAGTATCTCCTGGTAACCTTGCCAATATTGACTCCTCGTCCTCCTCGTCGTCTTCCTCGTCCTCTAAGATTGGCAAGAGATGACTCGGCTTTGCTTGTCCACCTTGTGCGCAGACTGCAGCGGGATGGGGCTGTGGTTGAATGTTGGGTTGAGATTGTACATTGGCTCCAGCATTAGCACCAGTGCTACTGCTGCTGCTACCGCCACCTTCCTTAGGTAGCAATGCCTCCTTGAAAGATTGTAGCAAGTTTGTCCCAGACATGGAGATTATAATATCTATATGATGGATGATGAAGAGTGGTTCGTCTTGGACTTGATATGTGAAATAAGCTAGATTGTCAGCTAGATATAACATTTGGGACAAACTTGTTTTGGCGCTTTCGTCGAATTGCTTGAGAAACGACAGAACGATGGCTCTGCGTTGCTGCTTCGTGTTCCTCAGGATGGTGTAGAGGAAACCGTTGAGCGCACTGGGAAATTCACCTTCTTTGATCCTCATGCCTCTCACAGTAATGTCGTTCTGCAGGATCTTCTGGAGGCGGTAGCTCAGCTTGATGCCAAATTGGGACTTCATGTGTATGAAGCCAGGATATTTCTTCTCTATGTCCTGAAGTTGCTTATCTGCGCTGTGACTTACCATTTTTTCACAGTCAGTACTCATGCAGATCAAGTACGGTACTATTTGTACAGGGTGAACAAGACCCTGCGCCAGGATCAGCTGGATTACCTTGAGCGCTGCGTGCCTGACGCTCACGTTCACGTGGAGAAACGATTCCAGGACTTCCTTGAGATACAATTGTATTACTGTACTAGCCATACCTGAAGACACGTCACCCATTTCCTTCAAGTTCTCTGACTTTGACAATTTGGCCCACTCCAAATCCTGCTTGATCATCCTCTTCTCCTCTTCCTGCAGGTAGACCTCGATGTTGTTCAGCACTTGAATCCTCATATTTACCAGGGCGTTCTCCGAGGTGAGCAGATGATGATACAGCTCTTTCAGTTCAGGCATCATCATGAATTCATAATGCCTTATGCACAGAGAGCCAATGGCTGACAAAGTAAAGTGACGTATATCATCATTGTCCTGATGAACGAAGTAATTCAACGTTTCAAAGACTTGATCCTTGATATTGTCCGGAAGCCCGTCTATGACCTCTGGGTCAGTGAAGTTGAAGTGTCTCAGAAGTAGCCCTACAGTGAAGAGTGCTCGCCTGAAGAAGGGTCTGTACCTCAGGAGCATTGGATTCGTAGGATCCTTCTCGTAGAAAGACTTGTACTCTGTAAGATGGCCGTAGTACTTCTTGAAGCAATCACGAATCAGCTTAAAGTTCCTTGTGACGTTGTTAACAATAGATCCTAAGCAGGATAAGCAGCTAGCCACAACAGACCGATCATGCTGTAAGATCAACTTCACCGAGTCCTCTTCTAGTTGGGCCAGGAAGGTTTCACTCGGATGCTCCATCAGTGGTACAACGAGTTCCAGGGTATGAGCCACGCTGCTAATGATCTGATAGTCCCCTTGGGTTTGACACTTTAGACTTAAGTATGGTTGTAGAGTGATGGCGTGGTTTACCAGGAGTTGAGGTCTAATTTTTGCAAAGAGATACAAGGTCGTTAAACATGCCACTAATCTCTGAGATGACCCTTTCTTCTCAGGCTTCTCTGAATTGTCAAGATTCGTCTCCTCGAGTCTCAGGACGTTCTCGATCAGGCAATCGACGATCTGCTTACAGGCTGTGAGCAAGGCCTTAGGCGGTTCCATTTGCATCTTCGTACTGTCGTCCTTGTCCTCTTTAGGCTTGAACAAACTAACCAGTAGTTGCTCGAACCACTCCAGTCCCATGTCTTTGCTAGCTGCCACGACGTCGGTAATATTCATAACTTTTCTTAGCAATGCTTCAGAGTCCAGCGAAGGTCGTTCCCTTACCGGAGTGAACCACATATTCTGAAAGACTTCCATTACTAACTTTCTAATTCCTTCTTCATCGTTCACTCTTCTTATCATCTTCACGCAGATTTCAGGTATCTTAGGAAAGTCTGGGCATTCCATGCAGATGTCTTTCAGGATCTTGATTACTCTCTTCCTCACGCTCACGCCAGTATCAAGGATCCTTGCTGAAAGCATGTCATAGTACTTGTCGATGAGCTCTGGTCTACTCAATACAAATTTACCAACAAGGTCCACAGCAGCTTCGCGCACGGATGTAGAATGATCGAGAAATGAGTGCTTTACACCCAACTGCATGTCCACCCTGGCCAAAACGCTGGAGTCAGCTTCTACGATCATGGTAAGGCATTTCATGGCCTTGGTACGTATGGCGATCGAAGATTCTGTGAGTACGTGCAGGATCTGCTTGAGGTACCTGTCGAAACTCTGAGAGAATGGTCGCTTTGACGCCAGATACTGAGATATAAGCTCGGCTGAATTATAGTCTATGTAAGTTTGGAGTACTTCCACTTTAGTCCCGGACGAATAAAATGGTCGTATTTTATTAATCATTAACTTCTTCTTTTCCTCGATGAGCCTGTAAGCTTCTGAGTTTTTTTGTTCGTTATTGTCATTCTCGTCAGCATTTTGCTCTTCGAGCTCGGATTCACTCTCCTCTTCGCTATTTTGATGTCTATTTTTCTTCTTCGAACGTTTCTTGTGCGACTTCTTGCCAGGGCTGTTCTTCGATTGAACCACCCGTGTCTTCTCCATGGTACAGTCTCTGTACCATTGTGCCAGATAAAAATGCCTCGCGTAAGCCAGCGCAGAGTCCTTAGTACCATTGACAGCTAGATAGTCGAGAAGTACTTTCTGAAGGAACAGAGTCCTTTCCTCGTCCTCGCTAAGTCCAGCGATTTCTTTATCTTTAATTTGATCATAATCAGTATCCTTCTGTTGTTCAGCCTTGATGTCTTTGATGATTTGATCAATGGTAGATAGTTTACATTGTGAGCTCACAGCGTCTTTTCTTAACCTGGCTGCTACAACGCCCAGGTAATCAATGGAGGCCACTCTGAGCGACATGTCTGAACTCTTGTTTGAGAAGTGTCCTACCAGTAAGTTCCCCAGAAGACTCAATAATAATTCTGCGGCAGGCCACTCGGGTTTGTTCACAGTAGCCAAGAGGTCTTGGACGAAGTTTTCAAACAGGGGCCTGTAGTCGATTTCCTCACCTTTGCTGCCACATTTGTTAAGAAAAACCGTAAGAAAATTGCCAGCTGTTCTCGTAGCAGTCTCATACTTATTTATTATGAGAATATCGGCGTCGACCTGGCTTGGCTTTTTCTCTTCCTTCTTCTCTTCCTCGTCTTTGTTTGTTTTTTCGTGCGGCGCTATACTGTCCGGCAGTACCACCACACACTGTATGAGCTGAAGTACCAGGGCGGTTAACATCTGAATATGATCCTCGGAATTGAGTCTGTAGGTCCTTAAACTCCTCTTGCTGCTGGGAAGTCGCGCTATGGAAGCAAGAATGTCGTCTAGGAGTAGTCTCCTGTGCTTCTCGTATTTGGTGAAGATGACCGTGACGAGCTTGAGGGCGCTCAATTGAAGATCACTGACGGATTCGACGAAGAATGGAGCGACGCCGAGCGTCGAGGCGTGGAGAACACTCGTGTCCGTCAGTACCTGGATGCTGAGGAGCTCAGCCAACAAGCCGACAAGCTCGTGCATCTTGTTGTACACCTGCAGAATACTCTTCTCGCGAACCTCCTTCGTGTGGCCCCTTTTCTTACGACCGCTAGAGTTATAATTTTCAGTCTTGTTCTTAGAATCTACCTTATAAACAGGATCGAAGGAGGGATAAATAGTATTCTGCAGTTGAAACTTCATGAAAAGGACTATTCTGTCGATCACGTCTTCTAAGTAGACGGTCTTAGGCATATTACGTGAGGTCATGATGTGCAGTGAGATAAGGGAGGCGTCGACGGCGCGTTGGACCCTCTCCATAGCGAGCTGCATCCAAAGTCGGCTCTCATCGACGTCGTCATCAGGGTCAGCCAACGGCGAGACTCTAGCACCGTCCCGGATATTCTTCTCTAGGATATTCAGTAGCCTGACCAGCCTTTCTGGAGGAATAGATTCCATTGCACCTAGAGCCTTGAGCTTGGCAGCTTCCGTGCACAGATCTTGCAGCTGGTACTTGGGTATCAGCATCTCCGGTGGAACGTCGCCATCGTCCTCCAACTCTGCAACGGTGGCGACATCCTCGGTGTTCTCGAAGATGGTGTCGATGGTGGTATTAAATCTCTGATACGTATTGGTCTCCATGAGTTCCTCAACGCTCAGCTTACTTACAATCGGCATCAGCTTCTTCTCAACCTTTCTTATTTTTGGTTTGGTCGGTACGAAAACCGCCTCCTTTTTATCATCTACTTCGTCCTCGTCGTCGTCATCGTCGAGTATCCTTCGTCGTCTTCGCGCCTTGTCGTCGCTTTTCTTTCTCTCTGCTCTTTCCTTTTCCCTCTGGACCTGCCGATCTTTAGCTCTCGACTTGAAGTACTTGTTGTTCCTACCAATCTCCTCTTCGCTCTCTGATTCCGATTTTGTCTCGTTGCTCCGATTTGTGATTCCCATCTTAGCGGCGAGATTCGGCGACTTCTCAGCGAAGGCGGTCAGACTCTTTTGCATAAGAGCTTGATCCGCTAGAGATAACCTATTTAACATGACTACAGGTTCCTTCATCTTGTCCATCAAGTGACCACTAGGTAGATTCGACTTCATCTCTTTGTCCGCGTTATTGTTTTGCAGATTCTGTTGCGGTGACATGCATGTCGCATCACCCACGTTCATCGCTCCACTAGAGTTCACATCGGGATACATTGGAATCTGGGGTGATATCAGCATATTGTCATGTATACGATTAATATTTTGCTTCGGGTCCACACCCTGGTCTAGAGGTACGTCGATCTCAGGATGACCGGTCACTGGATTTAATAAAAACTGTTGATTCTCCTGTACCGCACTGTGCATATCCAAGGGCTGAGCTGAACCTAAAGAGTGGTGATGATGGTGATGTGGTTGATGATGCTGCTGTTGTTGTGGCTGCTGTTGTTGAATTTGTTGGTTCATTTGCATAGGGTCGTATATATTATGTTGCAGGTTGAGGCTTTGTTGTTGTTGTTGTTGCCGCTGCTGCTGTATAGATATGCCAGCATCAATGGGAGATTGCAAAGGGGACTGCATGTGCACGTTGTGCTGAGGCGTCAAGCCACCCATGCCCTGATGCTGAGGGGTGACATTGCCACCAGGCAATGCAGTCAAGGGATTGCTCGGCGAACCCATGTGGGCTGGGGAGTAGATATTAGGCTGTGGGTTCATGCCAGATAGAGGATTTATACAGTTAGCCTCTTCCTGGATGTGCTGAGGCGTCGTCGAGGTCCTGGTCTGTTCCGTAATGACGGTAGCTCTTGGCGACGGTGAAGGCACAGCGAAAGGGGACATATCCGCGTGATTCTGGGGCGCAATTGGCATCCGCGGATGCTGCGCCTGGGAGATGACTCCGGGTGGCGGTAGAACAGTCCTAGCAGCGGCGGGATGAGCTGGACTACCCTGTGGGGTTTGCCTCGAACCCGATGAGCTTGAGTACGAGGGTGAGAACCGTCCGTAATTCGCCGGCGATTGACTTGCGTGCATCAGGGGTGTACCCTGAGGCCAGTTTCTTGGTGAATTGTACTGAGGCCCCTTGAAGACATGCGGATTTATCTGCAGGATCGCCTTCAGGAGCTCCGGCGTATTCTGCTGAGTCTCCAGCGGTTGTTCTGTGTTCGCGTAGTGATCTTTCAGCTCTATGTGATCCGAGGACGTCTGCGACAGGGACAGTATTAGCTGGGGCACCAGGTTCTCATCGCTAACGCTCAGAAGTATCTGCGCCTCCTCTGCCACGCGCGGATGAAAGAGAAGGGATTTATTTGTCAGGGTTTGAGGCAATGGTGTGGGTAGGGGCATCTCAGGTAAGAGGTCGGTGAGACTCGCGATACCCGCGAGGGTAGTGATCGGTACACTCGGAATAACTCCATTCATTTTGGACTTGATTTGTTCTGGCATTACAGCCACGACAATATAGTCTCGAAATCAATTCCAGTGCTTCACTAGTTCCTATGCACAGAATCATAAGACAATATCCATTAGTACCAATAGTAAATACAAGTTTCCCGATTAGCGTTGTGCACTTGTCTTACGTTTCACAATACTCGATGATCCTTTGTTAAAGGAACGTTGCCGAATGCACCAACTCCGTGAATCCTTGATGTAGCCATCGTTTAAGTTCGTTTATTTTTGTCGTATGGGACGCGGTCGCTGTCGGCGGCACTACGCGATCAGAACGGAGTATCTCGCTTCGTTAAAAGAGCGCTAGTTCACTAAAGTATATTCGATTTTGGGAACTTAAGGAAGTCTCTTTTAAGTTCCCATGTTGCACGGTTTAATCTCAGCCGAACTTTGACGAAGCACGTGGGTCCTGCAATAGGCGATCCATGTTTATTCTAGAGTTTCGGTTCTGTAACAAAAACATAGAATTCCTAGATATTTTTTTTATTCGTATTCTTCTTTCATTTAATTAGAGCAGAAACAGTATTTGTATCAATTGTGCAAGAAACAATTGATTTAAAAAATATTTGCATATTCTATATTTCAATGATAGACTACCAGATGCGTGATGTTGCTACAAAGTGGACTATCTTTATTCATATCTTAAATAAAAAATTTATTATAATAAAATATTCTAATTATTTTTGTATTGACTAGTTGCTTCTTATTTGTCTTCGAAAAAAATAATATCATAAAATTGCTCCAGGATTTAAGTTCCTTAAATCGAAAGACAACTTTAATGTATTATAACGAGTCATTTTTTTGACATTACGTTAACCGTCGGATGGCTGTCTCATTCAACGCATTGATAATAGTTGATTATCAATGACCAGAATATACTCACATCATTACTGACATAATATTATTACCATTATCGTCTTTACCCTCTTTTGTTAAATGTCAACTATCCGACGTCATACGTACACACTCTGTTTCTGCCTCGGATGGGTTACTGGTAATATCCAAGTGGAACCAAAATCCATAAAAGGTAGATCTGCATTTAGCTATCCTGATAACTGAAAGTCTAAAACGAGCCATTAAATCTAAAACAGGAACAGTTATCAATGAACTTTGTGTGATTTACCTTAGCCAGCTAGTCGCGGTGATTATTTATGCTCCGGAATGCACTTTCTGGATTACAATTATGGCGGGAGCCCGTGGTATTCCAACGATATCCGATATGACGGGCGCGCTGGCCCAATTAATATCAATACATCCGCTGGAAGAGCAATCGACTAGCATGAATTTATTCTGATAAACTTTGGCTCCAAGAGATATCCACACTCAATTGTCATCCGTGGCTGTGGCCTACTTGGTTCGACGCGCTTTTCCGCATACCAAGAGGTAAAACACCCAGGGCCGCTACACGACACAATTTTCACTTACATTTTCCACGACACCGAGTAAACATTGTCACGTCAGAGTGAACAGCTCGCGGGAAAAAATAGTATTTATAGCTTGAATACGAAGAAAACAGACACAAAGGCGTCCATTTTGCTCAGCAGCGAGTTAACGGAAGTTGCGTAGTAGACACAGAACAGATACAGATATACCGGCGCTGCAGCGTCGCATTTCAAACGGCAAAGGCGCGTCTTCACGACAGCGATCAGCCATTACGAAAATAATCACGTATTTTTCAAGCCTCATGGAGAATTCGGGTATCTAATGGGTATTGAGGTCTCCCCATTTATCGAAGGTATAACATCGTATTATCCGTCTATACAGAAATTAATTACGTTATTCATATGTATGTTCACAATGCCATTGTTGCACCTTTAACATTGATGAACTTGATGATCTTGAACTGAAGAGGGCATGACCTCCGATTTATGTTGGCATCAACGTTAGCTACGTGACAGTTATCGACTAAGGTTGTCAATATTTAATGTGCTGCAGGTGATGGTTTTCAATAATTGCCATGGAGTTTGACTTAGTGATTCCGGGCTTATTAATAAGTATTCAATAAAACGCTGAGTGTTTTCTGTTCGTATTTCGCCTTTCAGAGAATTGCCAATTGGTTACTCTTTCTGCATACAGCGCCAGTAGTGTCGTAATTTGGAAACTGAATGCATAGTGCATTCGAAAGATATGCGATTCCTGAAAAGTAATTCTGGAATTCGATTTATTTTAGTTATCAATTTATCGTTTTATTAAATATATAATCAGCGAGATCGACACATTATTTGAGCTTTTAGGAAAATTTGTCAAAATATGCAGCATTCTACTTTGACAAACATGGAAGACAGTGATATTATTGATTATCGACCGAGTAAAAAAGGCAGGCGTTTGCACTTTTCGAGTTTTCTGTAACATCACTAATCGGAAAGATTCGTTCATTTTACTTATTACAAGTTTCCTGAGAATTGAATAATGCGATTCCAGATGTCGCACGCGTCGCACAGAATTGCATTATTCTGTGAATACACCTTCAAGTTTCTTTTACATACGCATCGCGCTCTTGTAAGTTCTCCTTCCATAGCGTATTCTCGTGCACAAGCAAAAATAAAACTTTAAAATGGCGTAACTTCTCGGTGTAAACACCCAGTTTTGATATCGGTGGACCGAAGGAGCAACGAAGCGGTTATATTGACATTTGGCCACGTTCTACGTTTTATTGTGTTAAAACGGTGTAAGAAACAAAAATTTAACCTGAATGTTTATTATCCAAATGTCCGCGATCGCCCATTCTATGCCAGGTAAACGTCGAATATTACGAAGTTTGTCGTTGGGAGCGTTTTCTTAATTGGAGTGTAACGATTAATAATACTCGGTGTTACTTGTCGTACTCCGTTATCGAGACTTCAAAGTGTCTTCTTTATCTTAATTCATGTTTGGAACGAATCTTGAGATTAAATTGAGTGTAATGTTAGTGGTTAATTACATTTGTTCTCTGACTTGTAACTTATACTGTGTACCAGTGGATCAATATTAAATTGAATATAAGATTATATTGCACTGACGCTCTTACAAACTTCAATTACTTTTTGAAGTAGTATTTTGAATTTTGATTGACAAAAGTTGTGTTTGTTAATACATGACAGCGATCTTGGACAAGGATATTTTATTGAGCAAATTTTTGTCTAAAGTATCAATACTATTTCCATCATTATTCGCTTCCTATTGTATTTTAATTGCCTAGATATTGCAATTATAACATAAAGAGCATAAAGAACTTTAATTCAAATCAATCTTTTTTTCCATGTGTATACAATCTCATTCTACCGTTAAATTATAACTAAGAATATAACTATTTGATTCTACTTTCAGGGACGGACCCAAGCAAAATATCACAAAAGCGTAGTGCTGGGAGTATAGGGTAAGTGAAATATTTTCATTACAGATAATATTTAATACAAAAATCATACTCTAAGCAAACTATATTACAATCAGGATCATTCTTCCTACTTCCATACTGATTATAAAGTTACATCAAACAAATCATCTCTAAATAGAACAAGGTCAATACCGCGTGCGATTTTATGTAAATCATATCAAGTGTCAAAGCATAACAGAAGAATTGTGTGCTGCTTGACTAGAGTCCAGTTGAGTCAACAGTACAAGTCCCGATTGAGGACAAAATTTAGTTGACACATTATGCACGCTATACTTCTTTTTTTCTCGGGCGTGATTAATACCGTTCTAAGAAAAGAAGCTGTCCAGAGATCAGTTACGGTGTACGAGGCGCAAGTAGTTAAGTAGTTCCCTACATAAAGTATAACATACCTATATTCCCTATAGAGTATTTCCCATTTCTACCAACCGAGTGTCGCAACCTTTAAGGAATGTCTGGTGATCCTTAGTGCATAGGAGGCCGTTTGGTTTCGGGAGGCATTCTTCGAAATACTAAACACGGAATCGTTTCGATGAATTCATACCTGGGAGTACAAAGTAAAATATTCCACAGCCATCACATTAAAGCAGTCATTGCAGAACATCTAGTATGTACCAATATATATGTCATAAAGAAGCCGCTCTTATAAAACTACAGAATATCACGATGCTTGAAGCATTAAAAAAAAAACATTAAAGCAAGAAGTCTCGCACTGTTACAAAACACAGAACCCATGTATTGTACCATCTTGCAGAATCGCAGAAAACATTAGATATAGAAGGTCTACCTTATGGCTATGTGGAAATAATGCACAGCAGGTAGAGACAAACGGCAATAAAACATGGATAAATGGAAACGAACGTAAATCGACATGGATAATCGGGAATAAACGCGTGGACATGATGCGTCCTGGTTAAAAGTTGTGGTTTACACGGACGGTGGCTATTCTGCTCTCTGGTGGGAGAAGTGATAGTCTTTACCGGGGGATACCACCGCGGCACATTATGTGGCTATGGTGGAATCAGTCACTGGCGAGTTGTGGGTGGTGACTAGTCGCCGATTCGTCTTCGAACGCGATTTCAGTATTGCTGAAAAAAAATCGTTATACGGACACGTGACATTCGGCCGTGTGAAAATAATAGTTTAATTGTATAGTGACTCTGCGAAACGATCGCGTGCGAGCAAGAGTCCCGGCGAAGCAGTGTTTGCGAAAATCGGTATCAAACCGTTTAATCGGAAGACCATTGTCATGGTGGTGAGATTAGTCTGAGTTATTATTTAATGAAAACAATTGTCATTAAAGTTGCTAAATTTCTATCTATTGTTAACTATTTTTTAGTGTCATTTCTTTCGACGACGATATAAAACTCGTAATTTCACGAGTGAAAATTTGACGAAAGTTACTGAGATACGTAAATACCTACACTGGGTGAAGTCGATCTTGAAATTCGTTACCGAACCGGAAGTAGTTTGCTATTGATTGTTAACGTGAAAAAAAGAGGGAAGGAAAAAATAATAATAAGGAATTGAATCGGTAACTTTCGTTTCTTGGTATAACTCGTGAAAAACGCACGCGTCGCCGTTATCTAAGTTCAACAGAATTGGGTTATAGTAAAAAGTGACATCGGGCGGACTCGATCGCTCTCAAGGATCGAAGGATCGAGTCGCGCCAATCGTGGGAAACGTGCAGGATCAAAAGTCTAGTTAATACGGATTAGCGTTCTGTAGAGTGGCGGCCGTCGGGTCGGCGCTACCAGGTTGAATGGTCGAAACCGATCAGAAGTCATTGGTACCGAATCTTGCCGCCCGCTGACAACGGGACCAGCGTGAACCGGGGACAAAAAGAATCCGTCGCTCGATACAAAGTTGCCTTAAGTGTCTAAAAAAAAAAAAAATTCACCAATATCGTACCCAGACAATAATCCAAAATCGGTAGTGTCTCGTGATGCGATTACAAAGAAGAACAAAATTTATAAATTAATGTGAGCGCGCATTGGCGCGCAAAAAATACCGTCGCGACGTCCTCGTACGAATCGGCGACACAAAGTGCCAAAGAAGATCGAACGTGGAAGAAAAAAAAAAGAGTTTATCGGGATGTCGATATAGGTGATTGCCTGAAGTATGGTGAAGTCAATGTGTTCCGTGAGTAGCTGAGAAAAAGAAAAAAATAAAAAAAAAGTGGCAAAAGTGTAATTCACAAATTTAGTGGATTATTTCGGTTCGCAAGAAAACAAAGTCCTAAGGTTCCCAGCAAAATAGAGTATCCCGGGAGTAGTGGTATGTACGGAGGTGGAACCGGTGGTAGCGCTGGTTATGGTGGAGTCGGTTTGGGTCCTGGACCAGGCCCTTCTCATTATGTACCGCCACCAGCACCGGGCCTTGCTTATCAATTGGGCCCACCGCCGCCTCCTCCGCCACCTACTGTTGCTGTACCCACAAGCGGAAGTCAGCTACTCTCTTACGCCCCCAATCTGTCGCCCCATCATATTCAACAGCCGCAGACGGATTCGCCCCAGAGCAAAAGAAGAAGGTAAAATCCTGCGAGTCACGGGTTAATCAGTGATTGACCTTTATTTCAAAATATCTTCCACAGTCGTCTATGAACATTCCACGTATCCTAATGGGATCTTAATGCATCAGCTATGACAATTGCTAACAGATTCATCAATTTCTTATCAAGAACCAACGATAATATTTTTTAGTCCAAAAATACATAGTCACCTCCGTATGAAATATCTTGCGTAGCAACCTACAGACTATTCACCACTAATATGTGGGTTCCAGAGGGGACTCATTTACATTGAAAGTCATACGTGGATGACCCCTCTGCCAAAGGTCTCGTTTATACTCCTTGACGTACCCCGTAAGACGCGTTATCAGTAGAAGTCATAAAAATGCACAACCCGGATCTTCCTTGTTCGCATATAAAAAAAAGAAAAAAATGAAAGGAATGATCCACCATATTCAAGATTGTCATTGGTACACGAAAGCGGAATGTTCCAGAAGGCCATTAAAATAAAGAAAATTATTCTCCCAGTGTTCCACCTTCATATTTCGTCTCATCGAATTGGCTGATTAGTTGAATATCTCAAAGTCGTATATAGGTGCCCTCGATATCCCACGTGCTACTTACTTAAACTTCCCGTCGGCCTCGTAGCCCATTGTTGTTCGCGAGTAATGCGCAGCTTGCAGAATTCTCTGTTGATGCAAGTTCAGCATCTTTCACGTCACAATATTGGCACGATTGTTTTCAAGTGTCGTTATCGTTGCGCCACCGCGCGCATTTCCTGGAGAAATCGTCAAATTCCGGCCGCGATTTTTTGGGCGACAACCCAAAAAAACGATTTCGCAGCTTTTCATGCATCATTACCGAGGAGGGTTGCCTACGGGCATTTTATTTAGAAAAAAAAGTCAAAAATTCCCCAATTTTCTAATTATCCTATCATCCAACTTGACGACTGATAACGCTCTCTTATTTTGATTTTTCAAAATTCTATCACAGACTGTACCCGTACCTCATCCGTATCCAGAGACTATACAGATATTTTTTCCATATACTGATAATATCATTAGACCCAATCACACGTGTGTCACATATGGTCATGTATATACGACGATAAATTTATTTATATAAAACGTATCAACGCACGAGCATTTCGCGGATAACAACAAACAGCTCAGCCGAGTTAGACGAATTCGTCACGTAGTGCAGATTTGTGGTCATTCATCAAATTTACGTGTCCGATTATACGTTCGTTACATAATCTATCGATCGTCGTGCCTGAACTGGGAAATGCAACTCTGAATGCACTTTATGGAGGAGCATAATAATAATAAAAATAAAAAAAGAAATTAGGTAATTCGAATTGATATATTCTTAATTGTAAACAAATAAAAAAATTATCATCCAATCGAATACTCGCGCGGATAATTCTGATCGACAGTACCGCGCGATCTATGGATCCTTGCACCTTTAAAAGTCGCGTCGATCTAGGATCGTGGATTAACGTAAAGAGACGAGTCGTGCGAGACTGCACTTGGAACGTCAAGAATTCGCCGTTTGCACGGTCAAACGTGACGATTAGCGCTGGCGAGTATCGATGCGGTACTGGAATATAGATTCGCCACGATAAAAACACACGGAGTGCAAGTAAAGTTTCATCGGCTTCGAAAGAGTTCCTATTGTTCATGAAATATCTTGGAAAAAATAAAAAACAAAGATTCTTTCCATGTATACCTATATACGTGCATTATTCCACACGTATCATATACGTACATACATAGCCCATACAGAACGATACAGAACGCAGGTAGTTCACGTATACGTTACTCGGGTCTGTAAAGTCTCTTTTTGAGAATTCAGTATGCGCGAGTGGATTCGCCAAAAAACATAATGCATTATCCTCGTATTTCGCGATATTCCATCGCGAAACAATGTCATCGTTTAAAGCAAGAAGGTCGCTATCGAAAATCTCAATATTATTCGTCATCGGCGAACGGCGCCGGATATCCGCGTATCGTGCACGTAAAACACGTTGACACCTATTTTTCCAAATTTTTAAAAAATTTAAAAAAATTAAAATTCCAATTTTTTGCAAATTTACAAAAAAACACGTACGAACGCTGAAAATATTCGCGATCCTCGTTCTCCGTACTCACAGCGTAAGCGTGCGCGTCTAAAACAATAGAAGAAGAAAAAAAAAAACAGAAAAAAGAAAGAATCCTTCAGAGAACACACATCCACGTATAAGAAGGGTGCGACATCGGGAGACCCGATTAGCGTGTTAAATCGTTGGAGCTGCCAGAGGAGCTTCGGCAGAACGTATCGTACCAGCTGACGGTGACCAATAAGGTTCTAGGAGAGAGGAATAAGAGCCAAGCCAGTAGAAGAGGCATGGACCGCCCCTTCTTTACGAAGTCTATAGCCAAGCCAATGGGACGCTGTCGTTTGATATGCGAGAGCGTTGCAACATTACCGCATGCTAATAAAAATTGCGTCAGAGCTTAGATTCCTAATCAGCGATCGGTACGGTAGTATTGTACAGACGTCTGGCATGGGGACGTGCATATCGATATATAGGCGTTTCTGTTCTCTATGCTAATGTATATATATATATATATATATATATATATATATATATATATATACATATATACACACACGTGTATCAAGAGGTATAACGACTCGTGGTGTTGGGTGGGACGCGGGGGCAGGGACTCTCGGACGTCGTGGAGGAGACCGCGACGCCTCGCATAATATTCGCCACGACGACTGCTACCACGTTACACGTTACACACTACCGGCTACCGGTTACCGCGGCTACTTACTTCACTGCCCATTCGCGACATATCTTTATTCCTCGCGTTGCATACGGTACCTTGCGTTGATTTAGTGGCTACGTGACGTCTCAATGGACACCTGGCATGCGACCCTCTTGCGTTCGGATTCGAAAGAATATATATATATATATATATATATATATATAACATAAATAAATATAATTATATATATATATAATTGCCCATTTTCCAAAATTTTTTTTTCTACTGCATACCTGGGATCATTACGGCCGGTATGAAGGACGTGAAGAAAAATCGAATTTTAATGACTACAGGTAGAATGCGTAAGGAAATCATCCGGTGTTGGTTCGTGACGTATTGGAGTAGGATTCCGATGACATTTGAATGCTGGATTAATTTTAGAATTAAAATAAATGGCGACACTAGGCGTGTTTTACCAGATACGACGTATCTTTTGTAATCGGTCTGTACCGTATACGATATTACATATAGGCTTGTATACCCTGTGTATCTCCGCGTATCCCGGTACATGCATTGGGTGATGTGTGTCTATGGCTCATAGGTAAGAGCCGAGTGGGTATACGTGGATGTAAAGCATGGCGAGAGTAAGTACGAGAACGCGCAATACGGGAACGACGGCGACGATGCCGACGACGAGGGTGAGGATGGGGGTCAGAGTCGTGACTGTTGGAGTCGGTGGGGAAAAATGTAAAAAAAAAAAAGTGCACAGCATCGCCGCAAACGTGGACACATCGTGGAACGCCACGTGGTGTATGGAATTTTTTTTCTTTTTTTTTTTTCCTTTTTCAATTCAATATCTCGCATCGAGATCTCGTATGTGGATATACCGTGTCATGGTTGAAAAATTTTTTTTTGACAGTGACAGCTTTCTTTCGAATCCACGCGGTGAAAATTGGTAAATCATGGTAAATACGAGGGAAGCGTCTTTTCGTAGTTTCTCCAAGAGCTCAAAGGCCGCGTCCTCACCGGCGAAAACTCTCGGCATTAATAATTCGCAAAGCTGCTGCGGGACCCGTAAGTTTATTTTCCTCTGTGAAACCGTGGCGTTCGCTCTCCGTAGGGCCCGAGCGCATTTTCTCCGTGTATCTGTTAAGTCGGCATAATACCTCGGGCGCATCATTACGTACTCCATAAATCGCCCCTTCTCTTGTCTCACGGACGGTGCCGTGAAGCGAGGACGAGGTGGGAGGGAGGTAAGGGGAGGTGGGATATCAAGGGTGAAGAGAGAGAAAGGTGGGGAGAGGGGAGACGGCTGTTCGAGGGTTTAACGGGGAGGAGAAGCGCCAGGAGAGGGCTGGTGATTCTCGTATACCGTAGCGCAGCTTACGATACCCGGATACACTCGCTCGGGGCCCTACACCCCCACTTCGGGCATGGGTACCACCGGGGTCCTACGGTGCTAGGAAGGATACTGAGGATCTTCGTGTGGAGTGGCTGGGGCAGCGAGGAGCGACCGGGGGGTTCAGGGTACCAGGTACCTATAGACGGGAGTAGTGAGACTCGGTAAAAGGGACCAGGAGGGACCCAAGGAGCACAGAGAGCAGGAGCTCTGCCGGGCCCGAGGAGGCCTCACTTTTTCGTTCAGGGTCAGAACCGTACATCACCGCCTGGCAGCATAGACTGACGATCGCTGCCCCGGATTTATCTACAGGGTTATCCAGCTCGAACGAAACGAACGATTTCCGACGACCGTCAGTCCCTCGTGGTTATTTTTGACGTCCCCCAAAAGGACCACGTGGATGAAAACGGAAGTGGATTTTTTTTTAGTCGCTCGATCGATCATGGATTTTATAAAGCCTTTAGAGATCATGCTGTCGTAGGACCTGAGATCACTGAGTGTCGCTAGACGGATCCGATGACTCGGCTGCTTTGTTATTGACAAACTGCGCGCCACGTGGGCACCTTATGACAGCTGTCAAAAATTTTATTCCGGGCTGGATGGCTCTGTATATCTTGATTGGTTGGGCTGTATGTATGTATATATCGGTATTCGTGTATATATGCTGGCTTGTTTCCCCCCCCAGGCCCCCCTCGCATAATCCTGATACTTAATCCCTCGGTAGAAACATTCCGTCGGTAACGAGCGCCGAGTTGATCCAATAGCGGATTTACAAGGCTCGTTGGGAACTGCAACTGGCATTGGATTTTTCGTTAACGCTCGTTTCTCAATAGCACGGGTAAAAGTAATCCGCGTGGATTTACAATGGGGAGAATTTCGTACGTTCTACCGACGGGCTACAGGGACTGCCTTTGCACGTAACGTTAACACGTGCTGAGATACGAGAAACAGCTCGGATACGTTGCGCGGACGGATTTGCCTGAATTACTTTATGCGAGACGGAGAGTGACCTTTGACACTTTGTACCCCATAAATTCGATGGATCTGCGGACTATTCTCATGATGCGCGCGAAGACGACCACGAGGAAGTGGTTATAGACTTTAAGTACCCGTATCGTGTGCGCGCTTACCTGGATTATCCTACTGAACAGGATCTTCGTGTATAGTCAGCTAATAACTCCGGACACGTGTCGATATACCCGTACAATGTTTCAAAATCAAAATTTTTTTTTTACAACGACCCCCCCCGACTTGCCCATACAGTTGGCAAGAGCGCAGCATCCCTATCGTGACGAGTCTGTGGTGAAAATTTAATAATGACATTTTGCCGTTTGCCTTCTTGCAGATCCGATGAGGACGACCCAAGCGGGGGGAAATACAGAAGAATGGAGGACGATAATATGCAAGACAAGGAAAGGTTCGCAAGGTGAGCACCAGGCTTGAGACGTGGTAGGAGTATAATTTCAATCTCTGGAATCCTCTCCCACCTGTAATCCCGAGGACGATTCTTCTACGATCGAACGTGCGCGCGCGAGAGAGAGAGAGAGAGGGGAGTAGTAGTAGAACGAGGGGGTGGAGCGAAGGGATAAAAAAAAATTTTAATTCAACCTAAGCACCAATATCGCTACTCCAATAGATCCTGATCTGCTCGATCGTTCTCATCGATTAATTTCACCAGCAACACGTCCCCGCGTTCTATGTATACAGCAACGCGTGGCTAAGTTCCCGTCTCTTTGCCTCCATTACGCTATATCTCCAATCGGAGTACCAAGGTATACATGCCTACATGATAGCCACCAATGTGAACCGATAGCGGAATGGGGGAAGCCCTCGCGGCTCCTTCACCGTGGGAACACCATGGTACACGGTATACGGTGCGCCGTAGTTTCCTTTGGGTTCGTCCACACGAGCGTCCAAATCTTTCGGAATTTATTTTTCTCACCGCAACCATCCGACCGTTGATCCCTTCGACCTAAGAAAATGCGACCGGTTGACGATCAGCGCAGTGGAGGTTTTTTTTATATTGGACCTTATCGAAGTTGCTAACACATTTTTATCCCTAGTACCGTCTACGTCGACATACGACGCAGCCATAGGAAATAACCCGTCTGCGATCACGGAGTACTCAGAAATTCTGGCTCTCTTCGTACAAACTTACTGCCGGGATCCTGGCACTGCGGCTGGAGAGGCCAATCTCGATTCCGGACTGTCATTTTGCTAGGGGAGCCGACCCCCCCCCCCTCTCCCCACGACCGCCTGAAACTCAAAGAAGAACGGAAAAATTATGGCGGCGGGAGCTTGATGTCGCGCTCAAGAACCTTACTTTTAAGTTAATAACGCAATTACGCCCGCCGCAAGACAAACCTCCCCTCTCTCTCTTTGCTTCTAACTCCCCTTCCCCTCTTGAGTCTCACGTCGATCTGGACTTTTCTCTCGGACTGATCTGCGGGTTCGAGATTAACGCGGGGCTTTGTCGTTTTCGAGACCGGATGCCATTTCGCGATTTTTATTATTATGGAAAAGCTTGCGATTCGAAAAATACCCTTTTTTGGCAAATTTGTATATATATATATGCTTGTAACGCTATTAAGGTTGGATTGAGGTTAAGTGTATATTTTTTTTTTTTTAATATTTCTGTATATTTTACTTCACGATGAAATACCCAACGAGCCGCGAGCCAAGTGATGCAGAAACGTATAGGTAGAGCGCATCGAGTGGGTCCGATGGGCCCACGGAGAGCTGAGCTCGCAAGCAACTTCGGAGCGGCTGACCTCTGACCCACAAGTTCTCTCGGTCCTCCTCGGTTCGCCTTCGTCTCACCGTGTATCCCGCTTTATACATACTTACGCTTTAACGTTGCCCTCTTTAAATAGCAAAGATGACCCGACAGTGCGCTAAACATTACCAGCGTCCTTTTGCATGTTACCCCTGCTTCGTTTACGAACGATTTGCAAATGCGAAATAAAGGTCTCTCTGTACGCTCCAAGAGATGCTCTGCATACCGCAGTAGTAACTGTAACGGGGCTCCGATCGAGTAAAAGGTAAATTCGTGAACGTGGACTGGATGGCGTTTGGCGATTCAAGTACGACCCTTGGGCGATTACCTCTGTAAGATTAACGAGCGGTGCATCGGGCCGTAGGGAGATTGTAAATTTTACGAATATTTATCGCGAATTAAGTGCCGTGAAATTTATTTCATGCGAATCATACGGTCAGGCACTCGCCCGGTAACTGGGGTACTTTTGTCGAAGTCACAGACGTGGTTGTGGGTAATTGCAATATTTGTGGGGATAAAAAATTTTTACGAATTTTCTCCAAAATTTTATTCGTCTGCGATACCGTTTTTATTGGGCGATACAGAAATTTCGAATTTTTTTTTTTACTTCGATTTAATTTTCATACAAATTTTTCTCTCTGTTTATCGCTTTGTCTTGCACGCTTTCATGCGTTTCCGTGCTTCTAGGGAAAACGATCGATCCACGACTAGCTTACCTATGTACTTAAAGTCAAATTATGGGAATGCACCTGAAAGATCCTCAAGGGTCAATTCACGCACAGGAGATGCATTCCAAATGCCTATTGGAATAGAGCATCGTAGCTCTGCATGCCAGGGATAATCGAGCTATGGTATAATACCGGGTGTACGAGAATTTTAGAATTTTTGTTTTTAATACACAGTCCTCCAGCATCCGTCCCTGACGCTAGAATATTCTCATAGCTTCCATATAAATATCCTACTGTAGTGTATATTATATCGGTGATACCGTTTTCGCAGGATCGATCTACCGTTTCGCTTTTCTTGGGACGCCAATATTTTTCTCCTTTTTTTCCCCTCTATATCCGCCCCGTCGCGCAGTCTCGAGCGAATCGCGTTTTCCGAGCGACACATCCACAGTTAGCTGGACCACAATGAGAGTCGAGTCCGAGTAACGTATAATAAAAACAATCGACTGCGGATCCGGGTCGAATTGGTTTAACGCGCCGATCGAACTGCATCGCCATCGCACGGCGATCTTTGCTGTCCCGGTAGAGCAAAGTCCCGAATAAAAAGGGAGCGGGCCTAATTGTTTTGGATCATCCGAGGATTGAGATCATTCCCGGTAGTGTCTATGTAGCCGGTCCAATTTAACGCAGAAACTGTAACCCTAATACGGTTGCGACGCCATCGTTATATATATATTTTTTGAAAATCGTTATCACGAGAAAATATAATTTCCAAAATCCATAAGTTCGTTAAGATCCGATTTTCATTTGCAGGCGAAAAAACAAAAATCACTATAGTCTTCCAAATACGAGATTGATTCTTTACCAGGTAATTTGACACCATAGCGCGACATTCACCTTGATCGGGACGTGATCAGCCTGATCTATTGATCTCGATCACGAAATCCTCTGGAATTTACTAATCATCATGCTTGGAATTTACGTCCGCGTCTAATAGAGCGTCGAGCCGGTCTGAAGGTTTCTGTTTTACACGAGACTACGGGAGACCGAAGTGCGTCCGTCGTCATGCGTGGGCGCCTTAATGAAACAGTGGGCTAGGCAGAGAGGGGGACGTCAGAGCCGAGGATTGCGTAAGATTAGTGTAGACCGGCGTGGTACGTGCGAGTGCGTTAACGAGTACTGTGAGAACGAGTGTAAAATAGAAAAAATCGAAAAAAAAAGGTCGGTAAGAGAAACCTAGATAAACGATCAAAGAAAAATTGATTGTCGAACACTCACGAAAATTCCATTGTCCCCGCCTCCCCGTACCCGAAGCGTTTCTACACGGTTCCCGGAAGATCGGTCGAGGCTCAAAGCCCCTACACGAAGAGTCATCCCTCGGGTGTCCACGATCTTACATCTTTCCTAGGTCTTCTTATTGGCCTACTATTTCTACCTTGGACCGTTACCTGCAATGATATTTTACCCAGGTCCACCCTAGACATTACCTTATACCTACGGCTGCCGTAAGACTCGGTTACCTCGAACTATGCAATTACCTTGGTTTTGTCTCGCGTCTAACTGCAGGGAGAATCATTGTGAAATCGAGCGACGGCGGAGGAACAAGATGACCGCGTACATCACCGAGCTGTCCGACATGGTGCCAACTTGTTCAGCCCTCGCACGAAAACCGGACAAGCTGACTATCCTGAGGATGGCCGTGGCTCACATGAAGGCCTTGCGCGGTAAGTGTCGATCTTGCCGTTACGTATTGGCTTGTAGATGTCGCTGGTAGACGACCTGAGGGTTGTAAAGAAAAAATTCATAATAATAATGTCGCATGAAAATTTTTTTTCAGTCATCGACTCCAAGTCATCGGGAGTACGTTTGACTCGTGTATTACTTCGAAGGCAGTCGAAGTATCGTGACTGTGGTCACGTTTCGTCTTTGACCCGATTTGTTTTATCAACGTTGGTCACGGTGACGTCATATATCTTTTTCTTCCATGCAGTCACTTCCCTTATCTCTCGGGCGATGATCTTCCTCTGGGGTCCTGTGAGACTTTTGGATTCTGGTAAAAGGGTGCCCGTCGTGCCTTCCAGAGAAAGGAAGGGAAAGGCTTCTCGACCAAGTGACGCTGGTCATATCGAATGCAGGAAAGCACAATATATGCTTCCGGTGAAGGCTGGGTGGGGTTGGTTCGTTGGTTGGCCGGCTGTCTCTTTGCCGTACACGCACGTGCGTGCACGCTGAGATTGCTCGGCGTATTGGTGGTGCGTCGCATTGTTTATAGCCGCTTCTCCTCTTTCCCGACAAGAGGGCTGCTGAATACAAATTGCTCGAGGAGAGCGTCTACCTGGTGAGACCGGGGGGATAGGAAGAGGTCGCGGTGGCGAAGGAGGGTATAGACGCCACGGGAACTAGCGGTAGTCGCGATACCCGTGCTAGTTCAAACCGCACTCGTGCCATTTGGCTACGGTCAGATGATCCGGTGGTCTAGTCCTAACGAGGAACTGGCCTAACTGCCGATGCACCTATGCGTATAGGATGGTAACGTGAATCCTGGATATCGTGTGTTCAAAGGAAGCTTATATTTCAGGTTAGCAGATTGGTGGAGGATCCACGTATGGGACTGGGTGCACCGAGTGATACGTTTGATGGACGCTCCTGAGGTCGTCTGGAATCTTTAATCCATGCCAGCTAGGACTGCGGCGCTTCTTGGGAAACGGAGTGCGCGTTTATATTCGATGATGGAGAAAAGTAACCGTTAAATCGTAGCTGTTGGCTCGCCACGTGGAAAGTAATGGTAACGAAGGTCACCGGGGCCTTCCATAGATCTTGTTTGGACGTCGTTAAAGTGCTCTTCCCGGAATTTCTCGCATATCGGGGTAAAGATCGCATCGCGGTGCGCTCACCGCCTCCCAGGATCCTGTCCGCTTTGCAATTCCGATCTTGCACCTCGATAGAGTTCCCTTCTTCCACTTGCGATGTGCCCCACGCTCATTTTTGGCGCTGGTCATCGTGTATAGCCAGCAGCACCCTCTTCGTGGGTCACTTGCTTCTTGGATGGGTCATCTTATCATTAGGATGAGGCTATTCGATTTTGAGTTTACTTCATTTATTTTTTTGGAATTAATTTTTAGATACTTGTACTCGGGTTGTATTTTGTGTGAGTCCTATGACGTGGGACCGGCGCAGAGAACTGATCCTGGTCAGCTCTGAGGGGTCTTGGTGTACGAAAGTCTCAGGGCAATGCGTGGCTGGAATACAGAGACGGATTTGCAATGCAAAATTAACCTTGTAACTTTCTATGCGCAGGTACCGGCAATACCAGCGCGGACGGTACCTACAAGCCGTCCTTCCTTACCGACCAGGAACTTAAGCACCTCATCCTCGAGGCTGCCGATGGCTTTCTCTTCGTCGTCAGCTGCGACACCGGGAGGATCATTTATGTTTCGGACTCGGTGGCGCCTGTTTTGAATTACTCCCAGAGCGAGTGGTACGGCAGCAGTCTTTACACCCAGGTTCATCCTGATGATACTGAGAAAGTCAGGGAACAGCTGAGTGCAGCCGAGCCCCAGCATGCTGGCAGAGTTCTGGACCTCAAGACTGGAACCGTCAAGAAGGAGGGTCATCAATGTGAGTATTCTGGAAAATACTATGATTGATCATTTATTTTTCTTCTGATTTCTTTTTAATTCGCAAAGTTTTCATGTATTACAATCGTAATATCATTTCAGCATCCATGAGACTCTGCATCGGCGGCAGGAGAGGATTTATCTGTCGCATGAAAGTTGGAAACTTGCAAGCCACTGGAGACATGGCTGCGGCGCATGGGCTTCATCGTATGAAGCAAAGAAATTCCCTAGGTCCGCCCGCACGGGACGGACAGAGTTATGCCGTTGTGCACTGTACGGGTTATATAAAAAATTGGCCACCTACCGGTGAGTTTGGCATCCATAAATTTTGTGCCTCATTGACCTGTGCGACTTCCGCGCTCTACGATTTTTGTCGATCTCACGACGAATCTCTTATAGCGTGACGTATCCATTGGTTTGGGCTTTTCAATGGGATAGAATCGACGTATATCGTATATCAACGAGCCCTGCGTTAATGGAGAACTGGTTACAATTCAGGAATGGTATTGCTCACGTGTGATATTGTACGAAGTAGGTACGCTTGTTGTGGGGTACCCTTTAAGAACACGGGTGACTGTCATTTTCTAGATAAGCATTGCTGACATTTTCATATGAAAAAATAACTGTGTGGCCTCGTATGACGTAGGCACTGTACAGTACGTATCAGGCGTTTGTTTTACCTTTTAACTATAGCTTAATACGAGTTTCCAGTGGTTCTCTGAATTCCTTAAGAATCTATGGTTAATCCTTGGAGCGAAATTCTTAAAGGAACGTTAATGTAACTTTGAAAACAAAAAATTGTTAACAATTGTATTTTTACGCATTTACATATCTTCCTGGCTTTTCCGGTTCGTCATTACGCATCCACCAGTGAAAAAAAGGGACTAACTCGTGATTTTACGCTGTAGGTGATTTTGTTCCTCCATGTGTACCAAGTCTGGGTTTAGGTGATAGAGGACCTGGAGGTGTTCAAGCTGGGCCCGACGGTGTTGTCGGGGATGACAGTGGCACAACTCATTGCTGCCTTGTCGCCATTGGGCGATTGCAAGTTACTAGTACGCCAAATACTAGCGATTTAACGGGATCCAATAGCAATAATGGTAAGAGCGTATTGTCGCTTATTACCCAGCAATAGAAATAGACGGTGGAAATTAAAAATTAAGTCTGGGTTTGATAGCCCTTTACCTATAAAGTGTGTGCGACCTGATGAACCTTTTGCTTCGTTTTAGAATTTATCTCTCGTCACTCCTCTGAAGGTAAGTTTACCTTTGTGGACCAAAGGGTAGGCGGAATTCTAGGGTACACACCTTCGGAACTCCTGGGTCATGCCTGTTACGAATTCTTTCATCCAGAGGATTTAACCCACATGAAGGAAAGCTTTGAGCAAGGTACCTTCATATTATTCATTGGCGTTTTACCTAGGTAAAATTACCAGTGCACTTTCTTTTTATGACCAGGGATTTTATGTTCTTTTCAGTGTTGAAAATGAAGGGACAGGTAGTGTCTGTGATGTATCGATTTCGAGCTAAAAGTCGAGATTGGGTATGGCTGAGAACCTCGGCCTTTGCATTTTTAAATCCGTATACCGATGAGGTCGAGTACATTGTTTGTTCAAATACGACAGCTAAGTACGTTTTTTTTTTAAAAAACAGTAGTTGCAATGTCTAAGTTGGACATTCTAGTTTATGTATTACATATTTCATGTACGTGGTTAGATCGCTACATCCCAGTACCGACGGACAGACAGAGAACGAAACTGTTCCTGGATACGGACAACCTGGCTTGGATTATTCACTTCAGAGACATCCGGGTAGAGATCCCATTTACCCGGCGCATCATATGATGCAACATCCGGCGACAGTGGCAACCGCTGGTCCGCAACAAGCGCGACCTTCCAGCGCTCAAAATGTTTATCAGGGATATGAGACCACGCAGTCTCCTATTGGATATGGCTCGCCTGGACAACAGAGTGCATCATCGTCAGTTTTAAATAGAATTCCAAAGCCGGCTAACACCTCGCCGACACCTGTGCAACAGGCGTGGAGTATTGGTCGGCAGGTATGCACAAAATGTAGTTCTGGGACATGAGTGACTTGTCTTTAAACAGTAAATTGATTGATTTTCGTTTTTTTATCTCATAGCAACCGGTCACTGAGGGATATCAGTACAGTCAATTGAGTCCGTCAAGATCACCTAGTGGACCCACATATACTCAACTTAGTAGCGGAGCCAGAACACCAGCAGCGCAGTACCACGCCGTCACCACAGTCCCGAGTAATCCAGGTAAAAACACGACTTGCTGATTGCAAAAATTATTTAATTTTGTGGCAGTTTCCTCTAGAGAACTTATTGTTTTATTGCGAAATAATTTGACTTGTCCGACAGGTATGTGGGGATGGCAAGGACAGCAGCACCAGGCAGCTCAGCAAGATACTGGACAATCAAACTCCCAAGTGACCGGTCAGCCGCAGCCGCCCCATGCTGCACAACCTGGTCCTGGGCCACAACCTCAGGAACTCTCGGATATGTTGCAGATGCTGCAAGACCAGGGTGGCGCGTCTGGTTTCGAGGAGTTAAATATGTTCAATACCACCTTCGAGTAGCACTAGATCAAATGCAATTGACGAAGGTTCTGTACCACGAATTTACTTTGAGGTTCATACAGATACAAGTTTCTTTATCACGAATTCTGTATAAAAGCCCACGAGTATCGGTCGAGTACACATAGTGGTAGTCAAAGGCTAATTTGGACGTATAATTGTAATGTTTTTCAATTGTCGAACCTTGGAATGAGGTTTAACAATAGGCCCCTGCGTAGCTTAATATTATAAGACAAAATATGTATATGTTCGATGAGTTGAAGATTTATTCGAAGAACATATTTGTAAGTCACAAGATCATTCGTAGCACTTGAGTTTGCCGATCAGATGATCTTTGTCTCGTTCTAATCGTATTTCAGAATATCTGGCAAATCGGGATAGGGATAGTCTGAACGAAAAGAAGCAAGGAAGTGCGCGAGACAAGAAAAAATACAAACATATTTTTCAAACTTCCCAATCACGTTTAACATAGGTCATCGATACTTTTAATACAAGCTTTTTGATAGACGTATAAGATTTAACTTCGATATTTTAATTTAGGTTTTTGTAATTATAAACAGTGCAATCATTAATCAACACTCAACATAAAATTGTTCAAACTTGACGATGTACAAAATTTATGTAACTCACTTCGCTTCTACTCGTGCAACACACACACTTTTGGGTATTCTTAAAAGGATAGGGAAAACAAAAACAAACAAAAATATAGACAATGTTGCGTCGAAAAACAATTGTATTTATAAGTGATCACGCGTGACTCGTTGCATTTGTATATGTTTAGCACGTTTTAGAATGATAAAAAAACCATAGCATATCATGAGAAAATGGAAACACTTTTTCACTAATATATGGGGAATATATATATATATATAAATATATATATAAATACATACGCGTATATACATACATATATGAATTTTGGGAATCTATGAAAAATTTTAATCTTCTTTCGAGCAGCATTTTAGGTACTTATCCTTTTGTCTTGTCGACAATAATATTTAGCACCTAGATTTCAGTGAGGTTATCGATGTTTGTATATACAATCAGGTAAAATTACGTGAAAATACGAGTTTTACCATTCGAGACCCACTGAGTGATGTTATAATTTTGTAATTCTTTATCCATGACCTAACGTAATATTATTTTCAAATGCCAGTAAGGAAATATTACGAGAAATGACGAATATCACGAAATTCGATACATACTTAGAAATATAGTCACTGCCTGTAATGTTGAAGGAACAATCTATGATTCAAGAGAAGACGAATTGTTATTTAATATGATTTTAATTTTACATTATAAAAAAGGAGCGAAAAACTGGAACGAATGTTCACAATTTCAATTTAACGGCCGACACGACACTTTTGTCTTTTCTCTTCGATGCTGCGCCCGTCTTTGATTTTATTTGACTCTTCACTTGATCTTGTAACTGATTGAAGAATGCAGTCGACGATTTTGTGACTTTGTGACTCGTCTCGTCCACCTTCAATACGTTACGTTCTTTACTCAATTTAGCAATGGCCTCCGCTGCTTTTTCTTTGCTGAATTTCTTGCCACGGCTTGGCTTCAGAGTGTCGCCCATTTTCTCACGTTTCTCTTTAGCCTTTTGTCGCTCTCGCTGTCGCAGCTTCTTCTGGCGACGTTCTCGCTTCATGTCCGTATTAGTTCTTTCCGCTTTACCAATCAAATCACCGCGTGGCTTGGCTGTAAGAGAGAGCATATTTTTTTATTTCATCCTCTTGCAGTAATATTAATCATGACTGGACATTTAATTGACGTAATTTACCTTGAACTTCTTCTGGTGCAAGTAACGCTGCATCGCTGGTAGCAATTGGCGCTACTTCCTCGACACTGACTGCAGGAAGATTGCTTATGATCTTGATATCCGGTTTTGCCTGTAACGCAAAATGATGCGTGTTTAATTATTTATTTTGTTAATAGTTGAGAGTGAAAGACAAAGATGGGAAATTTGTTATTTATATTTACCATCTTGGGAGTGTAATGGAAATTGGATAGAGCATCCAATTTTGCAAATAAGGCATTCATTGACTCGCGTATTTCAATGTGTTCTTTTGGTTCCTCAACTTCTTTCTCCGTAGCGTCCGGATTTAAGGACTCTTTTTGCTTCAGGTACTCGTTTTCATAAATTTGTGCCAAACTTTGTTGACTCTTTTCTTGATCCATTACTAATTTCTTCTTGTACTCCTTAGGTGTTTCCACTGGCTTAAATTTTTTCTCCACATCGTCCCAGGCCTTATCTTTTATCCTTTGCCTTATTATGTCCTCGAGGTTTAAAGTAGTTTGCTCAGTAATAATAGGTGCAGGTCTACTTGTAATATCGAATTCTACATATTCTTCTAGTAATGAATTTTGAGGCCTCTTTGTAGCATCTACTTCACCTCTTAGTTGCCAAGGCTTTTCGGAAAGCACTTCCTCTTCAAGTTCCTGAATACGTTTTTGAAGTCGTTCTTGTCGAGCTTCTAGCGAAGATTTTATTTCTGGATCTTTTTCATTTGGATTTTCTTGCTTATTTTCTATACTATCTGTGTCGTCGGAGTCATTTGTCAGATTGAATTTAACGCGTTTTTTCGAATTACTATTTGTTTCTATCTCAATGGGTTCACTTTGGTCTTCAATGTCACTGTTCATTTCAGAATCTAAGTCATCGTCTTCATTTTTACTATCTCCTTCAAAATTAATATCTACAGATTCTCTGGAATTATTTGCCATATCATCATCCTCGCTTTCAGGACTATCGAAAAATGCTGCATACTTGATTAGTCTGGCATTTTCAGTATCATTCTCATCTTCTTTCTCAGAAAGATCATTAAAAAGATCCAATGATTCGCCATCAGATTCGTCATTATCTTTATCATTCGATTTTTTTTCTCTTTTATCCTCCTTAGTAAGATATTCATCTAATTCTTGTAATTTGAAAAACTTATCATCGACAATCGAATTTTTCTGATTTCGTTTCCTAGTATTCTTTAGAGATTTTACTTTTCTAGTTTTCTTTGTATCTTCTGCTATGACATTTGTTTCCGATATCTTATTTTCATCCTCAGACTCTATATTATTCCTTGTAGATTCATCGTCAAGCAAGGGATCAGGTTTCGTAAGACTAATAGGCAGTGTGAGCTGACTATTGCCAGCCAATACTCGAGAGACATTAGTCAAAAAGTATGGCCATTCTCCTTCATTTTGCAATTCCAATTGCTGCCAGATTTGCTCCTCGTCAAAATCTTCAGTTACCAGCTCAGGCAATGCATCAGTCTTCCTCTTAAACTGTTCCTTGGTAAAGTCATATAAAAGCTTTGTATTCTCCTTAAAATTTGTGGCTACTTTATTCTGCACGCTAAGTAAAATAAAAGCAAAAAAGTGAGTTAAGTGACAACAATAATTTATGCTATGCAATATAAAAAATTCATCTTTCGAAATTTTCACGATCAACAAACCTCAGAAAGTGTTCCGCCTTTTTCGTGTCACTATCGACGCTGGATATAATGTTATCCAGAATTTTCACATTGGCCATGGTACAAATTTATTAAATTAAAATCCTTGCAATAGGCTAGAAACTTAACACATGGTACAACAAGTTACAGATCCTATCCTTGCTTAGTACAGCGCCATGGCTATATTCCCACTCCTCTCCTTACCCAACGAGACACACAGTGAACTCTGCAAGACACAACTTGAACCCCACCCAACATTCAACAAAAATGTCCCCTTAATCGGTAACACTCGAAAGACATTATCCACCAATAATATAAATTTACCATCAACCACCCTCGAGTGAAATCGATAAATCCATTTTTTTTCCAACCAATTCAAACGGTAACACAGAAAAAGCATATAGCGGCAACACCAATTGACACTCAGGGCGCAAGTCCATAACGCGTCCGGGTATTCCTGAGGGGATAAAGGTTCGGTGATGACGAAATAAAGTGGGGTAAAGGGTATCATAGCCAGGGGATCCGTAGTGCATCACACACAGTAGACAACATCCCGCGAGAGGTCACGATCGAAAATCCTGTTGGGGTAATGAGGGTGACCATAGGCGATAAGGGGTGGTCGCCCCTCGTTCCATTCAACGTCTCCAACGGCAACTCCGACAATCCGAATACTCCCTGAATAAGAAAGTGTTCTCCGTCAAAAACCAAAGAATACAAATTCACAAATTCAATCTGTCCACCTCTTCGAGGCCGCGCACTATCGCTGGTGCAGCCTCCTCGTGAAATGAGTGCGCGGCCGCGCCACAAGAAATCTTATAAATAGAGACGAGCGACGAAGACTCAGGGAAGAAGGAGAGGAGCTACTGACTACGTGGGAAAACGAAAGAAAAAAAATATAACAGAAAAAACTACGAGATGGCGGGGGAACGTGTGTATCGAATATAGAAAAGCAACCGAGAAATTCCTGTGGGCGGAGGAAAATCCCGGAAGTGGATTTACTCAATGGGCTTTTCACGGGGAGGCCAGTCGACGTGTTTGCGCGGGTCCGATAGGCCACGCGTTGTCAACGACCGGGACGAGCTTGACAGAACGAAGAATTTACCACGTCCACCAGTCCAAACCAGGAACAACAGTGTACAAACTGTACGTATGTACACTGACTAGTCTATAGAGACACTGTCATCATAACCCTAAAGATACGTTGCATCCGGAGGACATTCTTCATATCTGGTATTAATTTTGCCATGTCGCTACGGGATAACGTGGAGTGTGCCATTGCAATTTTCAAATAGTACGTATCACACGACCTTAGACTGATGCTTTATTACGTCTTTTAATACATATATATATACATGCTTTAAGACCGCTTTTACGCTGACTGTCCGCCTACTGCGTACGCGAGTGCGTTTAATTGGCCGAGCTGAAATTGCGTAACGTAACTCTGAACGGAATTCTTCGTGTAGACGTTATTTGCACTTATTCTTTTCTTTAAAATATCGCTATCGCTAGTAGACAATAATTATTACATTTATTCAACACTTCATTCTCCCATCATGTATCCCATTCATTGTAATTCATTTACTCAACAAGAGTCACTGGATCTGCTTCTACGATTATCAAAAACCCGTACAGGTTATATTATCCATATATTTTTTCCTATAGGATAGTCTATTTCTTATATTCAATTCCAGGCCAGTTTCGCCAGTAGATTTGTCTCGCTCGAGAAGCACGTGCTCGTTAGACCGTTACGAATCGCTATTGAAGATATTACAATTTTTCACTAGATATACATATAACAGGATGATAGTAAATATAACATCGTTCATCATAAACGAACAAAATGGACGTTAGACTGTTCTTATTCATATATATATATACACAACGATGAATACGGGATGTCTGCTATTAGGAATTCCAAGCTGCTGGAATGATTATAACCATTGTCATCCTGATACAAGACTTGAATGAAGTTGGAAATATGATATCATTTACTGTTGACAGTTGCTGTAGAATCATTGTTGAAACGTCAGTACGGAAAACCGATATGGTACCGAGGTGAATAATATTACACTAATTGAAAATCCAATTTGCATATATCTTTATAAGTAAATGTATATCACCTCGGACACTACGTCTTAGGATAACTCACGATGCTCACCAGCCCGTAACGCCGTATACAGAGAGCCAGCCAGGCTTAATTATTTATTTTTCTTTAGCTGCTCTAAAAAGGCACCGATGTGTACAGAAGAGGAGCGAACTCGAGCCTCGTGAATACGTTGCGAGCGCATCGGCTTTTATTCCCTTTATACCTGTTAACAGTTTTCATTTGGTTAAGTGCTCGCGGCTGTTAGTAACGTTATAAAGTGATAAATTTTTCAAGGACAATGAAAATTACAACTTTTACTTCTCCTATCGTCGTACACAGCCATTCCGCGAGACTCATTGTCGCACGCATCGTCCATTTCGCTTATTCGATGGTCTGAAACGTCAGTATCGCGTGAAAGCGTCACTTTATAATAAACGAATTCATATGAGCGTGAAACCTCGTTTACTTTTACAGAACAGATAAAACATGGCTGCGAACAAAACGAGTACACCCAGTGTCTGTTACGTGTGCGGCAGAGCATCCGGTAATGGTGATAATTCATGATGAATATTTTCTAATGATTAACCAAGTGTCGGGACGAGTGAAAATATAAAGAAAAGGTACGGAGTGATTCAGTGACGATACTTAATACTATATTTTTACGGAGATAGCCTAATGGAACTTTTCGTATGTCGTTTTAAAATTAATATTAGTAATATACGTGTTGACGAGAGATTAGTCAAAGATTGACAATGACGAATGAGGTGTAGATAAGACGAAATTTTGGGGTTATGATTCACGTAGTTCTTAATGCAATCAGATCGTTCTTTTATATTCTCATCTTTGATATCGACGTACACAAATTTTGATTTCGCTTTTTTAACGTTCGTCGCGAAGACGGGGATCCTCGTGTATTTTCAAATCTCTAGTAAGAATGGCGGAAAGTCCTTCTGACGTTGTTATATACACGGTTTTATATGCGTATTTATAATATTTCTCGAAATATCGTCTAAGAGTGTCGCCGGAGGACGAAATACATTTTTCAACGAGACACATCCAGATCGCATCCACGATCATTAATAAGGAAGTGTATTGTATTTGTATATCAATGAAGTGCATTGTTCGAAAATTCATTGAATCCTAGTCTCTCGTGATTATATCATCGATACGTATTATCGTAAGACGAAGGTAATCGGTAATCGTAAAACTTGTGAACGTATTATGACACTACGATAGGAGAATCAAGATAATGATTAAAACAGACAGCGAAAATGTGTCTCGCGTGTTCGGTAGACAAAATTTAAAACGTAACTCAACGGTCACCGTAAGTCCAGCACGAAATCGCTGCGACACGCGATTGTCGCGTACGTGAAAACGCGGAATAATTCAAACGTGCCAAAAATGTCGAATAGCATTAAAAAACCTGATGTGATACTAAACACCAAATATATATATGGCTATTAAATAATTATATTAAAATAAGATTCGAGCGTAGTACCGTAAATGGCGCGTAATTTAAAAACGGTATAATTACGTTGGGTATAAAAAAATTATTAAAAAGAAAATACAAAGTGTAACGGTGTCGTGTGATTTCGTATAAATATAATCGTGATATCGATATTACATATCGTATTTAAACTTATCGATAATAATAGTGATTAAAGCAAAGAAAGAAAATACTTAAGCTCGCGTCGAGTCGCTCACTGCGAATGATTAAAGTCTGTGTGATTTTTATAATTTGATAAGGGAAATATAAAAAAGGAAATGGAGCTACGTCCAAAAATCGAGGTCGTACGTGTGTCCTCGATCGAGCGTGATAATTTTCGACCTCTCGATGGCGTTCAGCTTCGAGCTGCTTACAGCCACGTTCGGATTGGTACGTACTGCCCGGAACCGGAAGTCAAAGCGACAGTTTGTGAGAACAAGCCGCCGATAGAGCAGACGCGAAAATATAAAAAGTAAGTAAAACTTTTTGAGGATCGATCCTTATCGATTAAGGTTAACGCAGTAATACGTTATATTAACTTGTGATATATTTCGCTATAATTTCAAGGGGACTCCTCTTGTTACTCTCATCACGTAAATTCTGCATCCTTGCATCTTGACTTACATCTTGATGTGTCAGCATCTTTCTGTTTTTGCCTTAGAAACTTGGGACCAGTATCAAGACTGCTAAGACGTCGTCAACACACGTCATGCCTTGCAACCAAATCCTGTGATAACATATATAGCGTCAATAGAAGTAGCAACTCCCTGGACTGGAGATTGGGACAAATTGTAAACCAGCAAGGTTCGTTGAATTAATTAATTTAAAGAAAAAATAAAATATTAAAGACAGCGTACTCAATTCTAATCTGCATTTTAGGCCTGCAAGCTCGACAAAGTAGCAGCTTGGACTGGCGTGTCGGTAGAACCGTGAACAACGGTTCCAGCAAATTAGAATGGCGTGATGCGACACGTAGTGCTGAACAACTTTCAAGGAGCAACCCGTCGACGCCAGGAAACCTTCAGGCACCGAGCACCAAGTATGGACCATTTTTCTCTACTTGAAAATTCTGACCTTGCGAACCGTATAAAAAGTTGAAGTAGACTGTATAGTATTTTCGTAGAAAGAAAAATATTGATTTATCAATCATTATTTATCTCAGGTCAAAAATCATATCACTGTTGAGGCGCCTCTCGCCACGACTATCTCGACCTGGAAGCAAAGGAACTTTTCAATCATCGCCAGCGGCTTGTCCCTGGGTTCAGGTTGAATATTCAAGTGAGTCTATAGAGGATACTAAGCGCGAGGAATCTCAGGAAAGCGATGTGAGCTTTCAGCAGGAGTTGCGGCTGAACGAGATGAAAAAGAGAATGGCTGGCGCATCGACTTCTCAGGTTAGAAGGATTAATTGAGTATATTTATGAATTTAGAGACAGTCACTTCCGGAATGACTTTGCATTAGTGAAATGAAGTAGGCATGTGTTTTAATGGACTAACTCGTCACAGGTATCTGCCAAGGATGAACCTGAAGATGATCTGGAGCAAAGGAAGGAGCAGACTCATCGCTTGACACAGCCAAGGATAAAAATTCAGGAACCGGATATCGACTATAATCCCTACGTCTACCGAGCGTAAGCCCCCTTATTATTTTTTTCATTTATTTATCTCATCTCTTACTAATGGCAGATCAGCTGAAAGCTTCGTTTCTGAACGGTTAACAACGCTGCTGAAATGGTTACTGGGATTGATCACTTGAAATTCGAAGCTTGCAGCTGTATTTCCATTGAGAATCCCAATTCACAAAATTCATTTTAAACTTTGAATGTTTCGCTCGGACTTACTTCCTACCATCTTCAATAATTATATCTCTCGAATCCATTTACATCTATCTGACACATTTTCGATTATACTTTTCACCTCTGGTAAGACTTTACTCTGTTGACAAGCGATATTGTACATTACCAATGTAAAGTATATTTTAATTTTATTTTTTTATCTCAAAAATGTTCAATTTCTCTTTTTTCTACAATCGACCATTTAATACCTAACAGTAGATATATTGACTGTCGTTCAATACACTCAAAGTCTAATCGATCTACTCTGTCACATAGAATTGTTTTCTCTTCCCTTGAAAATGCACCGCATCCAGTGAGCACAGTAGTTGCATGAAAACGAAGATACTAACAGTCACTTTTTCTAGTGTAACCAATATAACTCTGTCAATCCATGTATATAACATAGATGTCAGGCCGAATAAACAGTTGGGAATGTCTGCCGCATTGTGAAGTTACCTTTACCCACGAATATAACGCTGAGAGGAGTTTACAATAAGCGTGGTAAACTATGGAGATAGTTAGTAAAGTAAGGAAGACCTTTTTCTTTCTTTTTTCAATATGCTGATCATAAATACTGATAACTTTATTAATACGATTACAATATTCCATTCGATACGACGTCTGCAGTCGAATTTTTGAATAAACAATCCATATACTATACTCCAATGGTGGATCAAAACGAATCTCGTGAGAGTTCGGTCGATCGACCAAATGAAACTGACAATTCGCTGTACAATGTTTGATTATAAATTGTCAAATGAAAGATATTCAAATCTTATATAACAGTTATCACCGTAACGTCCCTTGGCCTTCGAATGGCGGATATTTTATCCAACATTTATGAAAGTTACTCGTAATAGGTACACACCAGGTTGTAGAAGTAGCCTTTGCAATAATGATTAACATACTTATGAATCCGAACGTTGGTCGCGCTCTTGTAAACTAGGCACAAATGGTTGTCCCTTGCCGGTATGTTGATCAAGGAACCTTCCACGTGGCCTGGATCTACGTAGTCTATTGTGTCTTCGACTTTACCCATGTGCGCCAGATGGAATTGCATTAAAACGTCCAATGTTCCAGGTTCTCGAGAGCTAGTATCTGCTTCCTGTTCCGCCAGGTCTTCACGATCAGAATTCTCACAGGAATAGTCTCGTGGATCTGAGAGATAGTCGCCAATGTCAGACACGTCCGAATCCTCGGAGTCAAAAGTTCTTGCCGGAGCCTTTGAGGATTTTTGAGGCGACGAATTCGACGATTTCGAGCAAGACGCTTGTTGTGGCTGCTGCTGGTACGAGGAGGGCTTCTTCTTGTGTTTTGGAGATTTCGTTGACTTTGACTTCAGGATTCTCCTGAACACTTCCTCGTGGTCCTCGTCCTCGTCTTCCTTACTGCTGGGAGGAGTGTTGCAGCCTAATCCTGGTATGATTGTCACGTCGGATACTGCTGAGGGACCTGCCTCGCCATTGTCAAACGAATTGGACTGTTTATAAGGCCTGGATTCTGCGGATGCTGATTGGTCCGCGTCGTTTGGACCATCCGAGAATCTGTTGTTTCTGTCAGTCGTGTCAGGATCTAAGCAATTGTCGTTGATTGTTTGCTCGTCGCAGAGCAACGTGTAACATCCGGAAGACATTCTCTGAAGCTCTATGGTCATACGTGGCTCTAGGCCATCCTTGGGATTTAAAAATTCAACCTCCGTGTAATTTGTTAGCAGCTGAAAGATTGCTCTGTTCTTGAAGAAGCTCAACAATTCTTTCAACTTGTCGGGCAATGACTCTTCTTCGGCTAGCTCGTAATTTCGCACGTCCGCCGGACCTACCCTCTTCCATTTGATCTGATCGGAGAGAAGCTCCTTTGCGATTTCTTGGTACTTCTCGGGCTTGAAGTAATTCGGAATAAAAACGTGGGAATCCCTCTCAACTGTTTCCTGGATTTCTCGGCTGATCTTCAGAGACATATAAGGGTCTGCTACCCATTCAGAGAGATCCAGATCCGAGTCCTCGGGATGCGCGAACGTTATCACGGGCTCCGGTCTGGGTCTTCTATGGGTTGTTATGGGACCGTGAAACCAGCCGTTAATTGTCCATCTTGATTTGTCCACCGACGTCACTTCAGCAACTTGGTGATATGAGTTATCAACAACCTCGAAGAACACCAAGGAATTGTATTCAGGCACTAACGAACGCACTACCTTGGAAGGCAGACCATTCTCGTCCGTGGTGAAGAGATCTAGCGCACCTCCATCCTGAGGAGTCCAATTCTTCGAAAGGTAGAGGATGAAGGCTATTCGACGATCATCCATGTTGTCGTCGTGGCACAGCAGGAAGTCTGTATCAGAATAGCAAGAACTAGACATGGATATCTTCTTATTCAATTTGATCTTAAGGTTCTCCTCCATCCATGCGGCCAGGTCGCATTGAAAGGCCTCGTAGAGAAGTCGAATATGCATCTTATGCATGGCGTTAACAAGGTCGCAGGTTTGTTCGTACTGATAAAGATCAACAACGTTCCTTCGACTTTTGACTTCTAACAATTCATTCTTCATGGCGTCCATGAACTTCTCACAGGCTATAAAATTCGATATCTTTCCAATCCTAAACGGCTTAGCTATCACCTCAAGTTCATCAGTTTTCACTGGTTCCGAATTGTGCCAAGCTTTAAAGAATTTTTTTTTGAACTCGTCCGTATGTAGATGCTCCGATATAATACATTTTTTAAATTTCTTTGCCTCCGGTTCACCCTGAGCCATATCTTATCGCTAAATTAACACAAGGGTACGGAATTTGCTATTTAAAAAACCGAACGCGATAACAAGTATACTTAAAATATAAAATTCTTCCCTATTCGCGTAAAATCACGTTTCTCGCTTCGCTAACACTGTATTCGTGAATTTTGTGTACGACGATACGTTACAAAGATTTAAATATTCGGTCGACATACACCTGCACTCCTCTGTTCAAATTGTCGCGGGCTTTTCAACTCTTACGAGGTACTATCACAAATAGACATGCACTATCTATAACTTCAGTGCATCCTTATCTAGTTCGCAAAAACACGACAGTCTTAAATTGAAGAGTAACGTAATATTATCTATAAGTGTACGTAATGCTTTGTTGCTCTTGATAAATAATTCTCTAAATTAGTTACCGATTAATCACCGTCACAACCACGTTTGCAATTTTTGTCCCACACCCTGGTGCATTATATTCACTTTAGCTTCTCAATTCTTCTTTAAAGTTCCTGGACCGTTTCACGTTTTTCCATGCACCTGCGCTCCTCTGATTTCTACGCTTCAGTCAGCTCGGCACTTCTGTTTTTCGGAACATGCGGTCCACGTGGTCGACCGCTCTGCATGTGCTCTGTAAAGAAATATTTTTGAATTACACGTCAAAGTAGCAGTTTGCAACGTTATGATCCGTAGATTCGAAATCCCGATTCACTAATCTTTCGATATCTGTCATCTGACATATGTAAATTAACGAAAATCACCTTATTAACTAAATTTAGAGAAGTAGATCTGTCGTTTCGTGTCACGCAGTTACCCACTACCTAGAGCTCGGTACTGTCCTTCCTGAAAACATTGATCGTTTCGCGAGCCAGGATTGTCGCGTGCAGTATTGGAGCCCGAGACAGTTTACATAGTTGGAAATTGAATCGCACGTGCCGAATCTGTATCTCAGGAATATGCATGTACATTTATATATATTAACATAATCCGTGATCCCATTTTAAAATTCTTTACTTTGTGCCTCGCATTATCATTCTTTCAGTATCAATAATACAAAATACCTATACAAATGCATGAATTTTCAGTACTTCCCATTAGAAACAACGTACAGTGAGCCTAGTTTATTACCAAAATGAGGTTAATTTAACGAACCGCACCCTTTCATCGTCGTAAGTTATGTAATAAAAAAGAGTAGGGTGGAGGAAAGAATTTAATATGCAATTAGCATTCCCTTCCATGGTAGGTTAGACCACTAAGCGCAGTGGTTCAGTATAAAAACATAACCCACTAACAGACGGGTCTAACCGCACATTCGGCCGCAGGGAAATAAAGTTTAATTAATCGATGTTTATAATTATAGTACCAGTAAGATTGGTCTATGTGAAAAAAACGTGCATCACTAGGTCATAATAAATGTTCCCTTTATTATTCATAAATACAATTAATTAAATTGCTTACGTCTCTAATTACATGTAGTTGGTATAAATGTATAAACAAAATTTATTAAAAAAAAATTATTGGGAACATAAATTAAAGTTTGTAGGACCCGCGTGTTAAAGTGGTTTCCTAATCCAGTCGCTAGGTGGTATCCAGTCGGCGCTGGTAGCAAGATGGCGGCCGCGTTTCACGTTTGACTGATGCTGTTGCTCGGAAGTAAATTCGGGGCACACCCTGGCCGCTAAATTGTCGAGTGTAGCTGCCGCGTAGGACCGGTTACCGCGTAAATTCCGTGAACAGACCCGCGCGGTTATCCTGGATTCCGCAAAGCTGGCGACCTACGTAAACGTGAGTAACAATAATAACGATTTGCCAAAAAAGTCCGGGACGGATAGTAGATAGTAGCGGTAGGATCATTCGCAGTGTGTGACATGTCTACGTGACGTGACATTTCTTCCCTCTCCAAACAAATTATCCTTCGTATCCTGACATCTGCGCTTCCGTATTACGTCGAGATGCACGCTGCTCGTTATTAACCCTTAATATGCATAAGTGAAACGGGTGGGGTTCCTCGATGAGGTAATATAAACATGAACAGAGGACACCCGGCTGCTGGAGCGTGCCGATCTTCTTCCTGTTTGCTTTACGGAGTGATAACTCTGCTAAATTATTCCCTTTACTCTAGAAATCGTAGTGAATTGTGGCATAAGATACGTAGGTAACCGTAGAAGTTCTGTAGAAGCTTTTGCTCAGAGAGGGAGAGAGAGAGAGAGAGAGAGAGAGAGAGAGGAAAAAGCAGAGAAAGTGAGACAAAGGTGTGAGAAATGGAAGTGAGTGGGAAAAAGGGACAGTGCGATGGATTCCTTAGATGCCTCTTTTTTTTGGAAGTTACCCTCGAATTTATCGACCCTTTTCTTCTCCTACCTGAATAGAGTTACACGCTGCCAGACACCCATTTGACCCCTTGCCAAAGTAAACGAACGTTTAACGGTTAAATGATAGTTTTAAATTTGTTAACGGCTGCTTCTATCATAACACGTTTTTCTGTCTGCTTGTAACTTCAACGTATGTATTTAGAATCGCAAGCAGTTTGTAACGTCCTGATACTTTCTTGTCGCTGATATCGTATGTTTTCATCGCAAATTGCTTCAAATCGCCATTATACCTTAAGGTATTTCTATATCAATTTTTCAAGTTATTCTTATATATCTTAACACGCTCGTTATTCACTATCTACTCTTTTTCCTTAAGAAATACCATTGGTGCGTCCAGTAACTCGTTTAGCGATTACGCCAACGGTCGCTGGTCGGCCTCGAACTTTTAAAGTGTCGTTAAACGCGATACGTTCATTGCGTCGTTAATACGAACGATCTATAAAATATTAATAGAATCAAAAAAGAGAAAATCAAGGAGAAAAAATATGTAATTGTCATTACGGTAGAAATTCCTTTTATCTTTTATTATTTATAATGCTCTCCCTTACAGTGTATTGTTCCGTTAACTCGACCGCTGGCAAACGTGCGTTTACTCTTTTCATGTGGACGTTATCCTTTGTACCTTTTTTTTTTTCGAAAATTGCACATTATTAACCGGTCACACAACCGTGTCTTAAATCCTTGGGAAATTCTCCGTGAATTAAATCATAACGGTATACACGTACGGTTAATTTAACAGTGTTTCTTTAATTTCGGATAATATGTTCAGTGAAATTCAAGATTCATCGCGAAATGGGTAACCGCTAAATACTTTCGTATTATGAGAAGTGACAAATTACGCGGATGATCGTGATTGTTCTAAGACATAAAAAATAGTGGTATAAAAAAAAGTTATACTAAGAAGTACTATACTTCCGTTGTGCAAGTGTTGGGGGTAACATAGCGGACTTGCCATAAGAATCGACTTGGTAGCAACGTCATTCCTTCGATAGTCAGTCAGTGAAGTGCCAGAGATAAGTGCGCGGCTGTGTAATGTAGAATCAAATTTTCATTGCATAGTATTAATTTTTTTCAAAATTCTATCTCTCTCCCTCTCGCAAACGATCTCTGTCAATTTTTGCTCCTGTCTTCGTTTGCGTGCTGAGTTCGTCATCGGAACAGCATGAACATAGCTCTGAGTATCAATTCAGTCTGTTATCCCAGGTAAATGAAATCTTTTTTTTTCTTTGCTAAATTAATTACGTATTATCCATTTAGTTAAAAAATATCCCCGTAATTATTTTCTGACAGATACTGCATCAGACAGCCGGTCGAATCTATTGATTTTTATACTTGCGATGGGAATGGATTTCTACAGGGATTTTTAGGACTTGTCCTACTTACTACGTAAATTGTTGCCCGTGTAAAAAAATGTAAACTGTCGTAAGGTATATATGAAAATTTTAATTGCGCAAGTAATTCATGTCGAATCCAAAAGAGTTAATACGCATTAAGTATATAATCGCAATAAAGAGACAGTGAACGTCGTATGCCCCGGAGCAGCTGTATTCTGCATTCCCAGTATGTGCATCATATCCGCCGTGAAATTGCCGCATAATTACTCGTCCGATCGCTCAATCATTGATGGTCTTGAATTACGAAAATTCACTTACTCCCTTAATCAGACGTTCAATGCCATTTTCATGTCCGCTATTGACAAGTAGTTGAATTATATTTTTTTTTTTAATCTCGACTGTATTCCTTATGAGGATATTTACATGCGCGACAGTTATACGAGACATAAATGTCATCGGCGTGAAATTAATCGGTTCATTGGATCGTTAAAGATTTTTTTTGTTCCCTGCCAATAAAATGGTACAAATTCAAATTCCCATCGCGCAAATCAACTACCCACGTTTTCATCGTGGTAATTTCTTTTACCTTGTCTATTCATTCTGTTTTTGGTTATGCCAACGAAAACCGGTTTTTCTTATAGAACTTCAAGAAACGTCGATTATTCTCACGAAATTCAGTACGCGTATTGTCTAATCGACTCGAACGTTAATTTAGCCAGTGTCAATTTTTCTTTTTCAATTTTTCCATCGCCTTTGTTAGTGTAAAAAAACGCACGTAGATACCTACCACGGATAACTCGTCGAGTCAATCCGAAAAATATGTTTGATTCTTATTATTTCACACACCCATTCGTTCCCTGTGTGCCAACTTACAACGAGCTACAATAAGTAGGCAGCTTCGTGACCCGGTTCACGATTAATTTCTACCGCTAACTTTTGTCAGTCCGCGTCATACGGGAGGCCCCTCTTTATCCTTGCTCAGTCTCCTCTACTTCTTTGCACGTCCGCCAGGTGTCAGGCGCGTTAGATTAATATCTGGAACGTAACAGGTTCTGGGATCGTGGGGTTCGGGCTTTTACCATTTGTCGCGAGTAAATCGCGTGGGTGATTCTCGCGATATTTACAGTCAGCCTGCATCGCGTTTGCTTTCCCATATCCAGAAACCCGGTTTCTTCCCTACCATTCAGACTGCACCCGAGACGAAAAAAAAACACCTAGCATTTCGTCCTTTAGAAAGACCGTCCAATTTTACATGCACGTTGTAAACGTCTTTTCCAATTGCGCACATGGATCGCCAAATTTTGTACAATATATACGTTTCATATTTAAAAAAATGATTAGCCGCTTTCGTTACACATGATTTTCAAATTATCTGCTTGTACCTCTTAAGATCGTAAAAATTGGCAAATTCAATTTTACATGTCTGTTGAAAATCCACTTTAAGTACCATAAATTATACACGTTATATGTATGCATATATAGATATACTGCACCATGCACCGATCTATGTCGCTAATACCAGCACGTCGCTCATTAAGAATGTACATAATGGAAAATACATAAGTAGATTCGATACCTCCCTACAACCGGAGTCTCATCTACCTAACCTACGCACAAATTGCTTCACACGTTGCACGTGATTAATAAGTACTACCTAGAAGCGGGAGAGGCAGGTGTAAATTAACTTCGATGTGTTAGAAGATGACAGTACGAATTTGTCTCCGCCTTGCATCTTGCACGAAAGCACGAGCCGTGTAGGGAATTGTGTCGAGCGATGAAAACTTGTGATTAGCATCTATAGTTTGTAACCACAGAGGCGCCACTGGCGCACAATAACAAAAGCTCCAGGTACGTACATTCTACATGGGTGTTATGTTTGACTACGTAACGCATCATTCTAGCCCATTTTGTACCATAAGTGGGGTAGTTTATTCTATAAATTTCCTAGATTATTAGACCAGGTTAACCTCAGGTCAACATACTACGTGATACTTGTATGTAATATGGTGTATGCGCTATTCAAATTCACTGTCCAACCAATAACGTCGAGCGTAATTGTCGTGGCGGCGCGGGTTTTCATGCAAGCTTTTATGCGCGTCCTCAGTCGGTATGCAGACTTCCCTCGTTACGCGCTATTTATAACCTGGACATTCGACTGCCATACCAACCGATTGTCTGCTGGTTCTACTAGGTTTTTATGTTTCTAGTCTGGCGACTCTCATTGCTCATAGATTAGTTTCTGAAAAATGGCGACATTCCGCGCGGATTCTATTTACGATCGGCGGGGACGTGGAGTATTTGAAGTAAAAGATATGTAATTTTGGGATTAATTTTATTTATTGGATCGAAGAGTTGACTACAGTATATGTACTTTACTGTGATTTGTAACTCTAAGATTTATTAAGCTTGCCTTGTCGCTGTATATGGGTAATAGGGGGACCTGTCGCTTAGTCAGATTCAGGAAGAGTCTCTTAGGGGAGGCTGGACCGAGGAGGATGATGGGAAGTGGTCCACGTAGACGATGGAGCGAAACCGTGGTACGTCTGAGACTAGAGTTCAAAAGTCAGAATGGTTTATTTGGGTTTATATATAGAAAGCTAGGAGGCAGCACGGTGTCACTTACCCCTATGCGCTTACGTGCTACCCAGACACGTCCTATTCTGGAAGAAACGTCAGTGAGTCCTCGCCAATGTAAAGGTACTTTGCGATGGAAGCTTTGGGTAGATTTATCGCCGAATAACGTAGTAAGATTTTTTACTGTATTTGTTATTCGACGTTTTCAGTATCCGTTGATACCAGAATTCTGCCATTGGGAGGATCGATCTCGATGGACTCGTTTCTTTTAATGGATCTGAGATATGACTTTTTTCGTGAGTGACTTTTTGTTTGTTCGATCGAAGAACCTTTTTTTTTTGTTAATCGATGCCAATTTCTTTGCTAATTATTGTTTCTTTGCGCAGGGCGTAGGTATACCTCAGTATTGAGGTATTTAAACCATGGCGCCGTTGGACGACTCTCTATTTTAAGAGGCTGCTCCTCGATTCACACTGTCCATTTCGTAACGCGAAACCTGGCACAACGACTCTAGTAGAATTGATGTATCTGCAAGTGGATGCTGTGCAAATTTTTTCATCTTGCACGCTAATCAGAAAATTCAGACCGGGTCTACGTCTGTTCACGTTGGACATTAATATTTATTCTATGCATAGTTTGATACTCCTTCAGCAGAGTACGTATAGGCTGGTCTGAAGTCTAGTGCCAATCGATCGCTCGACCTTCCTAAGCTGTGAAAACGGTATCCGGCCGGTTTCACGGACTGATTCCTACCGCATTGTCCATATCTCGTGAGAGAATCGCCAGGCAGTTTCTTCATCGACTGACGCACCGTACCGCTTGGAAAAAGTCCATTGATAATTCTGGGTCTGTGATAAATGCTGGAATCACTTGATTCGCTAGTTTTATATGCAGCGTTTCTATCAGTTTTCTAAAATTTGTTTGATGGAATTTAAGAAATATGAAAATGCGCCTTGATGGTTAACAACACTCTACACTCGTTTGACCCTAGGGCTTTGTACGGGTACAGGATGTTTCAGACGCGAAGGACCTTTCCGTAGGATTTAGTCAGCAGGATTTAAATATGCAAATTCTTCAAGTCACCTTTACACGGCTCGTCGCTCGCGCGTCGGATTGCAAACTATTGGGTCGTAGATGATTATTTACATGAAAATGTTAATTGGAGAATTTATTATGAAATCATGTATTCTTTTTCTTCGTATCTATGTTACGCTGTTCCGTAAGGGTATACTTTTGGTTGTCAGTGTACATCTAGCGTACAATCGTTATGGGCACTTCTACGATGCACGTGTAAGTCTCTAGCTGTCTCTGTTGTCTCTCGACTGTAATAAATTGCACGTGATTAATATTCCAGCAAGATTGATGCCGTCGCCTGCGATCTATCGCAGAAGATTGTGCGCTCGCCTTAATTGTTTGGGCGAAAGGTGGGAACGTACAAGGCGCTTAGTCTCAGCGTGGGCGTTAAGGCTAACGCGAAGTGGCCAGAAAGTACATTCGGTAGCAACATCGTCCGTACTGCATTTGAATTCGTAGCGTTTTCTGCATTCTCAGACGGCCTCGACTTATTCCCTGCCAGTCATGCGACGGAGCTCTGATTATATTTACTTCTCGGCATCCCCATGAGCATTCTCAGCTACATTCTTATACTTAATGAAAATTTATCCAATTCACGTTAACTCGATTCCGTCGTTCTTGCTATTCCGCAGCGAGGCTATTTCCGCGGGAGATAAGTCAAGAGAGAGAGAGAAATAAGAGTCTAAACGCATAGAGTGAAAAATATGGAGGACATTCCACGGACAGAAGATACCGGGGAAACACTCTCCGGCTATTATTCTATTTCGGGTATACCCAAGTGCATACGGAATAGGTTCGTTTGGCTGCCGTTAACGTAATTGAAACTGACAGAATCTTGGTGCCAGATAGCAGGAGCAAAGGGAGCGTTCTATGGGGGGTTCTTGGTTCGTTTAGCCTTAACACCCATGGCCATGTCAGCGAGTGCTCGCAGCGCCCCTGACGAGCCCCTTTGGAAACGAAAAATTAAGTGAAAAGCGTCGAGCGACACGTGCCAGGACAATCATTCCATAGGCGTTAGCTTTGGCTGTGCGTTTTAATGAAATTGAAAATATAACCTCAAAAAGAAGGTACGCTTTAACAACTGTCAGTTTCGCAAGGGACAACGCGGATTTTATAACTTGATCCGTGTCTCTCAGTCAACTACCCACAATGCACCACGCGGTTGGACTGTGCTTTCTTAATTTGACAATTCCACGTGTGCAAGAACGTGACGTAAGAATCGTATCGCCCTTTTCCTTCCTCGTAATAACTTCGATGTCCTACTAGTTGGCTACCGGCACAATATCTTCGTCAAAGGAGCATTCCGACTGTAGGACCGAAGTGAACCCATAAAAATGGGCGCATCTTAACGGCCCGTAAAAAGCACCGCGAGTGTTAACCTCTGTCAAAGCGGTTAAGTGAGGTTTTTGCGCTCGCACGAACGTGAAATCAAAACCAAAGTACGTATCTGTCACATCAGAGTCATTCTTAGTGGGAAGAGCGTCCTATAGGCGCATACTATCGTCTTTGGAAGTACCGTCGGATAGTCGGTCCCAGCACCATGGTTTTTTGAGTGTTCTTAAAATATCCACTGTGAACTCCGATGAGGACAAGGGGAAAGGGACTGGAGGAGGGACGGAATGAGAAATACATACGTTGCACACAGTCTAACAGTCACTCGTATATACATTGAATTTCGGTGGGAGAGTCAAGAGATGAGATGGGAATGCTCTCAAATGCCATGCCACCAGTCTTCGGCAACCAGTCATCCCAGCAACGTGCACCATTCGCTACGGGGAATTCGTTGACTGATAATAAAAAGCCAACCGAGAGAATCCGTCCTAGGATCGAAACGGGGATTCCCCCGATTATATCGTTCAGCACTATTTCATTTTACCATTGATTCGCGAGAATCGAACGGTGCGCATGCGCACCAACCTTGTTTCGTTAACCAGTTCGAACCACGACGAGACGCGGACGATCCGCGGTACTGCGAGGGAAACGTTCGCGAGGATATTTTAAATTTTTATCACGTGGATCGAACGCACGAATCGATCGATATTCTAAAGTATTTCAATTTATAATGTGAAATGGCACATTTTTCGTGTAAACAAACGTATTTGAAGTTTATCCAAATACTGTGTATCGGTCGGTAGTATATTGAATATTGGTGTGAAATCATCCTTGAGTACTCATTAAATAATTTCTCGCTAATTAATCGTCACGTGAATAACCGCCTTGAGGCCGTTGACGCGATTCACGAGTCTCAAAACGTAAAGTTTGCTTAAAATGACTCATGGTGTCTAGAGAAAATATTTCGACCAAGCCATTTTTGACTTTTCATATATCCGCTTGGCTATCGACTATACACACTTGCGCCAATCAGTTATATGCAATGAGTCATAATAGCCCAAATTTTCGCGTGGAATGAGTTCTCACGAGCAACGATTATTTTGAGGTCTATTAATATAGAAAACAAACGTTTACCTACGACAAAGGACGATTTTTCGCGATGCTGCCAGTCATATGTAAAAATAGTCACTTCTATCTGCTTTTATAATATTCACGTGCTTTGCCCGCGTACAACCACGCAAGACACTCTCGGTCAGCCTCCCCTATCCCCTCTTCGATCGATATATCGATCCGATGCTACGGCAGTCGTCGCGGTACACGCGAGTCGTACGGAATTCAAAGTGACGCGCGCTTTCGTCGAGCGCGCGCTGTGTCCTATGAGGATGCCCCTTAAAATTGAGAGTGGAACGTACACGGTCAATGCGGCAGGCAAAAAGAATGTCTCGAGATTCCTACTCTGGAAACATTGGCGACGAAGGTATGTCAACAGACTCTTTTAAGGGTATCCACATTTATTTTTATGTTTTGATTGGAATTGCGTATACTCGTACACTAACGATTTTACCTCGTTCACGCGGATTCTGCACTTAATGCTTATTTCTGTTATGACGATCTACATGTCGATCGAGAACGATTCTTTAATTATATACAGCCATTATCCGAGCGCAAGGCAACGCGTGCGTAGGACTGTCATTACGGTTATGTCAGATTTTCATTGTTACACTATAACCCCTTGTCTCTTGGCACTCTGCTCCTCACCCGATATATATAAACAGCACGAGCTACAGTACAGGCGTAAATTGTATCTGTAGATATTAGCGTCGTATATTCGAGACGCAGTGAACGTTAATATTCAACAGAATTGTCGTAGTGTCGCCGAGTCACGTGACCGTTTCCCATAATGCATCTAGTTCAGTAAACTGCCGCGTGGCGCTCCAATGCATTCGTATGTTCAGTACTCTCGAGAGACGATAGTGTAATATTTTCCACTCGAGAAGTGTATATGAGATAACGAATTAATGTCCGCGTTTGAATTTCGAGAGATGCATTGAAAACTCCTAAGATTTTTCTACGTACAAAAATTGGAACGTGCACTCGTAGCTTTGTTTACTGTTAACGTACACGTCACTCATTCAATCTTTCAAGCTGCACGTGGCACCCATGTATATTTGACCTGCTGTGTCTCTTTTGCACCCTTCGCTTAATGTTATGCACTGGTCTTGTTGCGGCTGTATCCGTAGTATCCAACTTGAATGTATCCACACGCGAAGGATGTAACGACAAAGACTTTTCGTTGCCTTGTATTAATCTGTAATTAATAGTGTGAAGTGTGTAAGCATCAGGCCTGTTAATTGCATTGCGCAATAGTGCTAAGTCCTTTGTGTATTTATTGTATCCGTGCACTTTTAAATGTACCATACACGTAAATTCAGCACGTACCATTGAAATCAATGCTATTCTTGTTATCGTTGAAACGAATTCAATTTTTACTCGTTGATTCGCGAGTCAGTCACTATTATTATTACGGTCATTACCCGTTACGTGTACACGTAACGCTGAGTTACCTTTTCAGTGGCAATTATCGCAATGTAAATTGCATAACTAAATTTTTTTTAAATCAGTCTTTAAGGATATATCAAAATTTGAGTTACGAGATATACCTTATTATTTATAAAAAAAAATTTGTATACAAATAATTAAAATCATCGAGTGAAATTTTTCGTATTAACACGAATATCCGATGCACCTAAATCGTATATTCTCAGCTCGTCCAAACCGATCGGCAAAGACTATACCTGGACATCGGTAACCTGTAATGTCTTTCGCAACGGTGCTTTCACCACGAATCGATCGAGGATAGATCGATCGATCAGGATCTATAGTAGGAATGATCGTATTGGACGAGTCATTCGTCCCAGGACTGGTGCATGAGTTGAGTTGTGCTTATATCTTTATATATACCCATATTGTATATGGGTATATATAGTATATCAGACGATGCCAGTCCGTGTATAATATACAATGAAGGTGGGAACAATTCCAATGAAACTGGCAGTGTGCACGAGGATCGCGGGAACGAGGATCGCCGTAGTGGAAACGGCGTTCGCAGCGAGGTGGCGGGTCTGGAGGATAACGGAAATTCCGCGGTAGCGGTGGTCCCTGGCGGTGGCAGCACGAACCACAGGACTACGTTACGTCTGAGGCCACTCTCGTTGGCCGTGCAACCCCTGAATTATCATCGGTTGGATCCCGATCCAAGTACAACAACGAAACATCCCAACATGACCAGCCAGGAGAGCATCGGCAGTTGCAGCCTGGACGTCGACCGATCCGCATCCGACCGATCAGGTTGGGCCCAGTATTTGGGTGACGGAGGAGTGGATAATCCTACGGAATATTGGACTGTTTGCTATCGGCGATATTTGGTTTTTTTTTCAAATTTTTTTTCATACACTCAATTCTTTTCAACTCGAACGCAACCTAACGACAGACGGTTATTTCGTGACAGTTGACTTACCTTGACGCCTACTGTATGAATATTGGTCACGTGGGCGGAAGCCGACTGTATTTTAGTTCGACATTGAAGAATAACGCGTGGTTACGCCACTGACCCATTTACTTCAATTCCACGTCGCTGCAAGTCGTTGACGTTCAAACGTACATTGATCGCCGAAGGCAAACTGATCCCCGTGTTAATACCCATTGGGTCTGTGTAGCGATATCGTGAGTTTGACGGTTTATGAAAATTATTCTCCGACTTGGCGACAGTTGGACTTATTGCTACTGCGACGCCATCGTCACGTGGCGACGCGCTGGGAATTGAATTCGAGGACGAAACTGTTTAAAATGTAGTTTTAACTGTTGCGTACCAGACGAGTGTCGTAGCGTTAAGTTAGGTTAGGACAATGCTATTGGTTGTCAGACTTATATTCACGTTAATGGCTGTTGCTTCATCGAAGTCCAGTTGGGTTTGTTCGTCGTGCAAAGCCGGCAGCTTCATTGCATATTCATTTTGTATCATCAAGACTGGGTCTTACGAGTCACAAGTCCGTTGCCCCTGTAGGTGCAGGATTTGACGATTAGGAATTGCGTAATGGAAATACGTTGGACATAAGAAAAAAGAAGGAGAAAAAAGTATGGATACGTTCACTAGACAAAGTCCATTTCATTCAAAAATTAATTCTGCCTTCTGTCAGTTGTCGTGGGGAAAAAAAAAAATTGTAAACCAGTAATTGATGTTCTTTCAAGAACAGTCTCGTTATCCTTACCTCTCGCATAGAGAGAGTTCAAAGACACGATGATCATGGTCCATCACTTTTGAAATTTTTACGTTCAAGGTTGCTCGAATGGAAATCCACCTTTAGACCTAGTCCATGCTGTTGCTCTTGTTACTTTGGAATTGGTCAGGGTGTATGTTTTTATTTATTTTTATTTTACTCCTCTGTGAAAATGCCTTTCGAAATTAGCCCGCGTACACCGAGATTAGGTAGCTAGAGTTTTTTTTCACGATCTTCGTGCCAAGAAGAGCCTCGGCTTTGGTCTCTTTTGCGCGAGCAGCTAGTCGAGACGTGGTTCCAGTCTATTATTGTGTCGTTGCATGGCACAGGCGCGAGTCGAAAATCTAAAGAGTCGCTGCGAGTGAATTGCAGCGAATCGACGTGTGGATAGAGCCAGGTGGGACTCTGTTAGGGAGTAAGAAAACGGATGGGTGTATAGGGGTGCATGTTGTTGTTGAAAATTCCTGATCATCAGTTTTATGGGTTTCACGAGAGTTGAATATCTGAAATAGTGGGTTAATGGGTTTAAGATTCTGATGGGAAGTCAATAGACGGAAGCAGCGAGTGCTGATAAGAGTTGATAACGAGAAAGTTGGGGATCTAGCTCGGCGGGGGGAAGTTTGTGAAAGTTTGTTTGCCAAGAGGGGAATTGTGTATTGTCAGTCGGTTATCCGTATGGGGAGGTCTTGTGGTCGTGGTTGAAATCTTACACGGGTCCAGAATTCCTCGAATGGACATCCGGACTCCGGAAGGATTCTGGTCGCTTCGACGGTGGTTAATACGTAAACCGGTTCGCAAAGCCCACATAGACGGTTTAACGTGGAGTTTACGGGTTTGTAACTCGCGGGAATTGCCACGGAGTCTCCCGGTGACGCATCAGAGGCGCCATGCTCTTTTCTTTATTTTACAGAGACCACAGTAGGCTCCGTATCCGAGAAGACTCTGCACAGCCTGAACCTCTCGTGCAACGGTGAGCCCACACCGTCCCCGGAAGTCATACCTAACGGCAGCAGTGAGACGATACCAGAGAAGCAGCAACGCCTGGCAGACAGCGAGAATCTAAACGTTAGCAATGGCCATGAGGACAGTCCTGAGCTTGATCAGCTGACAGCCAAGAAACCGAGTTACTTGGGTCTGGCTTGTAGCATCAGCGGATACTCTGGTATCACCAGGTACGACAGCAAGCTGCGCGAGGGATTCAGATCCAGAGACAGTAGTCCTGGGACCAGATTGATCACCAGGGATACGAGTCCTGCTGGTTTCAGGTGAGCTTTTTTTTCGTTTGAAAATAACTTGGAACGAAGATTGTGGGTTGATGATGATTTTTGACTTTTTGCTTTTTTTTGTCTTATCAGGTCCAGCGAGAACCTTAACCTACCGGCGCATCCGTATCCGCCCAAGAGCCAATCAATCTCGCCTCTCGCCATGGACCGTCAGAATGGCTTCTCGAACGGTGTCAAGGAGGAGTGCAAGATTGAGAGCTTTGTTGAGAACCGAAGTTCCATGAACGTCTGTCAGGGTTATTCGGAGGTTGATAAGGGTGTGGCGTTACATAGTACCTTCCCGGATATCAGTCCCATAAGGGGAAGTTCACCCATTAGGAGAAGTCCTGGAATGATACAGGTGGTTACTTATAATCAGCATAGCAAATCATTCTCATCGAGTTTCTCCGGCTCATCGCCAAAGTCCACTGCCGTTAATGGTAAGCATTGAGGTCTGGTCTACTAAGTGAGTCAGCCTACGTTCTGATATATATGTTTGCTCTTGACGATTTACTTAAACCTGTTTTTACTTTATTTTGATTATTTACTTTTCTCCTTGGCAGTATCGAACGTCTCGTTCAGCGAGACCAGTGTCACGAATGGTTCGTCGATAGAGATTGAGAATCAAACGATAAACTCATCCTCGAGTAGCGAGAAATCTTTCATTCAGCAACGAGTGGAACGGCTCTATGGACCAGGAGCACTGGCTCAGGGTTTCTTCTTTAAACGTTCCAATCAGCTCAATAGCAGCAATAACAGCTTCAATAAGTCTAGCAACAACAACGATTCTACTACGGATAATGCCAATACCGAAGAATCCCTTAAGAATTTGCCGGTGCTAAGACATCTGCGACCCGAGTTCCGGGCGCAACTTCCTGTTGTCAGTCCTAGAAAACCTACGGATGGTTCGGAGCAGATAATAAAGCCATTGCAAAGGTATGTTTGTTGTGACTTTGTCTTTGGAACGTTTTTATTTTTATTGTAAGACACTTCTTATGAGATTTTTAATACGTTTTGATTCGATAGGGTAACAACGTCCTCTAGAAAAGTAGAACAGAAAGGAAAGACATTGGGTGGATCAGACGTGAGCAGCAAAGTATTGGAAAATGAATCTCTGAAGCTGAGTGCTAGTGTCACGAGTATTCCGGATCAGCAACCCGCAGCGCCGGAAGTGGTCTTGCCAGTTCTAGAACCTAGCGCGAGTTCGACTAGCATAGCAAAACAAGCTCAGGAAGCGGAAACGGCTGAAGAAGAGAAGGACGGCCATTACTTTATAAAAGTACGTGGAATTTGATTTACCGGTAATTAGTTCGGCATTAGTAATCTATGTCGTACAATTTTCGTTATTATAGTTACTCAAAGCGGAAACGGAAAGACTTATCTTGTTAGCTGTGTCGGCGGAGGCTGAATTGGCCAGTGGCGATCCTACTACGCTTCCGGAAGAGGCGGCAGGCAAGCTTCGCTCAGCCGCTGGCAAAGCCAGGCTACTTGCTTCTCAAAAGATGCAGCAATTTGAAGGCCTCTGTCAAAAGAATATTGTAAGTATTTTTCAAACCTACAGTATTCATACTTTTTTGAATTTATTTACTGTCTGGTTTTTTTACTTATTTTTTTTTTGTTCAATTCCAGAATCAAGTTCCAGGCGAAGAATTTCCAACGACTAACGAAGACTTGGCCGGATTCTGGGACATGGTGATGCTGCAGGTGGTCCAGGTCAACGAACTGTTCGAGCAAATCGAAAAGCTACGGAAATCACAGTGGCAGGAGGTATGTGCAGAATCAATTAATGACGCGAGACGTCATCTTCCGAAGTCTCGAAGTCTGCGAAAAAAATCCCATCACAGTCCCAAGTATCCCATCGAAAATTATACCTTTCAAGATAGCCAAGCCGAAGTCCTCAAATTCCCAAAATCGAATGAAGCGGGCGTACACTTGTCTGAAAATTCAAATCACCAAGAATGCATAAACTCCACTAAAAACACTGATTCCGTTTCTCCCAAAGCTGAGAATATCATAAAGGATCGACGGAAAATCATTGAAAAAACTAATCGACACTCCATACCGATTGCCAGTTCCGATATTTTGACATTTCAAAAATCGAAAGAAGGTAACGAGCGCAGATTATATAGAACGAAAAGTAAAACCTCAAAATTTCATGAAAAATCAATAAATAGAAACACAATCGTGGACTCTAAATCGGATATTTTACAAAGTAGAAACGTACCCGCAGTTATCGATTCTCTGGAATCAACATTACAACATAGCAAAATACAATCAACACTCAAATTTCTAAGTACTAATCCGGATACGCACTTTGATAATTTGGTAAATGATCATATCGTGGCCGAGCGCTGTGTACCATTGACGAATGGGTATATGAATTTGTCAAAGAAAACTATTTTTAACGAGAATTGGCCTCATCGAGAAGAACCTCAACGAATATTTTCTGGAAACAAATTGAAAGTGAGATCACGAAGTCCGCAAGTGAGTTCTGAAAAGGATGTCGAATGTAAAAAATTGGCAAATCGACCAAGAACTGCAAGTCCTCGGTATACAAAAGAATATAATAAATCGGAAAAGCATCAACATACTTCTCATAGTACAGTCAGATCGCGTTCCATAAGTTCGTGCTTGAAAACACATCGAAAATCAGCTCACAACGTTACTTTCTCTGATGACGTAAAATCCAGTCGAACCGAATCTACGATTACAATGAAGAACATTACAGAATCAGAACTTGCTACGAATAATAAAACTTCAGTAATTTTAAAAAGGACAAAATCCACATTTCATTTACAAGAATTTGATTATCACAATGAAAGCAATGTAGATAGAAATATAGCAAAATCAAAAGTATCGAAGGAAATTGTGGAGCTTGAAAATAAAAATTTGAAATCGTACAATGTCAAAAGGAAGAGTAATAACATGTTTATGGGAGACACTTCAAAAAATTCATTTTTGAAAACTTCTATTGTCTCAGAAGGACACATCGCATATTCTGGATCTGTTTCTAACAGAAATATAGTAAAACCTGAAATAAAGGTATCGACAGGTGGTTTGAAGAATACAATGAATCTTTGCAAATTGAACAGAGGTTGTATCGAAAAGTCTAAAATTGTACATAGGACAGTACGAAGAAACATTCCTAAGGAGTGTAATTTCAAAAGGATAATAACTAATATATTTAATCAGAATTATCAGTGTAAGCAGAACAAGCGATTTATCATAAATTCAAAGAACGACAGTAGTAATAAGTTAAACAAAGTCAGCAATGAGACAAGGAAGAAAATGAAAAATATTTGCAGACCGGTTACAGCAGAACAAAAAAATGTTGAATCGACATCAAATATTTGTCACAAAGTTCCTGCGGCTTTGCACAATGCAATTTTTCAAAATGAAACAGAAAGAGCATTTGGTAATGTTAAACGTTATTATCAAGATTCAAAATACAGTGACTCCTCATCAGCAAGACTTTCCATGGTTACAGATGTTTGGTCAAACTTGGATTCATCTTGGACCAGTCAATTTTGCAGTTCAAATTCCAGTCTATCAGGCACAGGACTCCAAAGAAAATTACCAGTAAAAGATTTTCGAAAGTTGGACAAAGTTTTGGAACCAAGTTCATCGATTCAATCACAAGACAACTCGAAGTGTTTTGTTTCTGTGTCGCGAAAATCTTTCACAACTCACGGCGACTCGTCGCAGAATATCACAAGATGCGAACCAGTGTCGTCTACTGTCGTAGCAAGTAAATTGGATAGAATGAAGAAGTACGACAAGAAGCGTAAAGAAGATCTGAGAAGAAGAGTCAAAAATTGTTCAAGAAAATTCATTCGAAATAATTCAAGGTCTGAAAGTGCTCGTGGCGACTTGACGTTACGTCGTACGTTGAGCAGAAATTTGTACGATTTAAATACATATGCAAATTTACCCAGAACGAAGAATCAGTCGACAGAGATGAAGAGGTACGATTTCGCCAAAAAGGATTACGACTTTGCTGTAGAATATTTCTTGGCACCACCTACCTACGGAGATGCCAGTTATACGCGGACTAAATCAAAGAGCGAAATTTTTAGTATATCTGACGTGCAAAAATTATCGGACAAGGGAAAGGAATTGCAGCAATTAGTCTCAAGCGTAATGAGTTGTTTAGACTCTGATGTCATTTCACAGATTTCAAGTGCGAGTAAGAGTACGCGTGAACAAAGACAAGAGGATGGAAAAAATGACATGGAATTTTATACAAAGTTAAAAAATAATATTAATCTGCAACTACGCTTGAGATCACCAACTACGATTTCATTGATAAATCTTAATTTACCAACGCGAACAAGTTTTCAGTCATTACACGCAGACTCGTCGTTCTTGCTCAAATTTCCCAGACAAAATTCCGAACTTCGAATTCAAAAGGTTTCAAATTCAATGGAACTAGCTAGAAAGATTGAGGGGTTCCAAACGCATGATAAATATTTACCTGTTAGAAGGAAGCAACCGGAATTGAAGGTTCACCATCTGGGTAATGGAGAATCTGCCGATTTTGACTTCGATAACATTGAAGTCAAATTGGTCCCTTCGATAACAGAGGAGACAATTTTCATAAAGATAAGGCACGCCTGCACTTTTCTAAAGAGCAACAGAATCCTTTGTCGCTTGTCACTGTACTTATACGTCTATGGTATTCTCAGTCTTATATTAATGCTCCTAAAAATGAGTCCCTGCAAATATTGTTTTTTTGATACCAGACTCTTTCAAAATTTACGCTGATTAATTATTAATAACTGTACACGTCCAATAATCACTACCATTCTGAATGTCATCCATGATCCTGTGTAAAAATAAAAAAAAAATCTCTTCCCAATGGTCAAAGCTTTCATTTCACTGTTTCCTTGAAAATAAAATTTGTCATAAAAGCAAGTTCCTAGTATCGTTTGAAATAACGAAGAGTCATTCAAGAAACAGGATAACCAGTATTCAAATAAGTACAAAACCATTTCCTTACGAATAATCAATCCGTAGTAGCCCAACCTAAAATTAAGAAAAATTGTAATACGATACTCAAAACAGACATTCTTTCAGGTGATTCCAGACAAGAAGGCAATTACCTCAGCACCACAAAATGGCAACGCAACGAAGCGTCGAGTCGCCGTCTCCCACAAAGTAAAGCCAACGGCGAACAGCGAAGCCAATCGGAAAGCACGAGAAGCCCGCGAACAGGCGCGACGGCAAATGATCGAGGAACGAAGAAGAGCGATGAGAACGAGCGCGCAGAAGGCAGAAGATTCCGTGGAGATATTCGCACCGGAAACGTAACGTCGAGCGACATTATCATCAGGCCGAAGAACCTTCGCTTGTAAATGAGCCTTAACGCACGCTCGTAATTCGCTTAGAAGTATGTGCAGTCTCAGGGTAGAGCTTAACGATTAAGGGAGAGTGGAAACGTCGTAAGAAACGGAAGTAATGACTAATTTATTTGAGAGAAGCCACCCCCCCCCCTTGCGCCCCTCCCGGGAAAAGAATTCCCTATACTTTGACTTCCAGAAAGGAATGAAAAAGAAAAGAAAAATTCTTGAAAACAAAAAATATTTTCTAACGATCGTCCAACTCGTTTTGCTGCAGTCACTGGTTTTCTGTAGCTCGCGAAAGTTCGGGATTTAAATTTGCGACAGTTACGTAACTAGATGCTCCTTTATTATTGGCGATGCTGCCGCGTCGAGACTGTCCCGGGAAACGATCGTTCTCGAGAGCGGGTAATTCGAATTATACTAATCGATCATCCATTTATCTGGGAAGAATTTATCGTTTACTTTATTTTTCTCTCAACTCTCATCGGATCACTGATCAATGGCAGGTAATAGGATATTGGCACGCATATGTGGAAATCGTATATTTTCCTTTACCCGCCACTTCCGCCACGATAGTAAGATTCGACTTTAACGAATGGTACTGATAGCTCTTCTTCTTCTTCTGTGATTTAATCTAAGGGAACATTTTAATGAGAAATTCGTGATGGAGAGGCGCTCGCGTCTTTTGCACTTCGATCATGTCATTGATCCTTGATCAAACAGATCCATGAGTAAATGAGACATTGCACTACTACCCTCATTCTTCGCAAGATCAATTAGTGCGCTCCGATTTTCGAAAAAAAAAATCTTAATACGTTTAAACAGCCTGCGTCTGTGACTCTTATTTGCGACTGAACTATTTATTGCGAACGCACCTTTTTTTTATCTCACCTGTATTACGTGTTAGCGAGACTTGACAATTTAATACAAAGAAAACGCGACGAGAAGCTGAGCGTTAATTTGTCTATATAAAAATTGTTATTTATCGCAAATCTATGCGTATAACTATACTTGTTGATATTCCGAGCAAATACGAAAGGCTATAGAATGAGGAAATAAAATTATTAAGCGTCAAGCAGAAATTAAAAAGAATCAAAATATTACGTTCGTTCTCGTCGCGTATTTGCTCAGTGGCGTTTGTTACGAATGTCTTTTTTAAATATTTTTTTTTTTTCTTAGCCAAGTAATTGTGTTCCTCGTGCGCGCCCATACGAGATAATGAATTAAGAGATAAGAAATTTTTTATAACCAATCACAAGATCGTCTATCGATATGTGTAGCTTTTTATTGAATTGTTTTTTACATCGCGAGCCTGATGATTGAAGTAGCTTATATTTATATACATATACATATATATATATTCGCGCGCGTAATTAATTATGTAAAAAATATTTAAAAAACGAAGTCGGAGGAAAGACACTTTTAATGATTGCGAACAAAATCTTTTTTTACATTAAAACAAGTCACCGCCAATTGTCTCGTTAGCACGCTCTAAGCTTTTACGATGAAAACAAAAAGAACGACAACAGGTAACACAATAGCGTTAACAATGAACCAGTGATATCTTTTGCGTAATCAGACGCGTGAGTTCGCCTGTGTATATATATACAAATTCTTAATCATTTTCGAGTCCAAGATCGGCCATATTTTTATCGATTCGTCCCGTTAAATTCATAAGCACGTGCTCCTTCTAGTGTTTTTTCTTCTCCTTGTTCTTCTACTTGTATAGAAATCGACGAATGAACGAAACTGGCGAACGCTTACAATTTAACGATAAAAGCAAAAAAAGATTCCTATTATTATTATTATTATTATTATATATTATATTATATTATTACTATATTATATATATATATAAATATTATAATCCACACATCTTATTCGCGCGACACGTGAAAAGCATCCCGAGCACTTTTGAATCACAGTCGATTGTATTTACTATTTTACATTTCATCAGGCTGATTCATGATTCGAATTCACGTACGTGCTTTTCTTTTTTATCATATTTTGGAAATGCGTATTTCACGTGTCGCGCGATGCGTTATGTAGTCCCTAATATGGAAGTAATCACGGCTGAAACCTTGTTTTCTTTTTTTTTTTAAGCAATAACCGCGTTACTTGAAAACGCATTGAACTAACGCTAAGATCTAAGCGTATCTGACGTATTTAAAATCGTATTAGGAGAGAATCAAGCGAGAGAAAAGTATGAAAGAACGAACGAAATTAAAGACGTGTATTGATAACGATTAACGATAACCATAATGGTTGTAACGATAGCCTTATGCTTCTTCCACGTGGTTAAAGAATCGTCCTGAATTTTAATCGTTTGCAAAATTCCTGACGATTTCACGAGGCTACAGTGCGAACCGATCATTTTGAAAATTCGACTGATACGACATTCCTACGAGAATCACCCTTCTTTTTTTTTTCTTATCTCCGCTCTCTTGGTCGCACATTTTAAATAGTCCATAGTTTTAAATAGTCTCGTCTGTCGATCGTTTCTCTGTATGTTTTATCGTTTTTTCTTTTTCTGCTTCTCGTACCTACTTTATCTTGTCCGTCGTCTCGATGGTCATCACCTTGATGGTCACGTGTCTTTTTTTCTTCATTCGTTCACCGACATCGTTCTTTTATAATTTCTCACTTTTATTCGTCTTTTCTTTTTCTATTTATAATCATCACGCGATACGAGCTACCAGCTCTCAATGCGAGCCGTGACCATTAGACGATGATAATGACGTTATAATAATCGAAGAACTTACGCCAAATGACACATGCCTAATCAATACTCAATCATGTTAATTTTACACATAATTTTATACATCCTTTTTTTGGGGAAGGTCAAAATCTCTCAATTTTTTTTTTTTTTTTTTTTTTTTCGTTAAATTTATTCGTAACCGGCGATTACGAGCGTTGCGAAATCGCTTAGAATCTCGTCGACGTGTTGATGATGATCGCGTGCGACAGAGTCAAGGAAACCGAAGGAATGTAACGCATTGGTTGCGAGGATAGGATGTTATTATTATTATTACTATTATTATTGTCGTAATTTACTTACTTTTTTTTGTACAATAATTCGTTTTCAATGACTCGATTATGTCTGGAAGTAGGATTTCTTTAGGAATTCATGATAGTCATCGACGAATTCCTCATTAGTGCCTTTCTTATTTATACATATGTGTCCGTTCGAAAATCCACTTGACTGTTATCTCGCTGGTGGTACCGATTTGATGACAAATGTCAACTTTTTTTATAATGATTGTACATAATTCCTTTGCGATTTCGCGAGGCGCTAAATGTGGATGAGTCGCGGCTCGTCGAGCATTGTATCTTTTCTTTTACCCAAATCAAATAAAGGCAAATAAGACAAAGCAGAAACGATGTTGATTAAGAAAAATGAAAAGAGAAAAAGAAACAAGCGAAAGCCAAAAGAATGAAGAAATTTTAGTATAACGGTGGGATAGAAGTCATTCGCAAATGTATCTTTATGGTTATGTTTCCGGTGTGTAATTACTTACTTAGATTGGCGATATTTTTTGAATTGTACATACGGAGTGATAGTGTGAGTGAAAAAAAAATATTGCAGCGAAAGTTAGAATATGATTAGAATGCTGAGAGGTATGAGTGGTATGAGCGAAGAATTGACTTTTTTTTTTTTTCATTACGTAAGTGGCGAACATATCGATTGTATACACATTCGCACGAATCGTCTGACTTTATTTAAACTGTCGCGCATAGAGTGACTGTCCTGAGTTTCAGTGTAGTAATTTATATTCAGCCATCCCACTGTTCTTCCTTTTCTTTTATTATTTTGTAACGACTGGCGAGCTGGAAAGTCGTGATTTTCTTTTAGAAATATTTGCGCGCGAGCACGTGACGTTGTTGCTGATTTTTTAAAACTTTGATAACGATAAGACGGATTTCTTTTTGGTTTCTTTACTCACGCGTCTCGGTCAAGGTGCTATGCTGATTTTGATCTTGTGATTACGTGATTGTCGATCAATCGGAGACATGGGGACGCCATTTTAATGCCAGTTCAAAATTCAACGCTCACAAAATATCTCTTGTTGGAATTGTTTATATGAAATTTACGAAAAAGAAAATCGCAAGTTGCAGAAGCGCGAGATAACGTCAAGCGTGGGATAATGCGTTATTGAAGGTGTACAGAAATTTTTATTTATAAATTACAAACGAACGAACCTTACGTTAAAATGGCCCCGAAGATCCTTTCCCTTGTAAGCTAGACGATAAGATACATTTGTAATACATTTTTTGATTGGCGTGACATATCTGACAATTTTAATCACGCTTTAAAATACCCAAGTCCATTTCTTTAAAATATTTTCCTCAGAACATCCAAAATCCTGCTCGAGTGTGGAGACTTGAAACTAAGTAACGGCAAATCGACTATTATTCTTTTTTAGCAAGTATTATTTATTCGCCACATGAACAATCATTGGTCGTACGTTACAGTAAATCATTTCACGCATAAATATCTTTATATAACAACAATTATAACACGCACTTTCGTACACAGTAATGACACCGAATAAGGGCAAGCCTTAAGATATACACTGTGCTGCTTTTACGAACACGAGTATCTCTTGAAATACATAGTGAAATGAGGGGAAAAAATGATTACGTCCACTAGTTTACAGGACGTCACCTTTACTTAGAAAAATAGAAACCAGTTTGCAATATCTATCAACTGATACTTTTAACGTCATCTAAATATCTATTTCAATTAGACGACGACTTTTTTTTACTTGACTCAATTCGACTGCTGAACTCAATTGGTCACGACATATGATTCCAGTCGGTAAACTCAGTCGGTACAGTTGGTAAAGTTAATTTGATGTCTTGTTACCGACACGACGGTAAAACAGATTGATATACAGTGTATATGTAAATTAAATTCACATTGATCAATAATATTTTCAATGACTAAAACAACATCCAAATGTCTCTTCGTAATTTCAGTATTTGGTCTCAGCTCTATGTCTCATCCCATCAGACACCTCTTCATTCATTAATAATCTTCTCCCTTACAGTCCTCTGAATGATTTCCTCACGCAAGGCAAATTAAGGTCTTCCCTTCGTTCATCTTATCTTGGACCTTATCACTGGCTGTGGATTTCTCAGCCTGCCCACTCAGCACCGCGCACACGAAAGTCAACAGCACCCCAATCACAGCACTGTAGAAGGCCCAACCTAAAAATCCAAAATGATTAATCGACAATATCATCACGGTTGACACGCGCGATCAAACTGTCACGAGCGAGGTTAAATTCATCATACCAAGACTGCAATCAGCGAGATAAAATGCATCTGATTCGACTCCACACATTCTCCGTACTCTCTCTGCACCCCATCCAGCGGCATATAAGATTATTCCAAGCAGATAAATGATACCTGAATGAAGTAAAAAAAAAATATCAAGCTAACTAAGGCAAAATGAATAAAGTATCCACAGTGAATATCAACGACATCGTTATATCATTCCCAATGGTAACTCTAGACTTCATTGATATCCAAATAAGGAATGAGCATTCAATTTCTCATCCCTTAGACGCAACATCCTCCGTATTATTACGACGGCGAGGTACGAGGTAAATCGATATAATAATACTGATAAGAGATTTGACTAAGCAGCCGTCCTATGCAAGAATCCTTACCGGCAATAGCCTGTGCTACTCCAGCCAGATTGAAGATACTCTTTCGACCGATGCTCTGCACGCAACACCCAAGCAGCGCGGCCATAACTGTAACTGTCATAATGGCCAGTCCCAACGACAGGAAGAAGAGAGTTGCTTTCCAGCATTCGGGAAATACTTTGGAGTCTGTCGCCAGGCCATCCGCGTTGAAGTTTGCACAGTGTGTCCTGCCGTAGAGTCTTGTGCATCGATTAAATATTCCCACCGTAGGCGAGTAGAGTACCGTGCCATTTTCTGAGGACAAGTACGAGAATAAGGTTAGTAATGACAGTTGACGCATCGATGCATGGATAGAATGGTTAATAATTCGACTTACTGGTATGTTTTGTTGTCGGTGGTCCTATCAGCCATCTCGGCGTGATAAGGGCTGATAAAACAGCCGTTAATGCCGCCAAAGACAACAATGTCCATAATAGGCTACGACCGGTGACTATCACATAGCACATTCTGCCGGAGCTTCGTAACTCAGTCTTAGGCCATTCTTTGTGCAGTGAAATACGTTACCTAAAGCAGAAAATATATATTCGTTTAGAGAGAGAGAAGAGACAAAGTTCCGTAGAATGAAACGTGAGGACGCTGCACAATAGGTAATTGTGCAGATACTGTTTCGAGGTTATGTGAGACGGAATGGATTTTTGTTCTTCTTTGAATTCAACCGACAACCCTATTACAAAATTACAGTGAAATTAATGTGTGAATGAATGGGCTGTCTGTGGTGACTTGATTAATTGGTATTTTATATTCAGTGCTATCAGTCGGCTTCTTAACCAACAGGAATCGCCGACTTCGTGAATAACTCTCCTTGTCATGTGAGTTTACACGAAATTATCATTTTCTCTGAATTTAATTTTTTTTTATTTCCTTGAAATAAGAATTATGGTAGGATCCATGCTAGGCTTTGAGTGAATTATCATTCGGTAATTTCTTTATTGATATTGTCGTGTCGACTTTTATCATTGTGAATACAGTCAGCTCAAGTATCGAACTCGAGAACCATTCTAGTTATCCTAGTGAACTATGCACTTGAACTTAAGGTTGAAGACTGTTTTAGCTTCGTGCAAGAATAATTCCCTTCACAAGCAATTCGAAGAAGGAATTGTGAGTTTTGTGTTTCCACGAAGGACCGGCCATTAAAAGTAAAGTCGTAAACCGTCGAACGATCCAGTCTGAATACAGGGGCTCTTGTATTTTTTTCCCTTTTATTTTCGTATCAATTTCATAGAAATCACAGGGTGCCCCACTGGATCAGAATGTAAATACATAAATTAGAGATGGGTAAGGAGATTGCCAATAAGCCGATTTTCATGGTTCAAGTTTTATCTCGGCGTCGACGCGCTGCCTTAGCAGAAGGTCCGCGAACCAGTCTTACATTTTTGATTGGTCGACAATATCTATATATACTAGTAGTATTACTATACTACGCGTGATATTTGTGAGCTCCGTGAGACGCACGGATTTATACCGGGTGACACTCTAAAGCGTGTGCATTCTGGTTGAACGTATTACTTTCGAAATTTATTCAAATTGAGGCTAAATCAAAATCTCACAAAATATACGGAATAGGTAAAATTTGAATTGAAATTGTAAAATATCGAAAATAAATTACGCTCAGATTGAAACACTAACAATTTCAGTGTTTGGAATGTTAAACTAATTGATTAAATATTAACACTTAGAAAT